CTTCCGCTTCGGAACCGGGTTCCGGACTTCCCTCATCTTCATAAATAGTAAAGTTCAAAGAAGCCTGAGTCTTCAATGGATGGGCGGGTTGCTGTGGTTGTATCACAGACTTCTCTTCAACATAGTCCTCATCATCTTCAGACTCCTCATCAGACTCTTCAAACAAAGCCTCATCAAAAACAGCTTTGTCGCCTTTCGATATGGTAGGCTCAAGCCAAGCAAATGGCTCGTTCATGTCGTATTGTGCTACTAGGGTCTGGTAAAACTTGAAGACCTTCTCGAAGTCATCGTCGTTGGAAATCGTCATTTTCGCAAAAGACGTGATCAACCTCAGTTCTCCAGCCTCATCAGAGATCTCCCGGCGTAGTTTCAACACCAGCGAATAAAACAGCTTGAACAGCTTTACTGCAAAATATCCGCTTCGCAGCTGGACCAGTCTCAACATAGTTTCATCAAAATCCTCGCAAATATCCTCTACAGGAACAATGTTCTTGTCTGTGACAAATCTCATCACCATCCCGTAATGCTCCACAAAAGAATAGTCTTGTAAAAAGACCTTTTGACCTGATACCAGGCAGTCATACAGTATGGCCATGTTGGCAGCAGAAAACTTGGAGAATTCAAGCTTGGTGAGAGCATGCCAGTCCTCAGAAGAAAGGGGAACATCAAATTCAGGAACGGTCAGAAACACAATCAGATTGTTGAAGACCTTTGTCAGCTGGCTCAGCGTGAGCCCAGTGAGGTATTGCTGATCACTACGTTGGTCAAGGAGATGAACGTGCAGCGAAATTGGCAATTTCTTCACCTTCAAATGCGGAGCCAAGTCCTTGAGAGTTTCACAGTGGTGGACTTGAATTTTGGAAGCAAATGTTTGCCAAATCCCCAGAGATATATCAACTATTGATCTTCCCAGCCAGTTCTCGTGGACGAGATATAGGTTTCTCATGTTCTTCTTTGCGTTTTGAGGAATTGACTGAAAAAAGCGGAATACGCGACGAGGCGACTCAAAGATCGTCAAGTTCAATTTCGCGTTCTCGTCGTCATTCTGCTGAAGGCCCCCGGCAAACAGAACCAGTGAGAACTCGCCTTCTGAGGGTAGAGCATCTCTCCATTGAAATGGTTCCGAATACAGAGTAGAATCAAACACATAGACGGGAAACGGGTCCTCCAGCGAAGATTTGTAGAATACCCTGTTCATTGCCAGTTTTTTCTTGTTAGTTTGGTGAATGCTTGATAGTCCTTGAGGGTTCTTAAGAGTTCAACAGATGGAAAAGATGTGGTAGCGTAAACAACAAAATTAAAGGCACGCGTACGCGACCCAATTTTCATGTTTGGGTCCTTCCGCTTTGGGAGGCAATCTTGAAGTCGATATTGACGCTGTAGAATACGCAAAAAAATGAAATAAATTACTTTTAGACAATTCTTGTGTAGAGATATAATAACTGAGATTCCGGTGATATCATTGGTTTTCAAATTCAGAGCCAAATTCCCCAGTTTTGGCGGTACAGACTCCCCCACCCAAAAGCCCCCACTGAATGGCAGGAAGGCATCGCCATCTCAGCCACGCTAAATCAGCGGGAGATGTATGATCTGTTCTCAAGAACGTCACAAAGCGGAGTAGCATTTTCTGGCTTCATGACTCGCCGATTAGTTCCACCCGCCAATAGGGACGAAGGTCAATGCCTCAAGCAGGTGGCTCTGCGAATTAGGGATATACCGACATTGTTAAGCTTTGGGTTGGCCAGCAAAGCATGCCACGCGATCGTCTTCAGTACTCCACAAATTTGGATTCGTTTTTTGCGACAAATTCAGTTTTGGGATCCCAAGGAGTTCAGACGAAGAGAACGGTTGAGAAAAGAGGGTAATGAGGGTTGGGGCGAAAATCGGGATCGTGTTCAGCAGGTGCTGTCCATTAACGAGGAGATGACGCCAATCAATTGTCTTGACCGGCCGATATATGATCCCGATCTCGCTCTAGAACAGTTTAGGAAGATTTACTCGCTATTGGCACCAATTCTGAGAGATTTGGTGGTGAAAAATTACTCCAATTTCCAGAAACTCAATGTGTTCGTGAAGTACAATACACCAGAATCGCAGTCTTTGCTGTTCCACAATGTGTCCCGATTTATCAACATTTTCAAGTTTACTTCAGGTTTTAAGAGCATGGCGATACGACTGAATGCCATAGTGGAGGTTTTTGCAAACAGCGTTGTGCGAGAGATTGACATCAATTACGAGAAGAGAGACCACAAGGAGTGCTTTCGACTGATCAAAGTGCTGAACAACTTGTCACTGGAAAACTATGATTCTGCTGCCATAACTGTGGAGAGCTCTGAGAAGATTCTGGAGTTTTTCATAAACAAGTATGTGGAGTCCTACGTGTTCCTGACGTCTGATAACCTTGTGGAGAAGACCATAGTGAAGGTAGGACACTCTTCGAAACGTGGAGTGGTGAAGGGCCATGAGTTTTTATTTGCCAGTTTTGATGACATTTTATCACAGATTGGAGATATCTTAAATTCGCAGTTTGAAGATGCCACACTGATATTCCAGCATTCAACCGACGAAAGGTTAGACCAGATGCCCATCATCCTGAAGATAATGGAGACTTTGTTAAGCAGTTATCTGATTGGTGGTTTTTGTGAGGAGTTGATTTCCAGGGCGAAAGAAATTGACGCAACGCTGGATATGGATATTGCTGGAATAGAGGAGCCGATTGCAGTGGTGGAAAAGCCAAATGAAACAGGTGAACGTGACTCGCTTGAGGATCCTGGTGATGTTCATGATTTGGATGATCTTGAGCGTTTGGCCAGTCCTACCAAGGCACAATCCTCCGAGTCAGATCCAAGAATAAACGTCATGAATGAGTCCTCCCTGTATTTCCAAGTGGTGCCCCATGTCTACCAGGCCATGATCCAGACGTTCAAGGATCTGAAATATCCACAGTCTAGACTCGCCAATGGCGAGGATTACTTCAGGGTTGCAACCGAATTGATCAACTTCTACTACGAGCCAAACATTCTGGAGTTTATTGAACTTTTGCCGCGCCAATGTCACGCCTCGCTGGTCTTGCTCGTAGACGCATGGGAGGGCGATCTCACTGAGCGTGAGAATATCCAGCAACAAGAGATTCTAAAGATGGTAACCGAGCAGGATAAGGATGAGAAAAAGTTATTCAAACTTGACATTATCTCGGGCGGAAAAGAGATCTTGACCGGATTTACGAATATCTTCAAAATGAGTAAATCAGAAACGAACGAAATGGCGAAGGATACGCGACTCGACGAGCACCAGAACAAAACTCTCACCAAGTTTGCTGCAAATCTACAGATTTTAACCAATAATGTGAACAATATCACGTCTTTGGTGAGTATGGACCTGACTGTATACGCCTTGCAGCATGTGAAAAACAGTTTCACCCTTCTGATGAGTCTTTATGGTGGTGACGAGGGGCATACCACAACAGAAGTCCGAGAGAAAATCAACCACACATGTCAGGAGATATACAATGATGCTCTGACAGTACTAATAGACACTCACATCAAGACTGGTTTTGACGAAGCGATTTCCAGACTCAGAAATTACAATCCAACGGAGCTCAAGAGCATGATGGACAACGAACATAATTCCGAGGTTGAGCCTTTACGAAGGTTTGTGGAGCTAGTCAATGTTGCCGATCTGATCCAGCAAATGATCTCTATCTTTTATGAAGAAGAACTAGTGGCCAAGCATATCGTCTATGTGAAGGCTAAACAGAAAAGAGACTTCCTGTCAGCCAACAAATGTGAGAAGACTATGGCAAAACTTGAGTCGATGCTTGACTCATATGTGGCTGACGGTTTCAGCATCAGTATTGATGTGATCATAAACGAACTGACCTATGCGATCTTGAAAGATCTCGATGAGAAGACTTACGCCATTTCAGAGAATGACCTGGCTAAGCCAGAGTTTTCCCAACATTTAGGAAGTGCCTCCAGCTGGGCAGTTGAAGTCGTGAGGATCTTGAATACGCATTTCAGGCTCTTATCCGGGTCTATTGAAAAGCAAATGGTTGATGTTTTCAGACAGGAAATTGGGGAAAGATTTGTGAGGATATTGATCAAGTTGATCACGAAAAAGCTCACGATTTCAACCACCGGGGCTATCTTCCTCATATCGGATCTCAACCATTTCTACAACTTTTTTCTTGGTTTACGACAGAAGACTACCGTGGGGTACTTGACTGCCCTCAAGACGATTTCGCAATTGTATCTGATTGACGGTTCTACGAAGCAGGGTGCAAGAGATGTTGGTAAGCTGGTGATGAAGATAGGAAGGGATAATGGCATGTTCAGTCCTGAAGAGGTTTACCAGTTCGTTTCAAGACGATCCGACTGGAATACTATCAAGACAGATGTCGACAAAATCATGTACGGCTTGGGTATTGAGGACTGTCAGATCGTATAGAATGTAAATGTACATAGTTTGCGTCAAGGGCCCGACTAATCACAAGCTTTCTTGGTCATTCAAGTTCTACGAACTCGATTGCCTTGCTGGATCTCGTAGATCTCGTAGATCTTGTGGTCCTTGTTGGTTTGGGAGGAGTGTCCTTTTCGCGTGGTTCAACTTTCCTCTTCTTGGTTTTGGGTTCTGCCTTAGGCAAAGTAACATCATCCGGGCTCGGCTCGATGGTATCACTAACATTCAATTCTGCCTCGCTCTTGACTGGTTCTGGGTTCTCTGGGGCTGGCTTAGATGGTGTGTCAGGCTCTGAAACGTTCTTCAAACTTTGCGCAATTGGCAATACTCTGTTACCTGATCGGATGTAACTGGCGAAGGACTCCATAGGGGTATAGAACTCTGCAGTGTCGTCTTCGGAGTGTTTTGGCGATGGAGTGCGTTCCAGAGCGGGGGCATCAATTGGCGTTGCTTCAGCAACAGTTGGTTCAGCTGGAATCTCTTTCACCGCTGTTTCCGTTAATGGAACATGTTTTACCGGTTCCTCTACCCCGGGAATGAACTCACTAGGCGCAACACTGACAGCCTGAGATGACGGAGCATCATCCACCTCTGTATAAACCTCCTTATTGATCTTGCTATCAATGCTGTCGTGGATCTGTAGCCCCTCCGGCTTTGCTTCAATCGATTCTTGTACAACTGCTGTTTCCTCCCTCGACGCACTCGTTTCGTCTGCAGTTCCTGGAATAGTAGGGCCTTGTGAGTCTGGTAGACTAGGCCCTAGAGAATCTTCATTCGCATTCGATATTGGTGGAACATTTGAAGCATCTTTTTCAACAGATGAGTGTTCTGACTTTCCTGATTCAACCAGATCTATGTCACCAGACTGCACAGCCCTCTCACCTTCACTCACAGTAACGGCACCTTCCATCTTGGAAGCTTGAGCTGCCAGTTTGGACTTGGCAATCTCCATTCCTGCGTGTCTCATCAAAACGTCTGTCGACTCCTTCGTGAGGTCTTCCTTCAGAGGGGTTAGTTCCTGTGTAGGGCTCGTTACCAAAATCTCGTTCACTTGAGCGCGCGTTTTGATGACCTCTGTTAGTCCTCCATTCTGCATTCTGGTCCTTATTTTCTCCAGCCGTTTCGAAATTAGTGTCATTACATCGTTTCCAATTGGAACAACATCTCTCCGTGCAACTCTAGCCTTTTTCACCCCTGCTTGCGGTGAGTTCAGGATCGACGGTGTCTCCGTACCCGATGCACTTTGGACCGCAAGCTCTTTTTTGTAGATGTTGAAAATAGAGAAGTAGACAGCATAGTAAGTATCATCCACAAGACCAGTGGGTGCGAATCCATTGGTCATTTTTCTAAACTCGTGCATTTCGCTGAATAGATAATACAACAGCTCACAATTACTTGGAATATCACCGGTCTTCAGGGAGTTCAGCAGGTATAATGAAGTTTCCATGAAGTCTTGAAAGGACAAATCACTGGTCTGTATTTCCGTGTATTTGGGGGGAACATCAATCAGCCATTTGACTAGGGTGCATACCTTCAATACCACTTGGTCCCAGGCCTTTGCCTGAGAGACCATGCTCGACCCGAGCCGGCGTAGCTTTTTGGCAAAGATAAAGAGAGATTCCAGATCTTTATCATCAAAAAGAATCTCTGCATAATAGACAATGTAGTCGTAAACATATACGAAATGCTTTCCCGGTCTTTCATTTTCGGGTTTCCAAATGGTCACTAGCGTCCTGACATTTGGCTTGAGATTCATTATTGAAGACATCTCCGCCTTTGCGGATTCGGTGTCATGTAAGACCGAAAAATAGATTTTGGCCATGCCAACGTAAGGCTTGTGCTGCCAATTCTTCTTGTCGGCTTGTTTCACCAGCTTCAGTAAATCCAAGATCAGATGTGAGAACTGGGAGAAATTCACAATCTCCGTACCTGCAACTGGAAGTGGGAAGACCCTCTCAAGAAACTCGATCGCACCGCTAATCTGTATCTGCTGTTTCATGACCATTTTGAAAATTAGCCAGGGCAATCTTGCTTGAGGTTCTATTATCGGATCTGCAGAGCTGCCCGAAGTTTTGGCAAGTCTGCAGGCCTGAAGTAATGATTCCAAGTGGGTAGATGCATCTCTTCCCAGTTTATACTGGACTTTAGATAGGTAGTAGTAGGCACTCCAGTCTTTGGGGTTTTTCTGGATTGCAACACTCAAAGATGCCTCCATGATGCTGAGGGCGTTTTTGGTGGTAAACCCAGTTGGAGCAGCATTTTCAAATGTCTTTCCACTCTCTTTTCTGACGAAAATAGGCACAGAACGAACAGAGAATGCCAGTCCCATCATCGGTTGGAATGTCGCATTATATAGTTCTTTCGAGAATGACGACCACAATAAGGCAGATACTGGCTTGAGAATCTTCTGCTGTTCCTTGGAGGACCTAACGTAAAGATTTATTGCCATAAGATAACACAAGAGAGACTTCTTTTGGAAGATCGCCGTAACATTTTTCTTCTCTGGATTGCTCAACTTATCGGACGTCCAGATAACATCATCTTCTACCAGGAAAGCGTACGTTTGAGCAAGAAGTAACCATGTTTCAACTCGTTTTGTTCCACACAGAATCTCTGCGCTGAACATTTTCACGATTGCCTCAAGCTCTGTGGAACGACCCTGCATCGCACGTTTTCGAATTTTGAACAGATTGAGTGCCAAGACACCTTGGACATAATACAACCCAGCCTCTGCAGCGGGTTGGTACTCTGCTCTGGGTTTGGCCAGATCTAATTCCAACAATCCATTAAAGGCTAGTCGCACTAATCTCATGTTAAATTCAGATAGGTTCAAATAATAATCAAACGAAGATAGATTTCTCGCTGTTATCTCGTTATTCATATCAGGATCCCCAATCACGGAGAACAATGCATCTAGCAGTGCTTTCATGTCATTCTTGGGGATATTGAACATTGGATTTCTCTTCTTGAAGCAGCACGGCAGGACAAATTGACTTAAAGCCAGAGCGCTGTGCGAAGATAGTTCAATTTTCTCAGTATGGTGGTCTGCTGGAACGAATAAGTCCACAGCGACATTGATATGGTAGCGGCAATTGATGATTTGGAAAACATCTCTGTCTGATTGTGGCCAGTTAAGCGCAAGCAAAACATGCTCCGCAAGATCGAGAAAGGCACCTTCTCCGGAATCACACATGCCTCTAGAACCTAACAGCTCATGAATGATACTGAGAAAGTCATTCATGACTTCTGGCTCGTGCTTTCCCTCAGGCAGAAGAGATAAGAAGTAGATACCAAATATGCTATATGAACGCGAAAAATTGTCTGCCAACTTCACGAATGATGATTTAGACTTTTTCTTCATGGAAGCATGGGAGCCCATATTTGCTGAGTCCTCGCTAAGTGCGAAAACGTGAACCAAACGGACCAGTTCCAATAAATCAGAGAAAAATCTGAGGTCGACTATGGAAAATTCTTTCCAATGCTGCTTTGAGATGGCATCGGTGTATATTTTTGAGAAAAGGCCGAAGTAAGACATCACTGTCATTAGCATTTGGTGTCTTTTGAGCTTGATGTTCTCGGTGTAGTACTTTGATTTGATTGTCTTGATTGAATAGCTGACAACAGCTTCGAAGGCCAGTTTGAGTTCACCAAAACTATCTGTAGAAGAATAGAATCTCAAAAGCAAAAGCCACAATTTTAATTTGAGCTCCAGAGAAGAATCATTTAGAAATACCCTCATCTCCGATAACTCTGGCGAAGGTTCTTCTTCGGATTCTGATGGGATCAACAGACTCTTCAGAACGCGCATCTTATCATCCTTTTGCGAGTCTACGTCAGCCGCAGTGTCTGTGATATTGGCGAACGTTCCCGTCACACTGATCTTAGATAACTGCATCGTCGTGCTTTTCAGATTCAGTTTGGGAATACGCTCGTGGTTGGTGTATGGAATCTCAAGGGATTCGTCCAACTTCTGGATCTCTTCTTTGAGACGGTGAAGTAAAACCACGACATTTGATGTCTCCGATGGCTGATCAAACTGCATGAAGCATATGTGACTCCACATCTGTCTGAAATAGATATCCTGGTTTTCAGTGAGAAGATTTTCGCGGCCCGAACTTTTCAGGTCTTCCAACAGTTTTGACCATCGCAAAATCCTTGCCGACAAAGAACTCCTTGCAGCACTAAGATCGCTTGTTTTCAGTTTTTCGTTGGTTTTGAGACTCTTCAGCTCCTCCGAAAGTGAAATAAACGAGTCGACCAAGATCTCGATGATCGATGTGCAAACGAAAAGTCCCTTTCTGACTTCATCGTCGGAACGTGAGCTATCCGTGAGTTTCTCCTGAATAGACTCATATATTATTATGTCCGAGGAATCCAGGAACATTTTCAAGCTGCTGAAGGCTTCAGGGTCAAGTTTTCCGACTACGATAGGACTGGGGCCGGAAGGAGTAAAAGGCACAAACAGTAGTTCCAGGAGCTGAACGCGTAGTTGTGCTATGTGGACATTTGAGCTGTTCACTTTGTCTATGAACACTTTCAAGGTTGCCTGGCTCTCGGGCATGTCGTCGATTGAAAGAGAAAGCATTCCAATGCTGTTTTTGTTGTTGGAGGTAAGAGTCTCTGCAACTGAAAACTCCTCACCCTCCTGGGTATCAATATCCATCAGAAAGAAATTAGAGTAGGAGCCAGTCCATTCACTTAGCATGTTAGCAAAATCTTCAATGTGTTTGTCTTCTGGGGATGCATGTCGGCTTGAAAGAACGTCAAGAGGAGAGATTATCCTCAATTCTGGCTGTAAGAGCGCCAGGAAAGCGTTCAAAGTATCAAAAATCTGGTTCTGCTTGACATCGCCACTTTCCACAGGGTCTTCGTCTCCTCTTGTTCTTCGTTTGCTCGCTCTGGTGGATGGCTCTTCGGCCGCCTCCATTTCCACATCTTGATCGGGGATGGCCTCTACAGCTTTTGTAGGCTCTGAAACCTCTGGGGCAGTAGTTTCAGGAACTTTATCAACTTCCATTTCTTCGGCATGAGAATCATGTTCGTTCTCAGTCGCAATATCCAAAATCTTGAATCGTATTTTCTCGACCGGATCGGCGGTGAGCAGATAGTTATCGAAACACTTTGCCCTACCCCTAGGTTTAGGCAGAATGTTCTGGATCTCTTCCAAAACGTTATTCCATGATGGAACCGCTTGGTCACCCAGTGCTATCTCCACATCCACCACTCCTGTTGAAGAGGTTTCTGGGCGAAAATCCTTTAATTTGTCCTTCAAGCTCTGGAGGAAGGCCAGATTGCTATTCGAGAGAGGCTTGTTCTGGACAAAAGCACAAATTTTATTTCTTGCCATGAAACTCTGCTGATTATCCATCACGAAATCGTAATCTCCAATGCTGTCCAACACCGATTTGTAGTTGTTCAGCACTTCCAACGTGTGGGGTAGCATGAAGGCCTTGTTGCTCGCCCTTATTATGGCGATTTCGTCGTCAGAGCCGTTCATTTGGTCAAACTTCATAAGCTCGTACTCAACAGCAAACCTCTCTAGCTTCTTGTCGTCAAAGAACTTGTACAATCCATACAGAAGATCGATAAGAATGGTGTCACCCTCTCCGTACTCGAGGGCAGTGACTAGATCATCGGTGATAGTCAACAGTTGGGTCCGCAATTCCACGGGATCTAAAGACAAGGTAGCGGAACTCGATTGAACACTAGCAACAAACTTGGAAAATCGAAATAGTCCACGATTGCGATAACATAAATACTTCAGGTACTGGATCGTGGGAGATAGATAGTCCGTTCTTGCCCCCGAAACCACCTCTAATGCAAACAAACTGGTATATTCGTCCTCTGCCTTGTCCAGCTCCAAGTTCTTCTGGAATTGAAGAGCCCGCTGGAAGATCTTGAACGACTCCTCTATCTGGAGCTCTCTGGTGTGGTCTTCGGCATCCACCTCATCCTCGCTCAAGTTCAATGCTGTAAAGGTGGACTGAATAAAATTATTAGCCTATGAATTGTCAACGATGATAATATAATGGAACTCACCATTGCGATTGAACCTCCAACACACAGAAACCACCTTTGTTGATTTGGAAGAAAAGAACGTGGATGAGAACAAGACAACCTCATCGCGTTGTATTTGGTGATGGGCCTTTAGAAATTTGGGTTGTGTACTTCCTATCTTTTTATGAAATTATGACACCTACTAGCTACAAGCCAACACATCATAAACGGCCATATAAACAGCTATAAATTTGGGATAATGACCCTGGAAAATCCCCCTTTTGTGGCAGAGTTCTTGCCTCGGATCCAGAGACTTTCTGTGAGTATCCAACTGGCTGAGGAGCTGGAATCGTGCTCTCTTTCTTCTGCTGATGAGCTCCAGATGACGGTGAAGGGTGGAGCTCGGTACGCTTTCACGCTACCCCATCCGGTGGTTGAGGTTTCAAATCTGGTGGATTTTGTACAAAACGACGGCTTTTGCAAGACTCTGAAGCTTCCCACGCCTATTTTGCAATCGGACAGGGTGTATCTGGACAAGTCCAACAACGTGCTGATGACCAAAGAGCCCAAGTGGGACCACAACGAACTGGCTAGGAGGCGATCCACAAGATCGAATACGCTGGTGCGATGTGCAAATTGTGGCCTCTCGCTGCTGAACCTGTCACAAGTTACTACACTGCGCGGAATGCCGTCGGAAATATGGGCAGAGATGATGGAGTACTGGCACTGCCATAAGCCTGATGAGGGTAACAAGACTAATTCCACGGTAGAACGATACGGAAACTTCACTCCGAGTCCTGGTGGGCTCTTGGTGGGGCCCTACTATTTTCTAGTGGATAAAAGCATATTGCATAATGTTGGAGAGGACGCCGAGTGTTTGGGCTGCGATTCGGTGCTCGGGGAGACTGGGACGTCTCAGAACTGTTTGAAGATGAACAAATGGAGTCTGGAGCTTTATGATGGGAACTCAGAAACATTTCAGCCGTATCTACACGCTCTAAATTCACTGGAGAACAGTGTTGGGTGTACTTCTTCGAGATACTTCATTGTGGAATTGGAGAAATCAAAGCTGCTGGTGTGGGTGTTTGGTTACGGCATCGGGGTATCTTCTTTATTTGGTCATGGAAAAGGAGTCGTCCAGCAAAATTGTCTTAAAGTGTTTTATACAGATGACGAAGCCCAGATAGAGAAGTTCAGGTCGGAAAAGTCCCAAGGATTGGCCAGCAGAGAACTGGAAGTGCTGGATTTTCCCTCGGTTGTGATGGTTGATCTGATTGAGAAATTGAGGATAGGAACGTCTGGGATCCCAGACGGTGTTCGCAAGTTTGGTTTTTGGAACGTCAGTTATCTCGGACCTGACTTGTAACTTCGCTATCTAGATCTCTTTCACAACGCTTCAAGAATCTCCTGAACGGCAGGAGCAACCTGCTTTCTTGAAGCAGTCAGATCAAGTTGCGAGTATACGTCCAACAGTTGCTCTTTTTTGAACGGCTTGAGATCGAACTTCTCGGTCAAAGCAGACTTCAATTTGCCCACAAGGTCCTCATCATGGCTGAAGAACTCCAGTTCTCTATGGAAAGCGTCTGTTTCATCGACGAAAGATGACATTGTCATGTGTATTTGCAAGCACCTCTCTTTCCGCCAGCTATCGACACCCTTCGCCAGTTCCTCTGATCCATACTCACGTACAAACCAAGTGAATGGTTTCACGGCAGAGCTTATGCCAACTCGCACGTTGCCTAAGCTCTTAGTACCAATCTCATACTCTTTGTAATCCTTACGAAGAATATCTCTGACGGAAAGACCCGCCACGTCCGACTTTGCGGTCGAAATTTCACCAAAATAATTTCCAAGGATAGCCCCCTCCAATCCCAGGGTCTTGATGAAGTCAATTGCAGCAACATCTGGGTCCTCGACTCTGTGCGTCAGATTGGCAGTATCAACAAGTATAGGGGCAGTGATCAGACCCTTCAGCTCATGGAACAATTCCTGCACCAAATCGGATGAAAACTGGGTTCTCCAGTAGTTCAGCACCAAACTGGAACAACTTCCACATGTTTTTACGACTCTAGGATTGGCGTTCAAAAAAAGACCTTCATCAGCATGATGGTCGATTATGGCAGTGACAGTGCATCCACGGTTGGATATAAGCTCTTTCAACACGGGGCCTTGGGGATTATTGTGATCCAGCAAAACAATATCAATACTGTAATTGCTCATAAATTTTTCATCGATATCGTCTGTGAATATCAGCTTTTTAGGCTCTATGTTGGCTCTCTTCAGCACGAACTCAATGTCTCTCCTAAGTGTCAAGTCATCTCTCGGTATGTTCACTAGGGGAATGTACGAGCTTTTCTTCCCAAACTCTTCGTGCTGACTCGCCAGAAAAGCGTATGAAATCGCAGAGATCACAGAGTCCAGGTCTAAGAGGGGTGTTCCGTTAGTGTTCAGTCTCTCCACCACCCATAATGCTCTAATACTCACCAGCTGATTGATTCCCCGAAACCAGAGTGAATTTTCCCCCCTTTGGATAAGATCGGATCAATTCCTTGATCCCTGCCAAATATTTTACCACCAAAGTCATTCTTTTACCCACCAATTGTAGCAGAAACGCGGTGTTTTGGCCAGGAATTTTTCAAAGGGCTTATGCTGCAAAGCCTCATCGCTGAAGGATGCACCCGCCTAAAGTTTCCGCGTAAGTTCAATCTGTTATCTCGGAATTTCGAGTTGGTTGCTAGCGCTCGAACGAACTCTTCTTTCGCGTTTGGATTAACTACTATTGCTGAATCGCAGCCCGAAATAGAAGAATGGTTAGATTAAACCGCAGAATTACACGGATCGCTTTGCTGGGCTCATTGGTGACAATATCGGTGGTGCTTAGTGTGGGGCATTTCAGCGCTCTCAGGCTGTCTGCCGAGTACAACGAACAGGTCTCTAAAGTATCGCAGGGTCTGGCAGATTACCTCGAAGATTTCAATATTCACTTTTCTGACTTCTTTAGAGGTAGTTCCAGTGATTATGGCAAGGAATATGGAGTTGGAGAAATGCCTTGGACGGAGATTCAGGAGCGGTTGACGTTCAAAGAGGTGACCTGGAAAAAGCCCAAGAAAATTGTCGCCGAGAACATGGAGTTCTACCGGAAGTTGCTGAAGACTCCAATCAAGGAGCCCAAAGTTGATAATTTAATTCGTCCTCCCGGAAAGGGGCAGAACTACGAAAGAGCCAGTGCTACCTTTGCTGTTCTGGTGAGGAACCACGAACTGAGAGGGTTGGCCAGTACAATCAGGCAGATCGAATCGACGTTCAACCACAAATATCATTATCCTTATGTCTTGCTCAACGACAAGCCTTTCAGCTCTACTTTCAAGAAAAGCATCAAGAGTCTGGTTTCGGGAGAGGTGTTTTTTGAACAGGTTCCACAAGAGACGTGGGATGTACCTGCGGAGATTGACCAGGACAAGATGAAGGCCGCAATGGCCAATTTGAAGGCTCATAACGTTGGATATGCTGATAAGTTGTCCTATCACAACATGTGTCGCTATTATAGTGGGGAGTTCTTCAATCACCCCAGAATGCAGGAGTTCAAGTACTACTGGAGAATCGAGCCGAACACCCAATATTTCTGCGATATTGACTATGATGTGTTCAAGTTCATGGAGAGTGAGAAGAAGACTTATGGATTTGTGATTTCTCTCTACGATATTGAGAGGTCTGTGGAATCTTTATGGCCTACTACTCTAGACTTTGTGGCTAAAAACCCCGGGTTCGTTCATCCCAATGCGTCGTTTTCCTGGCTCACAGAAAACCTGCAAAATCCCCAGAAAACTTCCATGGCCAATGGTTATTCTACCTGCCATTTTTGGTCGAATTTCGAGATCGGAGATTTGGACTTTTTCAGAGGAGAAGCGTATCAGAGGTATATTGATGCTCTGAACGATGCAGGTGGCTTTTACTATGAGAGATGGGGTGATGCTCCAGTTCATTCTATTGGCCTGGGTTTATTTGAAGATAGATCCAAAATCCACTGGTTCCGCGATATTGGCTACAAGCATGACCCATACGAAAACGCTCCCAACAGTGTTCAGTGTCCAAAGGGCAAGAAAGCACATATCCCCGGGGATTTTTCGTATGGTCATCTTTACGACCAAAATTGTATGGCCAATTGGGTCAAGTATGAGATGAATGACCAGCTTTTGGGTGTGTACTAGTTTTTGTAAAATATTTTGAGTGTTATGAGTTTGATGAAAGAAATAGGTAAGGGTGGTCTGCAGACGGAAAGTCAGTAGATTGTGCAATATGGACTGTAGATTGTGGATAATACACTAGGTATTATCAGCAGACTGAAGAAGCTATACCACCACCATAATCGTGGTGGTTCTATACTTTCTAATCTGTACTCTCGATATTCTCTGTACACTATATGCACTATGTACAGTACACTTTTTATAGTTCCTGCACTCTTGCTAGTTGCGTCCCCAGCCATGTCTGGCCTCAGCCACATAACGCGCCACACTTCACACTCTGCTTCGTCGATTGAAATACTTCACTTTACCACTACGTCCAACTGATCTGTCTTATTACATCAACGAAATGTCTAAATCTGTTAATATCGCTATCATTGGTAAGCTGATTCTTTACAGACTCGTATAACATCTCTGTTGTTTTGCTAACTCTTTTTAGGTGCTGGTTTGGTTGGCTCTGCTTTCATCAACCAGCTCAAGTCCATCTCTCCATCTTCCATCAACTACAATGTTGTCCTGATTGCCACCGGTAGCAAGGCTCTGATCAGCAAGGAGTATTCACCATTGGATCTTTCTGCATGGGATTCCTCGCTTAAGGCTTCCACTTCAGCCGCATTGGCAATTCCTGAGATTTTGGCGTTCCTCTCCAAATCTCCTCTCCCCACAATTCTGGTCGATAACACCTCCAACGCAGATTGGGCAGCTGCCTATCCAAGTTTCGTCAAGAGCGGCATCTCTATCGCCACTCCAAACAAGAAGGCCTTCTCGAGCGACCTGGACTTGTGGAACCAGATCTTTGACGCCTCTTCTGCTCCTAACGGTGGCTTGGTCTACCATGAGGCCAGTGTTGGAGCAGGCCTGCCAATCATTAACAACTTGAAGGAGCAGATTCAGACCGGCGACAAGGTCGAGAGCATTGAGGGTATCTTCTCGGGAACTTTGTCCTATATCTTTAACGAGTGGTCCACCATTGCTCCTAACGATGCCAAGTTCTCTGATGTGGTCAAGGTCGCCAAGGAACTGGGTTACACGGAGCCTGATCCAAGAGATGACTTGAACGGCCTAGACGTTGCTAGAAAGGTCACCATTCTGGCTAGAATCGCTGGCTTGGAGGTTCAGTCGCCAACTTCGTTCAGTGTTCACTCGCTGATTCCAAAGCCTCTGGAGTCTGTTTCCTCGGGGGCAGAATATCTGGAGAGACTCCCAGAGTTCGATGACGAAATGAAGAAGCTCAAGGACGAGGCTGCATCCGAAAACAAGGTGCTGAGATTCATCGGTAAGGTTGATGTCCCAACCAAGACTGTTTCCGTTGAGATTGGAAAGTACGATTTCAGCCACTCCTTTGCATCTTTGAAGGGTTCTGATAACGTGGTCTCCATCAAGACCGCACGTTACCAGAACCCACTGGTCATCCAGGGTGCCGGTGCTGGTGCAGAAGTTACTGCTGCTGGTGTTTTGGCCGATGTGATAAAGGTCGCCCAAAGGGTTGGTGCTTGAATTTTATATGAAGAGACTCGTTAGAAGATACACAGAAAACTAATATCTGTATATCACAAATCATTACCATCGTAAAGGGCAAAGTCTATGTCATCCGTAGAAGCAAGTCGGGACTTTGCTTGCTTGAAAATTTCCCTCAGCTTGGCTTCGTTCTTGCAGACGGCTCTGAACTCCAACATCACCCGTTGTGAGTCCAGGTAGTAATTGACCGCATTGCCGGATTGCGTGGACACGGAACCACCGATATTCAGGTTAACTCTTGCAACGTGAGTGTTGTTGGGGGCCAAGACAAGGTCTCCAGAGTCCCGCAACTCGGCGATGTAAGCTCCAGTCTTATGGATGAACTGCGCGTACTTAAACTTGGGCTTTCCCCAGGAATAAGACACATCAAACGAATCGTCCTTGAAGAAAACAGCAGTTCTGTTGTCCAGCAAGAAACCTGTGCTCTCCAGCAGAAATATGTGGTAAAAGTACTTGTTTTTCCTCAGAATTGGCCGCAAGAAATCAGAAGCGAATTCAGGGTCCGTCCATGGGTCCAGGGCCAAGGCCAGTCTGACGAAAGAATGGAACGGGTTTCTTTCAGGAAGGGTACAAAGCTCCTGCCATGGTGTTTCCACCAGCTTGAGACCATATCTATCGCAATGCTTACCCCACTTGTTGATGGTGTCCTCTATCAGCTTACTGGTAGTGCTGAGCCATTCCAGTCGAATGTGGAAGCAATGGTCTGGATTATGGACTCTGTCAAAATGAACAGTCATGAGCTCCTGCTTATATGACTTTCCCGAGGGGTCAAGATCATACAGTAGCGATCTACTCAGAACAACACGTTTCACCTCTGGCTCTTCTGCCAAAGCATCTGCTAGTTTGATATCTTCGATGCTGGTTGATGGAGCAAGCAGAGGCGTCATTTTCAAAGGTGTTCTTCCGCCTGACTTCACAGAATCAGAGATGGAAGAGTTTTCGCTGTTGGGCTTATCAGTCTCGGCCTTTTTGCCAAACCAATTGGTTTTTTCGGCGATCTTGGTAGGATTGGACTTATCAACGTATTCTGGGTTGAGCGCATAGAAATAGTGGCCATCCAGGAACTTGTGTCTGCTTTCAACGTGCTTGAAAAGACCCTCATCCATAAGGTGGTTTCCAAAGTCAACGGCAACTTCTCTGGTGTCTATATCGGAGAAGTTCTCGATCAGCCATCTCACAAACTCAGACCCTAGAAAACAGTTGGCATGGGTTCTCAGATGCCACTTCCTGTCCACAAACTGGATTCCTTTCTCTCCTTGAAGAGTTTGCGCTATTTCTGCGCATGATATTGTTCTGTCAAATAATGTCCGTGAAAAAAGTGTGTTGTTTGTCTCACCATTCACACTGTACAAGTCCGCTTGCTCGTTCAAGAATGCGAACAAATTTCCAGTATAAAAACTGATCTCTGGTGAGATCTCAACCTTGCGGCCCCTGCCGTCAATGCGTTTCTTCTCTTCTGAAGACTTAAAAGCGCCTCTGAAAATCGAGCTAATTAATAGCCGAAGTCCTTCCAATCTCAGCTCTTCAGGTGTAAGTTTCTCACCATTATTGGCCAGTTGGAACGAAGTCTGTGGAACGTCTGCTGGGAGAATCACGAACTTCATTCTGTGGAACCTCCTATTATTTTCTTCCATTGTGTCGTCATAGCCAGCAAGTATCTGGTCAAGCTGGTTCCAGTTATACGTTTTGGGACTCTCGTTCAGTGTCCCGATGAGCGCAGGGCGGAACTCTTCATCGTACCTTGTTCTCACATTGGGAATGTAATCCTCGATACCTGTACTTCTGTCAACCATCAGAGGAGCAAAAATATCTTTTGAGCGACGGTATACCTGGACATTCACATTCCCGTGATAGTCGCAGCTCATCCGGTGGATTTCGTCACCCAAACTCATATATATACGAGAACCCAGATAGTTTTGCTTGCTGATGTAGCAAACCAGCAAGTTAACATCACCACCAGGCTTTCGCTTGCTTTCCACACGTTTAACATTTTCACCGACGCAAATCTGAAACCCCAGCGTCAGTCTTAAAGCAATCATTTCACGCATAAGGTCAAAACTGGTCATGTTCTCGTTGGTCTCTTTGGTGTTCAGGATGACATCGTAGATTCTGAAGGTGAAATTCTGATTGAAGTCTCCAAGAGTAGGAAATACCGGAGTCAGAGTAGGCAGAGATGCAGGAGAAGACAATGAGGTCCACTTGATTGCCCGTCTTTTGACGCTCGGAGGAAAGACGAATTGCCATCTACCATACGACACCATTCCCAAAAGCTCGGAAGTGACCGCTTTCGAGGGATTCTGTACTTCTGTCCACAGGTTTTGTGTAACTCCAACCTTGGCAGAAATGTCCTTTAAACTTCCTGTGGAGTCCTTTTTAGACTTGCTCCTTTTCTCTTTAAAAGCAGGCTTGCCAGTAGTCACCCGTGAGGTTATCAAGGTGGGTATCTCTTGAGTTCTGGGTAAACTAGGTATGCTGCTCGACTCGTCCGTGGTGTCAGACATCTTCGGAGAAGACGGGTTGGATGTTGATGACGATGATGTGATTCGTTTCATGAAGTTCAATGCCGATGAAAACCCAATTTTTTCTTCTCCTTTGGCAAGATTTAGCAACGTAGACATGGCTGTGGCCACTGGCTTTGCTCCGCCAACTCCCATGATGTTTGGCGTAGTCGGTACCACTTCCACTTGCTGAATCACAGTAGCTGGAGCCACAGGCGTTCCTCTTTCGGAACCAGGGGCATTTCCATACGTCAGAGTTCTGTTCATCTCATTGGCATAACGCTTCTTGGACTTGGAGAAACTCAAGACCCTGTTGTCCCTAGCATCGGAAAAGATCCCCGCATCGTGATCGTTCATCGCATCCAGAATGGACTTCTTGACGCCCTTGTACGTCAACGGCTCGATCGTGATTGCGTTGGTTTCTGTCTCCATTACACCCATCATTTGGATTTCATAGATCTTGCAGCGAGGCATCCATTGGTTGACGGATTGCATTGAATCATTCCAAAACGAAATATCCATCCAACTGGGTATACAATGATTCAGTTTTCCATGATTGTCTCTGTATCTGAATAATGGCACGACATGCAATGGAGGCTGACTCAGACAAATGACATCTATCGTTGAGTCAATGAAAGACATCTTTTTGCTGGTATTTATAAGGACGTCATAATCAACATCGTAAATGCCTGTTCCAGGGGATATTATCACAAAATGGTTCGTGGTGTGACGAAGATCTGGGTCTCTGAAATGGTCCACCACCAAGCTCATTCCCAGGTTCACAGCCTCCAGCAAATTTCCCTTGACTGCAGGCAGGAACCTTCCTTCTATCGTGTATTCTTCCGGGTGGCTATTGGTCCTGGCTTCGTTCTTCCGAAGTCTGATATCTTTCATGAAATTTGCAAACTCGTAGCGCAGAGTTCCCATGATTTCACTCCACATAACAATATTCACCTGATCCACCACTACCCTGTAAAAGTCCTTCCTGCTCGGTGGTCTCTCGCCAGGCTGGAGGTCTGTCCATTGACCATCCCCAAGATCAACACTACTGAACAGCACTATTGTGATCAGATGATGCGTCCCCATCTCCTTCCATCTCTTGAAGATCTTGGGAAATAATGAGTTCATCAACTTGTAGAACATCTGCTGACCACTCTCTTCGAAATGCCACATCTCACTGGATATCTGAATGAAAAAAATCAACCTTGAGGACTCTGAGCGGAATACCACTTTGGTATCCTCTCCAACATAGCACGAGAATACCTTCCTTCCGTTCCTATAAAGACCTCCAATCGTTCCTCTGATGGAGCTATCTATAAAGGAAACTTTCTGAGACTTGTAGAGACATGTTCCCACCAAAAATGAGCTTATACTCCACATGTCCCCACGGGACAGGTAGAGGTCCTTGATGAAAATCTCCACTACATCCGCTTGAACATCTTCTTTCTTTCTCAACCTTATCAACGCAGGGCTCCGTATCTTTAAGTTCAGCAAGGCCTGAAGCGGGCCTGATAGAATCGAGACTGTGTTATTGGTATTGATATTTGCTGCTGTTCCCGTGCCCACAGAATTGGCTGACTGAGGTTTTTCCTTCAGAATGAAATTCAATTTCTTCGTACTGCCCTCCAAGCATTGCAATTCACCCACATATCCCTTTTTAGGCCCGCTTATGAGTGAGGAATCAAAAACAACGTCGTCTGAAGACGTTCGCAGCTCGTGAAACTTCACACTCACTTGTAAGGGGTCTATGTACCCGATATCTGTATCCTCCAAAAAAACGTTGTCGTCTATCAGACTGTCTGTGGGGTCTGGCGTAACTCCTTTCGCATTGTTATGGCCAATCGCAAATGGTAAGTGATGTTCTGCCTGCGTTGTTCTTGACGGGGAAGTGATGAATGTGTGTTTTGCGGGGCCAGCCCCGCCTCTTTTGCCAACAATCAGACTGGCCTCATTGGCCCGCAACGAGACTCTGTTTCTGTCAAAGTCTGAGTTCATTAGAGCCTGAAACCCGGACACGGCTCTTGTTAGAAATATCAAGTCTTGTGTGAAGTATATGTCCCATTCTGCCGTATCCATCTTGACTTTTGGTCCTGATGTGGTGATTTGGTTGGTGCACTTCTACTGTCAAGAATAGTCAAAAAATACTGTGATTCATGTCATTTTCGATTTTATTACATATTATCCAGTGGCTTGTCACTCAAAACTAATCTCAATTGGTTTCAGCTTCCGCAGGCCCAACGTCTCTCTTAGCTCCTGTTTCGTGATAATTCCGGTGTTCAGCTTGTCCATTGATAGACGCAACATGCTCTTCGTCAAATCACTTACAGGCGGCCGGTCGCTAACCTTAAGCTTTTCAACAGAACCTCTTAGCTCCTTCAGAGCTTTGATCTCGGAAATATGTTTTCGCAAAGTGGCGTCCAAGGCAATCAACACGTGCTCGAAATCCTTTGGACCCTGAATAGAGTCCCTGTAGACGAGACACTTGATCAACAATATTTTGGACTCCAGCTCTCTCTTGCTATCCTGTGCAGATGCCAGCTTCTCGCGAATTGCATTTCTGATGGTTGCCTGTCTGATATCCAGGGGCAACTTCTTCTTGATTGAAGTTTTGTCTGTGAACTGGGAATTCAGCAGGGCCAGGTCTTGGGATAACTTGAGAGAGTATTGAGACGAAGTGGTACTCTGAGCCTTGACATTGCTTACCCTTTCCAAAACTTGCTGCTTCTCTTCTAGATGTTCTTTGAGTTGACTTTGAATGGAATCCGCAATCTGTGACACTGTCGAAGCGTCGTCAAGTTTCCACAACTCTGGTCGATCCAAAGAGGTCTCTTCGTATTCTTGATCAAGTGCCGTATGGCTCTTTATGAATTTGCCAATATTTGACACATTCTTTTCCAGCACAAGAAATTCAGACTCCGTGTCATAGTATAGTCTTTCCACTTCTTCAAAGTCGGGATCCTCATCCAAAGTAGGATAAACAACCTGTCGAAGTTGGAGATAAGGAAGAGGTTCCATTGGCTTTTCCACTGGACTGTTGATAACCCCTACTGTCCAGTCGTCACTTGACTTACCAGACCGAACATTCTCTGTTTCCTCTGCTTTCTTGTCCACAGACTGATCAGGATGCAGAGGTTTGGAGGTAGCTTCTGGATACTTGGTTCCAATGCCATTATCGAGCTTGCTTTTGAACGAGTCTTGAGGTTTCTGAACACCCTCTTGAATCTTATTGGGCTCTGGCTTTGTATCCTGGACATCTGGGCTTTCCTTTTCAGCCGTCTCTGCCTGCTCTTTCCCTGACTCCAAACCCTCAGAACTGCTTTTAGCAGCTTCGGGCACTTTTGCTTCTGTTGAGGCTAAAGCAGGTTCAGGGTCGTCACTGCTTGCCTTCGTCTCGGAGACTTTTGGAGACTCTTCTGTGCCATAATCTGGGGTGGCCTCAAAAAGGTTTTTGGTTATTTCTGTTGGCTCTAATTGTTCAGGCTCATGTGGATTGAGTTGTTCGTTATCTTCAGGCACCGGCTCGTTCTGCTCTGCTGCAACATCACCGACAGAGTTGTCCACAACTGCACTGTCGTCTCTGAAAAACGATGTCTCTGGGGCAGCTGAGTCTTCTTCAAACGATACCTCATCGCCAGAACTTCCCAGGGTTCGCTCTTCGTCCAGTGTGGACGCCTCAGCCTCATCTTCCTCGCCCTCGCTTTCGATTCTCGAAAATTCAGAGCCAGGCTGAGAGGTATCAGCTGAAAGATTCACCAAGCTTTCAGGAACTTCGCTGTCATCACCAGTTTCATCAAACAAACTATCACCTTCTGCTGGCTCGTTCAAGTCGACATTTCCAAATGATAACTCAGACTCGTTGTTCGTTACCGAAGGGTCTTGCTCGTCATTTGCCAGTTCTTCCAATTCATCCTGTTCACTTTCTTCACTTGAGCTGTCTTCAGTATCTTTCTGAGCCGTTGTATTGGCCGGCGTGGAAAACAGAGGAGTAGACTTGGAGCCCAGAGTTTCAAAAGGAGACTTTGATGTCGAGCCCAAAGTTTCAAAGGGAGACGCTGATTTGACAGGTTCATTCAAGCCTGCAGAGAGATTCCCAAAGACTGATTTGCTGGCAAAAGCACCAAACCCTGATTTCATTGAAGCGGCTGGAGCCGTTGACAAGGATGTTCCAAATGAAGACTGTCCAAAAGTTGAGCTTCCAAAGGCAGTTTGAGTAGAGGACAAGGTCGGTGATGAAGTTCCAAAGGTGGACTTACCAAATGTTGAGCTTCCAAACGAAGTTTGTCCGAAAGCAGTCTGACCTGGAGTAGCGGCATTCGAGGCTGTTGGAGCTGTTGGAGCTGGAGAGGACGCTCCGAAACCGGGCTTTCCAAACGCTGAGCTTCCAAACGGACTTGGCTTCGATTCGGTTTCTCCAGTTGTTCCAAAAGTAGGCTTCCCGAATGCTGAACTGCCAAAAGCATTCTGTCCCGCTGCTGGATTCCCAAATGAGCTCTGCCCAAAAGCACTCTTGCCGATGGAAGACCCTCCAAACGCAGGAGCTGGCGTGGTTGACTTTTCCTCGGAGAATGTTTCCTTTGATTTTGAGGCGACTAAGCTTCCAAAAGGAGAAGCTTTCTCACCTGGTGGTGACGTCTTCTTGGCAGCTAAACCTCCAAAAGGAGAGGACGTTTCACCCGAAGTTTTGTTTAAACTAGCAAAAGGCGAGCTCTCTTGAGCAACTTTTCCAAACCCACTTGTACCACTTTGAAACGAAAATGCAGGTTTAGAATTCCCGGAACCACCAAATGCAGATGTGCTGGACTGGCCGAACGTGCTGCTCCCGAACGCTGTTGCGGTACTTCCAAAGGTAGAAGAGCCAAATGCAGGCGTCTTGGTCTCAAGAGGTTTCACTGAGCTGAATGGAGAATCAGAAGTGGATTTGGAGACTTCAAAAGGAGACTTCGAAGATGCAAAGGGATTGGCAGTAGGTGATGATTTAAATATGGAATCGGGCTTTGAGCTGGATATTGGCTCGGCCTTTGTTTCGGGTTTGGTCTCAGACTCAGCTATTTTCCCGGATATCTCGAAACTTGTGAACTTCTTAGCATGTTGAGATCTCTCGGCCTCAAAGCCCAAAATTGTGTCCAGCTTGACACTGCCGGTGCTGAGTCCTTTCTTATAGAATAATTCCCATGCCACCAGTTCACCCCGTTGGGTTAAAACCCAAATACGAGGCAGAGGAGGTGATCTTTCAACTCCCACCACTGGTGCTATAACGTCTTCAGTGGCAGTGAGGTCTAATGCAATTCCAAGTGGGGTGTCATCATCACCCGTATCTTCGTCAATTGGCAACTGGGCTCTGTCACCATCATTTAGCTGGGATATGATCTCGTTGGGACTGACAATGGCAATATCAGTAGACAAAGCACCCGCAACAACGTTCAAGAAAGGGAAATCTTCGAGCCATTTGTGGAGAGAAACGCTGTAGATTGTGGGTTTCCGTTCGATGATTCCGTAAGGAGAGCAGATCAAGGATGACTCCTTCCAGGTAAGAGTATCACCATCAATAGTGAGCATCACACCCGCATAGTCTGGACGCTCATCTTCGTCGCGTTCCACATCTCCGTAGAAAGTCAGCCACGAACCGGCCGAAACTGAACTGATGGAGATTGGAAACGAAGGGTCTATCGCCAGCCCAACAGGAGCATTCAACACTCTCTCAGAAAAATTCTCTGTATTCACCAACTGCAACTGTCCATTTTTGAGGCCAGCTAGAATTGAATTTGACTCGAAAGACGACCACGAAAATGAAAGAACGGACGAACCGATGAGCTTGGTATCCGTCTGATCCAGGTTTACTATGTGTAAATCTCCATTTTCCAGAAGTACCGCTGTCATGTGGCCGTACCATGGAGCATTCTGGAAGCTTTCAACACCATGGTCGAATTTCCGTATCGATTGTAGATTCGTCTCACCAGCAGAGAGAAACAGTAGTTCGTCACCCGAAGACGCAATCAGTTTGGAGCCATCCGCAGTATACGAAATAGAAGTTATCTTCTTTCCGGAAGTGGATATCACATTCTGATCTTCAACTTCAGTCGAATCTGCGCCAAGTTTTTCTACCAACTTGCTGATATCACCTGTGATGAGCTCTGTCTGGTTGTATGCAGCATACTTGCCAGTGGTATTATCCCATGCAAGAAAGTTCAGTGTGTTGTGTTTGAGTGTGGAACCATCGGATATTCCCGACAGCAACCGAATTCCTGAGCCGACTTTTCTGAACCCGAAATCCTGGAAAAACAGTTAGTAAATCGATCACGACATCGAGGCTTGAAGACTGTGGTACCTACCTCAGTAACCAACTCCTCCAATTCTTCAACAGCCATAGTGCAAACGTATTAGACGTGAAACACAAAGAGGATGAAGATTCGAGCCAACTTCAAAAGGTCCAAATAGAAAAACCCGTTATGTTCGTGTGGTGAAACTTGTCTCGTGTTTATGTACATGTTGGACAAATATTTTGGACTTGTAATGTAATTATGTAAGCTTGTTGGTACACGCCCAAAAATATTTTTGCTCTTCCGAAAAATTCAGTCTTATCAGAGTAGTCTGGTGTACATCTCCACCTCCACAGACCAATGGCGAAAAAGAAGTCACAGACCAAGGCCAAGAGCCAGAGGAGGGTTCAAGATGCCTTTCAAATGGCTGAGAGAGAAACCAGGGGCTGGGACAACAACGATAGCGATTCTGACGACAATGTCAGAGGAGGTATTATGAGGGCCAAGAAGAGCATGGAAGGAGGCCATTCCGGGAGCGAGGACGACTTTGAGGATGAGGAACTTGACTCTGACGAGGCATTTGGCTCCGAAGATGACTATGATATTCTGGATTCCAAGTTCAAGGGAGGAAAATTGAATGACGAGGAGTATGACAGTGATGGCTCCTACACTTCCATAGACGAGGATGATTTGATTCCACTCAGTGAGGTCTGGGACAGAGACGATGCGGATATGAAAAGCACTGTTCCAAGCTCTTCTTCTAAGCAATCCAATGATATTGTTTTGAACGAGGACTTTGAAAGCGAGAGCGAAGAAGAATCCTCGGATGACGAGCCATCTGAAGATGACGGTAATGAAGACGAGGAAGACCCCTTCACGGGTTTCTCGGAGGACGAAGAGATTGAGCTGTCCAATGTTAAATCGGCTATAGATGCCAAGCGGCCAAAAGCTTTGAAGAAAAAGAGGTTTTTGGTCAATGAGACGCAGACAGAAAGCGAGTTCAATGTTCCTGTCAATGGTACGTTGTCTTTGGAAGACATGATTGCCGGTGTCGAGGGTGCTCAGGAAGAACTTCGTTTTGTCGATACCACTGAGGATCAAGAAGGTGGTGCTAAGGTGGTTGCGGTCCCTCTCCCACAGAGCATAAAGGAAAGAAACGACAGAAGAGCAGCTTACGAGATCACCAAAGACGAGGTTAACAAGTGGAAAGACACCATCCAAGAGAACCGAAAGGCTGAGGTGTTGAAGTTCCCATTGAACCCAGAAGTCGAGCATAACATGCCTTCTTCGTTCACTGCTCCCGAGAAGCCTTTGACCGAGTTAGAGGAAAAAGTTCAGAAGGTTCTGGTGGAATCCTCTATGGATAACATGAAGAAAGAAGAAGCTCTGTTTGAAGAGATCATGTCTGCAAAGATGTCCAAAGAGGAGATGATGAAGAGAACCAACGAACTTAGGCTTATGCGTGAGTTAATGTACCGTGGACAGCGCGACTCCAAGAGGTTGAAGAAGATCAAGTCCAAAGCATATCGCCAGAAACTGAGAAAGGAGAAGCTGAAAAATCAGGAATTAATCGATGAACTCGAAGGTGATGATGGTGATGACGAAGAGGCAGATCTGCAGAGGGCCAGAGAAAGAATGTCGTTAAAGCACAAAAACCAATCTGCTTGGGCCAAGAGCATGACGAAAAGCGGTATGACCAAAGATAAAGAGGCCAGAGACGAAGTTGAGAGCATGTTAAGGCAGGGCGAAAGACTGCGTATGAAGCAGCTTGGCAGAGACGGAGAGGACGAAGACCAAAGGGACCTTGATGATATGGAACGAGAGCTTGAGGAAGAGAACGTTGAAGTTGATCTTTCCAAGCTCGGTAAAGGTGTTATGAATATGGATTTCATGAAAAACGCTGCAGCCAGGTCCAGGCAGGATAATCAAAGACTTCTTGAAAAGCTCAGAAATGGTGACGATTACGAAGAGGACCAAAACGTGGACTCTGTGAATGTGAGCCACAATGTGGGTAGACGTGTATACACTCCGGGTGTTTCAGATCTCAAAGCTCAAACTGCCGAACTGGACATTCAGGTTGCTAACCAGATCGCAGAGGAAAATGAGAAAAGTCTTTCTGGTCGTCTCAATGAGAGACGGAAGCTCTCGGAGAAGGTGGTTGTTTCTACTGAACAGGCCGTTAAAGCTACTGCTTCCAACCCATGGTTATCGTCAGATTCAAAGTCCAGAAAGTCCAATAGGATCTCTGTGGTTGACGAGTCTTCCTCTGTTTTGGCCAAATCTGCTTCGAAGATCAATAAGAAGAGAAGTGCAGGCTCCAATCACGATCTGGACGACTCGAATCTGATTGATCTTGACTCCACTCTTCGCGTTGTGGATCCATATGGAGGCGAAGACGAAGGAGAGGAACACGAGATTGAAAGCGGTGGAATGTTCAAGCAGAAAGACCTGATTAGACAGGCGTTTGCCGGAGATGATGTGGTCAAGGAGTTTGAGGAAGAAAAGAAACAAGTGATCGAGGAAGAAGACGACCAGGAAGTAGATGACTCCATGCCAGGTTGGGGAGGATGGGCTGGCGAAGATATCAAGCCCAAACAATCTAAAAAGAGAAAGATCGTGAAGGGAGTGATGAGCGCGAATAAGAGAAAGGACAAGAACATGAAGAAGGTGATCATCAACGAAAAGGTGAATAAGAAGAACTCCAAGTTCCAGGCCCAAGGTGTTCCGTATCCGTTCGAGACCATGGAGCAGTATGAGAGGAGTCTCAGGCTTCCAATGGGCCAGGAATGGACCAGTAGAGAGACTCATCAAAAGCTCACCATGCCAAGGGTTATTGCTAAGCATGGCTCTATCATTGATCCATTGAAGGCTCCGTTCAAATGAAAGTGAAAGATCCCTGTATGCTATAAATAAACATGTGCCCCCAATGAAACTGTCTTAAGCGAAATCTGCAGACTCTGTAGAATTTACCCATCTAATTTATCAACGTGTAACGCTGTGTATGTCCCATCTGGACATATCCTACCGTAGAGCCATTGAAGGCTCCTCCCCGGAGAAAAAAACCCTCTTCAAAGGGTATAATTCACCTGTCTCGGTACTCGCAATCCTCCAAAAGACTCCTTTTTCAACCAAACGATCGTCCATATACCCTAGTCTTTGTACCCCGAGTTTTAGACTCATCCTCCGCTCGTAATTTGAAGGTTGTTTCCCAATGGGGATATCGGTTTGAGCACGCTCGTATAATCGTATTTGCAGGCATCGCTCCCTGAGTTAATTATACGAGAGTCGATGGCTACCAAACAAGCCGTTGAGAGTTGCTGTTAACCCCTTTTGAACCCTGTTTTTTTCCAAATATTCGCTCAAATCTGCTATCTAACTGTTGTTGGTCGATAGATTCGCGAGGTGTTCGCGTTATATCGAATGAGTGTTACAGACATAGTGACACCGACCAAGGATGCATTGACCTCAGTCACAGATAACGAAAAAGGTCTTTCCTTTACGGAGACAGCGTCGGTCTCGCTCAAAGTGAGAGGTCTGTCTATTCGTGCAGTTTCAACTAGTGGATTGAAGCGCAAGTTTGCGCGGAAGAAAGAGGGAAAAGCAACCCAAAATCAGGATGCTGGTGAAGGCCACGATGTGTTGGGTGAAAAGTCAATTTTGTTTGATATGTCTTTCGACGTGCCGGCTGGCTCGGTTACTGCTATAATGGGAGGTTCGGGTTCTGGTAAAACCACTCTGTTAAACTCAATGGCTGGAAGACAGGGAAAATCGAATCTGGTCACTGAAGGGACCATCATGTACAATCAGTCGAAAAACATTTCGTCGATACGACACGCCTATGTGATCCAACAGGATATTTTGTTGCCTCAGCTAACATGTTTTGAGACCCTCAGTTATGCTGCAGAATTGAGATTGCCGAAGTTAACCAAGAAGGAAGAAAGACACCGGCTTGTGGACGAGCTGATTCTGGAGCTGGGCTTAAAGGAGTGCAGAGACACTATGGTTGGAGATAGAATTCACAAGGGATTATCTGGTGGTGAAAAGAGAAGACTCTCGATTGGAATACAATTGCTTGCTAATCCATCGGTGTTATTTCTAGACGAACCTACGACTGGGTTGGACGCTTACAGTGCTTTGCTATTGGTCCAGACTCTTAAAAAATTGGCTAAAAAGGGCAAAACTTTTATTGTCAGCATCCACCAGCCAAGATCTGACATTTTTTCTCTTTTTGACCAGATTTTGGTTCTTTCTAGGGGAAGAATGTGCTATGGAGCAAAAGGCAGCGAGATCATCTCATACTTTAGCGAATTGGGTTTCAATGTTCCGGAACTTGTCAACCCTGCAGATTACCTAGTTGATATCACCAGCATTGATTTCCGCACACCTGAAGCTTACAAGCGGAGTTCGGCCCGATATGATGTAATTGCTGAGTCCTGGAGGGCCCGAATGATGTCAACGGACGATACGCCTTTCGCAGACTCTGCTCCGAACGACTTGAGTGCGGAGACTTTTGAACCTGGACGAGCTCCTTTTCTCAGGGAAGTGAAGATTTTGGTGAGACGCAACTTTGTTTTGACATTTCGTGATCCTGTGGGATTTGCAGCTCTGATCTTCGAGTGCATTACTCTGGGCAGTGTGTGTGGTTGGGTATTTTACCGTCCAGGCACCTCACTTTCAGCCATTAAAACCATCCTTGGTTCTCTCTACATCACCACCTCACTTCAGGTTTACTTGTTATTATTATACGAAACCTACAGACTGTGTACAGTGGACATGAAGGTGTTTGATAGAGAGAGGTCTGAAGGATGCACCACGGTGTGGGGCTTTCTTCTTGCAAGAAGAATAGCCAAGCTGTGTTGCGAAGATATCATTGTACCGTTTATATTTTCCATCATCACCTACTTTATGTTTGGTCTGAGAACGGACAGTGCCAGCCATTTTTTCATCTTCTTTGTCGAGAATTTCGTTGGCCATCTGACGTCAATGTCTCTGGCCACTTTGGCAGTTGCCGTCTCAAGAGAAGTCTCTACTGCTACTCTCATTTGCAATCTCAATTTCACGTTTCAGAGCATGACCAATGGGTTTTTCGTGAACGCTAAGGATGCTCCAGTATATGTTAGATGGTGCAAATACGTTGCATATGTGTGGTATGCCTTTGGATGTCTCTCTTCCAATCAGTTTACTGGTTTCAAGGGTTCGTGCTTTGCTGAAAATGCTTCCAATCCCGACGTCGATACCATTTGCCAGGCTTATTCTGGCTCATTCGTTCTGGACTCGATAGGATTTTGGGAGAACTGGATTGCATTGCCAATATGTGTTCATCTGTGTTGGGCAATTGGATTCTACGTTGCAGCTGGTGTGTTTCTGACCCTCAAGCCTGTTGATGTGTCTATGGCCAAAGAAGTTGGGACCAAGATAAAGGACACAAATCTTGATTTACTGAGCAAGGACGTTGAGGAAGAAAAGGCCATTTCTCGTTCGACTCCAGAGGAGATCGGTATAACTTTGAGACTCCAGTCGCTCTGTCTGGGAGTAGAGCTCAAATCACCAATTCGTTCTTTGCTGAGAAACTCGGGCCAAAGCAAGGTCATTCTGAGTGATATTGATGCGGTATTCAAGGCTGGCAAAATGAACGCTATAATGGGGCCTTCTGGGTCCGGGAAATCGTCTCTGTTGAATCTGATAAGTGGAAGAGTTAACTCCAATCTCACCACGAGATATTCCTCGTCAGGATCTATCTACTTCAACCAATACCATGTGAACACCCATGTTATTCGCTCTCTGTGCTCGTATGTGTCACAGGATGACGATAATCTGTTGCCCTCTCTTTCAGTCGAAGAGACGTTGAGATTCGCAGCTACTCTGAGGCTTTCTAGAAGCAAAATGACCAGAGCCGAAATAAACGAACTGGTGGATGGGTTCATCCGGAAAATGGGTCTCACAGAGTGTAGAAACACTCCTATTGGTTCGGAGTTCGTCAAAGGTATATCTGGAGGAGAGAAAAGACGAGTCTCCATTGCAATACAACTGCTGAACAATCCAAAGATTTTGTTTCTTGATGAACCGACGTCAGGTTTGGATGCCTTCACCGCATCCTCCATACTGGACGTCTTGAGAAAACTGACTGAAGAGGGAAAAACCGTCATAATGACAATTCACCAACCACGCTTCGATCTGTTCAATTCATTTGGATCGGTGCTACTTCTGTCGAAGGGAGGGAGAGTTGCATTTGATGGGTCCCCTACAGAAATGCTGGATCATTTCGGGTCATTGGGATATCCAGTTCCTGCTCTTACTAACGCTGCAGACCATGTGCTTGATTTGATCTCGTATAACACGCAGAACGAGATTGCAGAAGCCAATACTAGAATGCGAGTTTCGCAGTTGTTGAACGTTTGGGACCAGAAAAAGACGCAGCAAAAATCTCTGGAGCTCACTGAGCAGACAACCGTTGTCGATGATACTTATCTCATGGCTGAACAATTCAGCACATTTGTGAGGAAAAGAGCTGCCACCTTGACTGCTTTTAAGACGTTATGTCGTAGACAATTCCTGTGTGTTTGCAGAGATATGAATTTGTTCATGGCAAGAATAGCGCAGGTAACTGGTATGGGAGTTATACTGGCTCTTTTCTTTGCACCCATGAAGCACAACTACAATTCTATTCAGAATAGGATTGGTATTCTTCAGCAGATATCCTCGCTGTATTTTGTGGGGGTCTTGAACAATGTGAGTGTTTATCCGATGGAAAGAAACTTCTTTTACGAAGAGTACGAGGATAACGTTGTGGGATCAGTCTCGTTCTTCCTAGCTTATCTGACTTGTGAGCTTCCATTTGAAATCTTCACCGCCCTGGTGTTCTCTGTTTTTGTGGACATGGTGGTTGGTTTACCGAGAAATCCCGAGACTTTTTTTGCTTTGGCGTATGGTGCGTTGATGACAGTTAATACTGGGGAATCCTTGGGCATTATATTCAACACATTGGTGGATCACGCGGGATTTGCGCTAAACGTGATCTCGCTATTGGCCTCGCTGGCTACCATGATGTCTGGTTTGATGTCCTTGAACATGGGTGCTTTTCTACGTGGCGTAAATTGGGTCTCTCCTCTTTGCTACGTCGTGAAGATCTCTACGAATTTAGTGTTCACTTCAGATGTCCACTTCACGTGCGATAACACAACGGCCAACGCTGATGGTACTTGCACTTTCTCCAATGGTGAAGATGTGTTGCATAGTTACGGGTTCCATGCCAATGTACCGCTCATGTGCGGCCTTCTTGCGGTCGTGACAGTCTCGTATAGACTTATAGCATATGGAGTTCTGAGGATCAGACTTCTCAGGGTTAGTTTGGATGATTTCAGGGCTAAAGTTGGCCTGAAGTCGTAGGCGAAGCTGAAGACTCTTGCAGGAGCTTCAAAGCGCAATGTCTCTACCTACACTTAGTGGACCAATATAATGAATTAATGAGTATTTACGAACTGAAAATTGTACAGATCATATGTATTTAAACCAGGTTTTACTTAAAATTACTGGGCTTTTTGTATGGTCGTGTTCTGTTTAATTTACTTTAATCTCAGTGTGTTGAACAAAACTTTACCCAAATCAAGAAAAGCGCGAGTGGTTTAGTGGTAAAATGGATCGTTGCCATCGATCCGCCCCGGGTTCGATTCCCGGCTTGCGCAATTCTTTTTTTGTTTTTTCACTTTTCAGATTAGAAGGTTGTTGTTTTTTTTGGATCTTTGAGCTCATCAGATCTCGAAGTGCAGAAGTCTCTGGAAATCCGATATCACGGTCTATCCTGGTGCTGATTGTGTTAAACAATGCTTCGTCTGAAATTTTTCACTCCCAGCCCGATTGGGCTGACGAAATGTGTGAGGTTATACTCCAGCGTCTCAAAAGTGATACCGAGAGAATTAAAACCCTACCATGACAGATTGAGCTCTCTGAATGACTCAGGAGAAGCAAGAGATGTTGTCGAGGCTTCAGAGACAGACAGTGAGCTGAATGAGGACTTCAAATCCCAGCTGTATAACCAGGTGATACGGCAGTTCGCACGAAGTGACTACTCGGTGGTGAACGAATTTTCCGGAAAACTTACAAAGTTAGGCAAGCATTTAGAACCTGGCGCATTGATAGAAGCAATAAAGTATAACCCAGGGAGAGTGAATACCAGCTGGGAGATATATGAGAAGTTTGCACCAAATGCTGCTCTGGAGGCCTCACCGGTGCTTGCACAGATCTTATACCTGGAGGTACTTGAGAAGCTGTGTCTCGGGGAACTGATAGATATTGAGGAGGGCTATGAGATGGATGAAAAGTCTTTGGGAAAGGCATTCCAGCTGGTTGGCAAATTGGTTGCTCCAGTTCCTGAGTCTCTCCGCAAAGTTCTGGTAGAGGCTTGTATCAAACTGGATCTCGTGCCCATGATCGCACTTTTGGAGGTTCAAGATGCACATTTAGAAGACTTGATTCTTACTCTTGAAAATGAGGAGGAGAAAATTCTACAACTGTGGAAGCTTGTGAATGAGTCTTCTGCCAATGTCCAGGTTTTCAAGACCGTCATACCCGTGATTGCGAGGAACATCAAGGAAGAGTCCGGAAAGCAAGAAAAGCTGCAAAAATTCATAAAAAATGCACAGATTTCCGAAGACTCTGCACTCAAGACTCTTTTGGACCTAAAAGCTTCCAAGTTGCTGGAAAATACGCTAAAAAGACTCCAGGATCTAAAGGCTGACTCTGGGGCTCATGATGATGCTCTTGGCGTAAGACTTCTGCTACTGAAGTCGATTGGCATTTATTCAGAAGATTTAAAGAAAACTTTGGAATTGTTCCACAAGTACCAGAGTGTTGAAAAATACAAGCGTGAGGATTTGCAGAAATCAATGGCGGTTATCCTGGCTTACCATTCGGTGCTCAGTGGTAATCAGATACTTCTGCAGGTGAGTGAATCGATGATCCCACAAACTCCCATCCCGGCTGAGTGCACTGCCGCTCTTATCCTGGCAAATGGAGCTCTTGGAAATCCAGAAAATTCGCTTGATATTTATAATGCCAATATCCAGAACGTTTCAAAAGATAATCTGAATCAGCTTGAAATTTCAGATTCGGCCCTTCTCACTGAAAGTTTGATTGCGGTGTATCTGGGACAGCAGGATCGGGATTTTGCTGAGCTCATCAGAAATGGAGCCACGAGCTCGGGACTCATCTCTAGAGATACCGGAGTAACCAGAGTCAAGGCCATGTTCAAGAACTATGGGGATCTGGTTGAAGAGGCCGATACCGAGTCTCGGCTGAATGCAATGCTCATCGGCAGAATAAAAGATTTGGCGTAGATAACGGTGGTCACGTGAACTTTCGAATTTTTCAAAGTCCTAAGATTGCGACGAGAACGTCAAATACATAGAATGGTTGAAAAACTTTGGATTTTTGATTCGTAAAAAAGCCAGAGATTAGATCTGATTACAAAAATGGCTACCAACATCACCTGGCACCCTAATTTGACTCACGAAGAGAGAAAGGCCTCCAGAGGCCAATCTGGAGTTACTGTATGGTTGACAGGCTTGAGTGCGTCTGGTAAGAGGTGAGTCTTCATTATTTCATAGGACTTCTTTGGGATTCCCACAGTTTCCACCTTTCGGAACCAAATATCTAACTTCATTTCTCCATAGTACCATCGCATGTGCCCTTGAACAATACCTTCTGGAACAGGGCATATCTGCCTACCGTCTGGACGGTGATAATGTGAGATTTGGTCTCAACAAAGATTTGGGATTTTCAGAGGCAGACCGCAACGAAAACATCCGCCGCATTGCTGAAGTCTCGAGACTTTTTGCCGACTCTTGTACGGTTGCGATCACTTCGTTCATTTCTCCATACAAGGCAGATCGCCAGAAAGCTAGAGAGCTGCACAAACAGGACAACCTGCCATTTGTGGAAGTTCACGTCGATGTGCCTATTGACGTTGCCGAGCAAAGAGATCCAAAGGGACTTTATAAGAAGGCAAGAGAGGGCTTGATCAAGGAGTTCACCGGGATTTCTGCTCCTTACGAAGCACCCGAGTCCCCTGAGATTCTGCTGAAGACGACCGAGCTGAGTGTTGAGGAGTCTGCAAAGAAGATTGTGGATTACCTTGTGGAGAACAAATTGATCACGTTGAAATAGTAGCAAAATGTATAATACTTTGCAAAGGAGAAGTGTTTGTTAGTTGGTAGATCTGAAGTGAACATTCATGTTAGTCAATAGATACATTAGCTATCCTGTTTATACTGGCCATATCATCTACCCCTATGTTGCTGTAGATGCCTTCGAAACTCTGTCCCTTTTGTTTATCACCATTTTTATTGCAACAATCCACTTCAACAACTCTTCCTCGTTATCTGCACAAAAACGTATCCTCTTCTTCTTCGTTATGATAAGCAGGCACCATAACCTGGTCCGCGAAAGAGGGTCCAACTCGCAAATATCCAAGATATCGTTAACATCGATTGTCTTGATCGGTTTGTCTCTTCTTGTAGATGCTTTGTAGAAATACATTCGCTTGTTGGTCAGGATAATGCGGAACTTTTTCCATTGGCTGTAGGTCTTGTACAGTCTGGAGAGATGACCCTGTTCTATAAGAATTTCGTTCTTGGCGTCTGATCCAAACTGAATGTCTGTAGCCAGATCTGTTAGCTTGCTCGACGGGCTTCCTTCTTCGCCCGGTTTGGTGTTCATTGGAGAGAGACTCTCCTCGATCACATCCAGAGAGGGCTGTTGATTTGTATTTGGTGGTAGGACCGCCGGTATCACGGCGTTGGACTGTTGGAATGAATCCGACGCGCACGACGTATAATTTGGATCATCAACTCCACTGAACTGGTCATGGCCGGATGTTTCTAGGTTGGGAGCTTTGACATTTGGTTTCTGGAACGGCACCGCGAAGATTTGCTCGGCCTGCTCCTTTTCTTCGACTTCTTCGTCTTTTCGGGCTCCGTTTGACTCGTCATGTGACTCGTCCCCATGGTTAATCACTTTCTCCAGTGCACTTTTCCAGCTCTGGTAGATGTCCTCGCTCTCAGCATAGAGCTTCAATTTCTTGTTGTTCGTGTACACCACGAAATGGGGATAATTTGAGTGTTTCTTGTCTACACGGCTTGTAGATCTCAGATTCGAAACATCTATCACACTCGTTGGTTTGTGCTCCTTGGAGTCTTTGTATTCGGCCAGCTGGCCTACCCGTAACACGAACCATTTCTTCTTGTAATTGTGCGTGGTGGCTGACTTCCGGTAAAGATAAGATGCAACAAGGATCTTGTTGGGATCTTTGCGGTTGTTCTGTGGCGACAATGGCTGCAACGGCCGCTGGATGGTGTTGGTCTGTATGATTTGGTGGTGGCCGTGACTGGTCACCGGCCCGATTCGCGATAGTCCCGAGACCATTCTGTAATCGCAGGAGAAAAAACGTGTCCCTATTCAACACGAAGCGACCCTCCAAAAATGGAAACCAGACCTGAACCAAGTGAATAATCTGTCTTCAACAGGTGTTTGAACCAGCCAGCGTTAGAGAATCCAAATGTGGTGAGGGGATTGGAGTACGTGTAGAAAGCAATTTACCCCATTGGGAATAGTTCATGCGCCGCACGTGATGGTACATGAACAATAAACGAATGAAAGATGAACGAGCTTTAAAAAGAACGTTCTTAATATGATTTTATAATTTTATTGTTTCAATATTGGCAAGGAAATATGGCTAGAAAATGTGAAACACTTGGGCCAAGTCTTGGTAACGACTATTAATTGATAAAAGGCAGTTTGAAATGGACGTTATTTGGTTTACATCAAGATGAATTACATACATAGCAGCATTAGCGATGAAACGAAAAAATAATATTAAGGAATGTGAGAAAGTTAAATTAATTTTGGCGTCGTGATGCTTCTGGCCAGCAACACGGCCATATTAGAGCTCGAAGCTTGCTTGAGCTCTTAGGCTCAAGCCCTCTCTAGATACTCAGCCTGAGTCTTGTTCTGTGATTCAGAAGATTCAACACGAGGGTCATAATTTTCCTCGTCTGAAAGGGACTCAACCTCCTTCTCAAACTCGTTGGCGGCCGACTCCACCTTGAGGTTGGCATTTCTGTTCTCTGGACCAGCTAGAACGATCAGCAAGACGTAGCCAAACACACAGCCGATGAAAATGGACATAACCAGAGCATAGTTGTAGATCTGGTCACCAGTCTTGCTCTGCAAAGGAAATCTTTCACCGATAGTGGTTTCAATGGTAGAAGAGGCAGATGAGGCCAGGTTACCAAGTTGGTAAGCAGCACCCACAATGAATGCTCTGAACTCTGGTGGAGACAGTTCCGAAAGATGGACAGGAACGACTCCCCATGCACCCTGAACAAAAAATTGGAGAAAGAAACAACCTGCGTTGATAGCTGAGTTGTTAACAAAAGCCCAAGGATAAATAAGAGCGCCTCCACCAATGCAGCAGACAATGATGGAGAGTCTTCTTCCAACAAACTGCGACATGTGGCCCACAAAAATTCCTCCAGTGATGGCACCCAGGTTCGCAACACAGTTGGTGACCGTGGATCTGTCAGCAGAAAATGAATATTGTTTGGTAAGCAAAGTTGGATACAGATCCTGAGAGCCATGAGACATGAAGTTGAAACCGGCCATGAGGAAAACCATGTAAATGATCATCAACCAGTAGATCTTGAGCGAAGCAACTGCTTTCTCCTTGAAGGTTGGTTGGGAAATGTTATTCTCGACGTTGTATTGCTCAAGTTGTTTCTTCTGCTTGAAAAACTCGGTCTCAGGCAAGAGAGACCTGAACACCACAATCAAGAAACAGACACCTGCTCCGAACCAGAACATGGCTCTCCAGGACTTGTCGGTAGTATCAGCAATGGCTCTGGTGAACACCACAGCCAACAGGTAGCCAAGAGCATAGCCTTGTTGAAGAATTCCACTGATGATACCTCTGGCTTCAACGGGACAATCGTCCAAAGCAGTGGCTGCGGCGTTTCCGTAGATACCTCCCAGCAAAATTCCAAACACAGCACGAACACCGAGGAACTGCTTGTAGTTCTTGATAAAACCAGTACCAATTTCAAGAATGCACATGAGCAAAAGGTTGATGGTGAAAGGCCATTTTCTTCCATATTTGTCACCCAAGTAACCGAAGATGAAACCTCCTACGGATCTCAACATCAGCACCAAAGTGATACCCCAAGTAATGTCCTTGACTGACTTGTCGAAGTCCTCAGCCAATTTAGAAGCATTCAAAGAAACCGAGAAAAAATCGTAGGCGTCCCAGGTCCAACCCCAGAGGGCAGCAAGGATCATCAGCCATTGGCGACCAGGAATGAGCTTGAGAGGAGGAAGTGGATTCAACAAATGTTTGTTAGCCTGGAAGTGGCCCTTTGGTGGCAGCAGATCAGTAAACCTCGTCACTATGTATCTCTTAATAGAGGCAGAGCTGAAGTTTGGCTTGTGCGGGTGGTGGATTTCACCATCGTGGGATATATGAGACACGGCCTCGTTGAGACTGCTCATTGTACAATGCTTGCTTTAACGCGTCAAAACTAACAGAACAAAATTTTGTAAAAGCGACTGAGACTGGCAGAGACTTGCAGAGACTAGCTCTCTATTTTATTCTATCGCAATTAAACAAGGATGTTAAAAAACACTTGTGGTGGTGGAAAGAAAAGAATGTCTACTCAACAACAAAATGGAATCCCGTTGGTAATATGGAATTTTTTTATTGGAGCCCCCAGCCCAATCCAAGTCTTTCTACTTTCGAGTCCGGCGAAAAAAAACCGTGCTGCGGGGGTCATGCATTTTTCTCCACAAGTCCCAACAGGGTAAAAGAACCGTTCCCGATATGTCGTAAGCCGTTCCCGACAGGCTGAAGATCAGCAGGAGGCAATCTGCATTAGTGGTGGCCAATAGCAGGCCAAGCCAGGATAGGCTTAAAAGTGTTTCCCCGGCACAAAATATGCCAATCAGATCGCGTGGATTAATTGTAAACGTGACGGTAGACTGCAATCGTTCGCTATCTCCTGCTGACATACCCGGTTTCTCCTGCCAAAAAGCCCTCGATGGGGATTGAAATTTTGTCCAAGCACTACAATACTACTCGTGTGACCTTTTGTGCACTTCCAGAGGGAAATTATCTTTTTTCCGTACTTGAATCTACTGGCTAACCTTTGTAATCAGCCTCCCCTTTGAACTGCGTTCCAGTGCAACATGGGGTGTATGTAATCAGGAGAGGGACCCGTGAGGGGGGTACACCGGGTTAAAGAAGTCTTGGTCCTGCAAAACGGCATCGGCCAAGCCAAATGTCTGCTGTGTATTCTTCCGTTTTTTCATCCCCCGCTGCTTAAAATGGGAGCCAAGACCGAGAACCCCTCTTCTTGCGACTTGCACACCCCCTGTTCACGGAAAAACTCTTTGGACGGATCCTCTTGGCTTGCAGTGCGAACAAGAAATAGAGACGCGCGGTATCAGTGAAATTATATTTTGTTGGGTCCGATGGTGGCCTCGAAATTGAGAATAGTGGACCTTTGTCCTACATTGTTAAAAGCACCGCTTAAACGCTGAAAGCTGCGTAAAGGGCGAGCTGCAGGGGGTACGTGTATTGTAGGAGAGTGGCTGCTTTTTTTCGATCTTTATGAAGAGTTTGTGTAGTCAGCCTCGAGTTCGACGAATGGGGCCGTCATGTTAGACCCGAAGGTGGAAAAACAAGTTTTCAAACAAGTAAAAAGAGATTTAGACAAAATGGTGGTTTTATACCACTGCAATCTTCGAGAAAGTCCAAACCCCGTTGGGGACCAATTTTATCCAATAAGTCAAGTTGAAATTGTAACATTCCCGGATGTATTTTGACCTCGTTCAGTCATGAGAGTCGGCAACGCACTTGAAAATGCTTCTCGTTTATATGCGGCGTTTTTATTACCCATGCACTATATTTGATATCCACACAGCTACCCGCAATATAACCCGTTTAGGAAAGATATAAACACCATACCAATCTAAAAATTGCCAACTCCTCTGTGATTAAAAGGCATATCCGGATGCTAAAAAAAGATATGATTCAACTTCGTACCAAAATTACACTTTTTCCGTCAAACAAAAGTTTCAACCGCGAATTGGCCCTGGTTTCGAGTGAGAAACTAGGTATCAAACATGGTTGAATCCTCCTCCTCAAGCACGTCCTCCCACAACGGGTCAGGCCTGAGAACCCCGGCTTTTCCTTCGCATTTGAGAAGTATGAGCTCCCATGTTGCCATGACCAGGCTCTCCAATCTTGCTGCCGTAACAGTTTATAGTGACGGGGGGTCCAAAAGTGATCTCAACACTGTGAACTCCAGTGTCGTCTTCAATACTAGAGTCGGCTCCGATTCGAGTATCACGTCCTCCAGATATGATGATTACGAGGGCTCGCTGCACAGAAACGTCACTACAGCCAGTCGTGTTAATCCACGAGGCCAGGAAATCTACAGGAGGAGCCAAGAGCAACTTTACGGCCACCGTCAGACGGGCCCAGCATCTGCTGCCAACTCAAGCATTACTACCAGCATCAACTACAGACCACCATCAACTATTCCAGAATTGAAAGAAATTGATAGGCAGAGGTCTCAGGTCTCTGTCTCTGTTGCTGGAAGTCGTTCTACCCACAGATCTGAAATGGTTTCGGTTCAGAGGTCAGTAGGTGCCACGACGTCTTCTAGTTTAACCCATGCGTCTTCCCTGAGAAGGTCAAATGCTACTAAACGCAAAATCGGCTGGCTTTCTGCAATCTTTAGCAGCAAGCTTCGACTGAAGCGATTTGTGCAGAGGTTTAAGAAAGGGTTTGCTAGGAATATTCTCAGGCGAAAGTCCAAGAAGGCCAAGAAGTCCAAGACGAAGAAGAGACCTACAATTACACGGATCGACGACTGGTACACTCCCGACCTCCACACTTACGAGACAATTAAACAAGTTCATGAGAAACAAAAGGATATCAACAGGTCGCGTTCAATGAGGTCCACTGTTACTCAAAACGCAGCCCCACAACAGCAAACTCCCAAGCCTGAAAAATCACAGCAGCCCATGGCTCCAATTGTGGAGGAGCCAAACCTATCATACGGATCTCGAATGGACGATTATCTTTCAGCGGAAGAAGCCAAGGTTGTTAACAGATATGACTCGGATATTGATAATTTCTCGAAAACTTTCTACAGAAGCTCTTTTGAGCTTGAGCCCACGGCGGTGCTTCCAATAGAAAGTTCCAACCCAAACTCTCCACAAATGCATGTCAAACCCAAGTTCAGTAAGAACGAAGAACTCAACCGCGTTTTCGAGCTCTGGAAGCACTATCTTGGTTTGGTTGTTTCCAACCGTATCGAGATGAAACTGGAAATTGCTAAGATTGCTCAGGGAGACTCCGAAAAGCAGCAGAACCAAAACGCGAGACGGCAAAGCGTTCTGGAGTCAATCTTGTCGGATTATGATGAAGAATCGTCGGTTTTTTCCGGAGCAGATTCCGAGAATATTGGAGCCCAATCTATTGCTATGTCGGACGGAACTTCTGCAGCCTCGCAAGAGAGTTTTGACAGGTATAAAAAAGCACCTGAGTCTCTTGCAGGTGCTTCTCGTCATCCTGGGGTTGCGGCTTACGTTTCGGTCTGATTTTGCCTGCGCAATTTGATATTTCCAGTTAAAACATCCTTCGATACATGGGAAAGACGCTTTTTTTGTATACTACATTTTATTGATTTTTTTGTCCTTTCACAAACTTGCTTTTCGGAATGAAACCGGGCCTTTGTCGTATAGCTAGAAGGACGTTAGCCCATTGTGCGATGAATAACATGTATAATTATTTAATTTTGATCGACAGTAATATCGTGTTCATTTGAACATAGTCTTCTCTATCATAATCAAATACTCAGACAGAAATTTGACTTCATTTACTATCTGTTGCCTACTCATATTGCAATAACATAAAGTGTCCATATTTGAAAAATAGCAGAAATTGAACCTCACCATCGCTAATAAGTATTCCATGAGTTATCAATCAAAGGTAAATCGCCAGGACCATCATAGATCTTATTTAGAATTGCCTGCTCAGGTAGCAAATATCTAGAGGTCTGCGTCCCAATCTTTGACAATTCTCTCCATCTTTCTAAATCTTGAACTTTGTAACCATGGGCAAGATTAGAGTTCTCCCAATGACCTTCACTGAAAGCAATCAAGGTTGAAATCCTCTTTTCGTCAATGTCTATAACCAATGAGACAATGGTTCCGGTCTCTTCTAACCAATTGACTTGCCAGATGTTTTTGCGAATTCTTTGATAGAAGGTCTCTTGGAAATTGTTTCTACCATTCATTGGACCACCAGAGATCTTATAGATAATCCGGGTCTCATCTGGCACATAAAATTCATAATCCCAACCGTTCAAATATGTATATTGAAAGTGTTTGTTTTTCATTTCATTATCAAATTCTGGCTGAGGGACAGGTTTTCTAACTTTGCCAACTGTGGGGTCATAAGGTGTAGTCAGAATCTTCTTCTGATGCTCAGTCATATTTTGGTTAACAGACATCTTGGATTGAGTTTTGTTATTTATCAATTGATCGAAGTAAACTTTATCTCAGAGAACAAATAGTAATTAAAGCTGCTGTCTTTTAAGAATTCCCCCTTGAGGGCTTAGTTGCTTGATTTACCCGGACAACTGACGCAACATTCTTCCGGAAATTGCGGATGCGAAAGAAGCACGTGCCTGAATTGTGTTTTTATTATCTATTGTCAGGCAATAAAGTTATTGGATTCTCAGTCAAATAACATTCTATTTAACTGATTTATAGTCTTCTCTTTCTTTTGATGGTCTCAAGCAAAGGTCTTAAACATAACATATACGTCTTACCCGTCTGGGAAAATATGGAATGACTTTTTGATGGGCTGTTTGGGATAGATAATATCTGCGGCATATTATGGTAGGCGCACTCTTGTTGGTACACATGGGTCGTGCTCTACTCGCGATGTGAAAAAAAAATTTGTCTATCTCTAAAGCACTTAACTAACTATTAAAATACTACACCCATACAATCGGTGAAATTGCACACAAAACATGAGAATCTACGCCTGTCACTTCTGCTCATCGCCCGTGTACCCGGGTCACGGGATAATGTTCGTGCGTAACGATGCCAAGGAGTTTCGTTTCTGCCGTTCCAAGTGCCACAAGGCCTTCAAGCAACGTCGTAACCCAAGAAAGCTGAGATGGACAAAGGCCTTCAGAAAGGCTGCTGGTAAGGAGCTGGCAGTAGACTCAACCTTGACTTTTGCTGCCAGAAGAAACGTTCCAGTGAGATACAACAGAGAGCTCGTTGCAACGACGTTGAAGGCGATGGCCAGAGTCGAGGAGATCAGACAGAGGAGAGAGCGTGCCTTCTACAAGAACAGAATGAAGGGCAACAAGGAGAAGGATCTGGCTGCAGACAAGAAGTTGGTGGAAGACCACCCCGAATTGTTGAGAATGAGAGACGTGGAGTTACGCATAAGGGAAGAGAAGGCTGCCAGAAGAGCGGCTGCCGAGTTGGAAGCCGAGGACGAGGACGAGGAGATGGATGTCGACGACGAAATGGACGTTTCCGAAGAAGAAGAAGAGTCCGAGGACGAGGAGGCCCAGAGAGTCAAGCAGAAGATCATACTGAAAAACAAGACCAGGAGCAAGAAGCATGCGACCCAGGTGAGGTTCTGAGGAAAGAGTTTGCAAGTTATTTGCGAAAAGTCCATTTTTTTAGTGTTTATTTACATGTATCGAAAGTCAGTTTTGCGCATCGTTGAGATTTTGTGAGTGAGTAGAAGTTGATGCAGTTGCAGCTGCAGATAGAGGAGGCAGGTAATAAATGGAAGAGCCTCTTCCCTCTTCACTGCCCTCGTTGTATGGACTTTGCCAAAAAAGTATTTTCATTTTTCAGCTCGCTATCTTAAATACGACAAAGTATCCTGATTTAGTCTGGCTGAGGTTCTCAAAAGCCTGGACGAGCCAATTTCACTCTCAGCTACAACGACTCTTGCGAAAGAGAGGCTTATTGAAACTTTCCACAATGCTTCCTAAAACGTCCACTATTTTTCCACATTATCCAGGCTTTCGTCTTCCGCAATCCCTTCTTGTTTTAATGTGATTTTCGCGTTAATTTCAGCTTCACTTTCTGTGGCAGCCTCATCCTTCTTTGGTCTCGAATCATTGGGAATTTTCTTGAACATCCCAATAAATCCACCTCCCTGAACTCTAATCCCAACCTTGGGCCTACAAACGGCAACTTGCTCGCCCGTTTTTCGCACATATGTGAGTCTGGTGTCCCATTCACGCATTCCTCCGCCAGCCCCACTGGTGATCTCAGCACATCTCACAAACGTGAGTTTTATATCTCTGTCTTCCTGAACCAGCTTAATTGCTTCCATAATCTGCGTAATCGACGGTGTGAATATAACCAAGGGAGCGTCATGTTTCAGCGATTTGGCCACCTCTTTGATCTCTAGATGTGAGTCTGCCATGTCCAGAAACGCCCCACTCAAGAATGCAAATTCGGACTCTAGTCTGTCATCGAGTTGCAAATCATTAGACAGTTTTCTATACTTTGCGGAGTCTTCTCCAGTCAACCACGAAGACGGAGATTCCGCAACATGGAACTCAACATTCTTGGAGTACATACCTCTCTTGAAGTTCTTGACCGTTTTCGCTGCTCTTTTAGAGTGAAGCTCTCGATTATCTATGCTGTGCAATATAGCTCCCCTCAACTCGGGTTTACTCTCGGTGGCATGACAATTAGCAGCATGAATAGCACGTGCCATGGCTATGGAGAAGGATCCATGGCCACTTCCAGCTTCCAGGTACTGAAGTGGTTTCTCCAAAAGTTCACCAGAATGACTCAAAGCAGGATAATCAACATGTATATCCATCATAGACACAATGGCAGCGGCATCTGGCGCGTATATTGGCTGGGCATCACGGTCACTCAGACTGATGTACTCCTCCAATGTAGGATGAACCGCCATGTATCTGTCTTTGCGTCTGTGCGACTGTAAAATGGTAGATCTAGGAAATGATCCAATCAGATCATTATGCTCGATTTTGCCGTCCGGAACGGACAATTGACCATCTTTTTCGAGAGGCTTGGAAAGAGATACCTTGTCTGGCCGGGCAAGCGACCGCAGAAGTACTAGGTCACCTTCCTGGAACTTGGTAGATGCGCATCTTGCAGACCTAACTACAGAAATAGATACCAGCCTAAATCCAGGCCTGTTGACAAACATTTCAATCTGTGTGGGCTGGTTAAATGAGTTCTTTTTGCCTCAAATTTTTTAGTTCAACAGACCGACGTTGAAAAATTGATGCGGCGTTAATCGGTTGGTGCACTAGAAATGTCTACTCTCAGACTAAAACAAAAGCGGTCGAATAAATAAAAATTACAAAGATCACTCTTCGAAAGCCTCATTGTTGTATGGTGTGGCAAAAAATTGGTCCCAAATGCTCTCTGTAGGTACCTGGTAGATCATTTTGAACACCTTGTGGCCCTCGCGATTGGCTGCGCCGCGTGGCACAGGCGACGTTATTTGCTGCTGGTATGGGCTGTACTGGCCCTGGGAAGAGGAAGCAGCAGAAACTATCGGAGCCGGACCCAAACCTGTACCTGGAGGCGTTTCGTATGGACTTCCATACTGGTGCTGGATGTATAAGCCGTTTTGGGAGTTGTTGGTGGTGGCCCCGGAAAAATGTGATTGCATATTGACATTGGGGTCTTGCGGTGGGGGGCCACTTTGTCCGTAAAATGGAAGAGGATCTGAGTGTCCGGGTTGAACATTTAATTGACGAACCGCTCCATGACGCTGCTCTGAGGCCGAAGACGACAATCTTTGGTCATAGTTGCTTCCACGAGGGGAGCAGTAAGATCTGCTAGATTCGGGAGATTCGAGGTGATCCAATTCCTCAAAGAATCGGTCCAGGTCTTGCTCATCCGTTGGCCATTCGAGCTCGCTGTTTCGCGAGTGTTGATTGGCTCCGTTTTGGTAGCTTTTAGGAGGCACTGGGGTACTTTCTTCTGCCTTCACGTCTTCGAAACTTTCCTCTTCAATAGTTGAAACAGCACGAGGCGTTTCGTCTTGTGGCAAGTTGTTGAGCAAGTCCTTCAAATGCTCAGGAACGTGTTGACCCGGCTGAGAGTTGGCGATGGCAGACGCAGCCGGGATTTTGCGGATTTTGCGGGGGGTCGAGTTTTGGGTATAGCGGAGTCGGATCACTGCAGCCGTCAGAATGTCGAAAGTGTCCTTGCAATGAGCTGCAGCGTCGCACGTGGCGATCAGGCTGTCTAAAACGAGACTGCACTCGAAAGTGACTCGTTGAATTTCCTGGAGATTCGAGCGTTCACGAACCTCGGGCGAATGGTATATGGCGTAGAGATAGGACGTTCCTGCCATGAACAAGTTGTGGACACAAGCCCAGGTGTAGTTGATGGCTTTCATGGAATATAGCTGGAAGTAGGACGATATCACCTCCTTACTTGCATTTTCAACCACAAAGAAGTTCTGTGTGGTCAGAGTCAGAGTTCCCGGGCTCAATCCGTTGAGAATGAGCTTGGTGTGGTGGTAATTGAGTTCAAAGAAGAAAAAGTTGAAGTTACAATTGAACTTTTTTGACTTCAGTTTCAAGTTCTCTCGCCACGCATCTAGCCTGAGGTTGATATCCATCTTCCAGTCGTCCAGATTTGTGAACCTACGCGGAAGCTCTGCGCGGTCATATAATATGCTTTGGACCTGCGCCTGGATCTGGCGGATCTGGAAAATCGCCAACGAGATGATTTTGTAGGTTGGCGTTGAGTTCATTTGAACAGAGTAATCATGAGTGTTAATGTCTCTGACAATCACGGCATCGTCCAGTGTAGAAGGGAACGGAACGTGTACACTCTCTTCAGGAATTCCGAATGGTCTTCCTAAGTATACACAAACCTGTCTGTCGAGCGAATAACAGCACCAGAAAAGTCTCCTTCTCATATCCATTGTATATGCATCGTATTGAGTCTTATTCACAATGCTCGTCTCAGTGTGGAGGCCCAGATCCACGCAAATACGCAATGCAGAGCCGAGAACATACCACACTCCTGGGACAGCCGGTCTCATGAGCGAATACAGCGTAAGCAGTAGAATCGCCTGTAGCGACTCCAGACGATCAGACGACGTATAAACAGGGTCCATGAACCTCAGTGCAGCAGCCTTGTAGCCCTCAGCCACCATGAAAGGGAACTGCATGTTGTACACTGCCGAGGAGATGGCAAAGACCAAGTTCATGAAGTACAGTGGGATATGAAATTTGCGTGGCACCTTTATTTGAGATGCAAGTATTTCCAAAGATGTCTGCGGTGAGGCAAGACGCTTTGCCTCCAGCTTTTGGGAGAATTGGAAGTACCAAGTTTCGGACTCAGGGATATTCTGCTTCAGGGAAGACCAGTTTATCTGAGTGGAATCAGACGCCAGGCTCACGCCTTCGGGGAAAGACCCATAGATAGGTTGGAAATAACGCGCAATGAACTCCTCGCGGTGCAAAACTGGCAACTGAGGGTTGGATTGCGAAAAATGTATGGTCATGAGTTCCACAGCTTGATCCTTGGAGGCCAGAACGGCTGGTTCGGCAGATGTAGAGTGTCTCAACATGGATGGGTCCACCAGGGGTACAACTTTAGGGCCAGCAGAGGCCGAGGACGTTGGTTGGGGCGTTTTTTCGTCCGGTAGTTTGAAGTTCACGGCAGCTAACATCAGCTTAGCGAATGAGATGCCTGACGACGCACCCAAAAAGGACTGTGGCGCCTTGCTGCCGGACCTCGCAGTCGAGCTTTCAACCCGTTCCATCATGCTAGCACCCTTATAGAGCGGGTCCATGGCACTCATGGGCGCGGAAGGAGTAGAACTCGGGGCAGAGGCTGCAGGCGAATTGCTCGCCGGAGTCGGGGCTAATTGGTTGCCGTTTGGGTCAATCCCTGCATTTCTGAGCTTTTCTTGCAAAATTGCGACTGTCTGCTCCAGATGGGTCAGGTATGATCTTGGTACCTCTCTTCCGGTTGCGGCGTCCAAACCAATACACTCCTCGCCCTTGCGAAGACACCGACCACATTTGGGGAAAGCCTTGTCACATTTTGCTTTCCGTTTTCGACAAAGTTTGCAGGCTGAGATTGAGCGTGACACTCCAACAACGGGAGTTTCGTCTTCGAAACTGACTGAGTCATCAGCACTTCTTTTTATACCGGCCATTGGTGGTTGTGCAGGCGTCCTGGCCCTTGGTGATTGGGGGGTTTGTTTTTGCACCTCGTGAGGGTCCTAGGGCAAGAAAGTCAAGATCTCAGCAGAATCACCAGAAGGTGGTTGTGAGGATGATTTGACACAGCTTTGCGACGTGGTGGTGGTGGGAAAGCCTTGTTCAAAGGCGGTTAGGGTGGACAAAAGAGTTCTCCTGTGTAGATACTATATGGTCGTGTATTTAATAAAGTTTTAAGAGATCTCGGGTAGACTTTCCCAAGTTCCGAAAAGGTCAATCATGTGACAACGAGGTTTATTGGCTTAAATCTTCCATTCTGGTGGTTTTCTGGTTGCAGTTTAATCATATGCTCAGAATTGAGCAGTTCGGCCTGTTATCTCAACCGATGGCATGGCCCGTTATAGAGTGGTCATGGAGGACATCGGTTAACGTGTTATGGGTTGGGTTGAAACGCCGCACGAGACCGGTGGGGAGTGCATGATTGGACCAATTGTTGCTGTAGGGCTTTCAAACTCATTTTGAGCAAATTCGGATAATTCTAGGTGACACTAGGCGATTCTGGGAGATGCTGGGAGATGCTGAGTGATTCCAAGTGATCTCAAGCTATCTTTTCAAATTTCCGATGGTGTTGTTAGGTGTGAAAAGGCCATGCTTAAAGCTTTAGCCAGTAGCTTAAGGCTACAATGATTTAACTAAGTAGATATGACATTCAGAGTGGTTCCTGAGATCAACCCTCATTTGATCAAAGTTGTTGCGATTTGTATTTTGAAACTCGGTTTCTATATCCAGCTTTACAGTCTTAAGAGATATCCAATTATTTTGGTGACTTTTTTGTAAAACATGAGATTTCCAGAATACTAGAATTGTTAGTAGTGTGCCTTCTAGTCAAATGATCAAGGCTAGGAGACGCTTCCTGTCCCTACACCGGTTTTTAACTTTTCTCTAAACACCAACAAAACACAGCATTCAAAGTCTTAAAGCCCAAGGAGCCTTAGAAAAATTTCCTATTTCTCATTTAATTGAATCCGTACTCGAAATCTTCTCTCCATGACTCCGTCCGAGCCGATTGAGTAACACACTACTACGTCACACACGACCATGCACTTTGTCTCTTACTAGTGCAGGGTCTGAAAGACAAGACCGCACTCAAACTTCACAACCAGAGAAGCAACAGAGTCCAAAAATGGACAGCTTAGGAAACTATACTGAGCGATCTGTTGAGCCTGAATTGGGCTCTTTTGGAGAATTTCCTCCAGAGATCCTGGCGGTGATCTTTTCTCACCTGGATCCACATACCCTTAACTCTCTCCGGGCTGTGAGCAGGTTATGGGATTCGATAGCAGGAGATGACCAGGTGTGGCGTTTGCTTTATAGGCGAGAATTTGGTTATGCAGGATCACTTACACGCGGGAACAGCTGGCGACAGGAATATCTGACGAGATCTCAGGCTCAAGATAGATGGCTTCGTGGAAAGGCCGTTCACCATTCAAGTACTCTGTCTCAAATCCATGTTTCGCGAATTGCAGTGGATTTTGCCAATGAGAGGCTGTTTTGTTCATCGATGGCTCATGGAGGATTTACTGTAAGTGATTTAAAGTCCAATAAAGAGCCTCTGTTCATACGGTGTGCACAGTCTGGCTTCACAAGCTTTGACTTTGGCAAGAACGGAATGGCAATGGGAAAATGGGACGGAAGCGTGACAATCAGGCTGTTTCAGTCGGACAAAAATGATCTGTTATCAGATGGGTCTGCCGATATGATCACGGCCACGTGTGTAGCCAAAGGTCATTTGCCTGGGCACCAAGGAACCGTGGGATGCCTGACAGGAGACTCACAGGGCTGGCTGAAAGCTTGGGATATGAGATTTTGCCAAAGGCTAAACGTTCTGCGAGTAGGAACTGAGCCGATAGTGGCGATTGTGTCTGATTTTGATGGAAATGTTCTGGTCAAAGATGCTACCAGTCGAGTTTTCGCAATCCACAATTTTGGCACTCCGCGCCAGCTGTTCTACGGTGAACCCTCAGCATTTGTGGAGTTTGCGGCAGTGGATTACGGTGGACGGCGTGTTGTCATCAATGCAGGTGCTTACGTCGCGATATGCTCTTTTGATCAATCAACTTTCGGCCAGACAACAACTTATATTCCTTCTTCAACTGTGTTTAAGGTTGCAATTGATGAGAATAGTGCTTCCAGAAGACCAACTTCTCATCCCATAGCGGGAGCAGACAGTTGCATGTGTGCGATTCTAGAAAAGTCCGGAATGGTTGTGATCATTGATCTTAGAGATCTGTCCACAGTAGTCCGCACACAGTTTGGGCCACGTGCGTCTGATGTGGCCAAAGTTGAGGCTGGTGAAAGCCCGCCTGTATGTTCTATTTGTGTCAACTCTGTGGTGTGTTTGCTGGGATTCTACAATGGCTATGTGGCAGTGCACTCGTCAGTAACAGGAGAGTTCATGCGCAGCGCGTCTGTGCGGATACCGAAGCGACTTGTGAACTACAGGAATACCAATATTGCAGTCGCGAACGTGGCAATCGATCCAGATGCCTCTTCAGCTCGCGGAGTATTCTCGTGCGGCTCCTGTATACAATACTTTGAGTTTGGGCATGCGCCCAGGAAACAGCGTGAAAAACGAGGATTTGTTCGCGGTGGAACCACCGACAAGCGGGACGGACTTTTGTCAAAGATGCGGCAAGAGTACGACGATTATCAGCATTTGAATCACGAGCAGGAGCTCCAAGACGCTCGGTTTGAGACGTTCAATGGCGATGTAGGGTCCGATATCGAATTGGAGATGGCAATTGCGTTGAGTCAATCAATACAACAACCATCTCGCACGTCTGATGAGGATGACCATTTGCGGCTTGCACTTGCAATGTCGGCACGATCCCAAGAGCCGCACGGATACAGCGAGAACGAAGATGAGGACGAGCAGTTGAGGCTCGCGATGGAGATTTCACGGCTTGAGACTGGGGCCGATGCCGGTGTGTACACAGATTAGGGGATTAATTAGGTATGTAGACGCTCAGTGGGATCCCAGCAAGACGGATTCGGCGCGGTATGCGCTGTAGACGAAAAAGGCAGAAGAGCCGCCCAAAAGGGGCCGAATAAAGACCAAAAAATCATCAGTACATGCATACCTACATATTATGTCTACTCGGAATAGATGTGAAATGAATACAAAAAAGAAATCCAAACAAACCTTAAAATGAGACCAATAAAAATAAAGAAGAACAAAAATTTAGGCTTACATACGCGGAGAAGGCCAGAAGCAGACGCGGAACAAACGCGAAACAGAGACGCCCAAATAAGCGCTAAAAGCAAAAACAGGCCCAGCCAAAAAAAATTCAAGGGCTAAAAATAACCGGCCCCTACACATGGAACGAACACAAAATTAGAAAGGTTTAACAGTTCCGGCATGTCCCGCCAAGGCTTCGCTGTGTTACCAAAAAACGTCAACATCCAATTACACGCCTAAACGGTAGAGGCTGCACGCGACTGCCATTTCCGTCAGGGCACCAAACTATAACCGATAAACCGCGTCTCGCCTGAGGACAAAAACAGACGCCGAGCTGTGGTTTACCACAAAACGCGTATAATAAACTATTGAGACGAAAGCTTACCGACAAGCAACCCACAACAACGTGGCATTTTCGGTATTTGTTTGTATTGGCAACCGCCCAAAACGGCTTCTTTAAATCTTCTGGCCTAGACCTCATCGTGGACTTGCTAAAAGTTGGGGCAGCAGAGTAGAAAAAGGGATCTGCCGCCGAATTTTAGACCAAGTTTGAACAATCCCTCCTTAGTTCTTCTTTGTTCTCCCCCGTTTTTTTTTTACAATTCAAACACCCAATGTCGCACAGGGTCAAGGATATTAATTATGTTGAGTCTCAACTGGATGAAAAGCGCCACCGCAAACACCGGTCCAGACTCACACCCGACAACGTGCTGATGACGATCTTTATGGTGTTGCTACTGACTTTGGTGGTGGTGGTGGTTCGCCAGAAAAACTATTTCCAGAATTTGGACTCGGTGGCGGTTACGTCTGAGAATTTGGTGCAGCCGGACGATACTTTGTTCACCAAACCTAACCCAAACCCACTCTCATCAGACCCCGATGAGAGACTAGCCGCCGATGTTCAGCGGGTGCACGAAGTTCAGGCCGAGGACGAGACTTCTCTGACCTCTAAGAACTCCGAATTTGATGCCGCGAAAGAATTTAAAGCGATTGTTGCCCTCAGCCCCGTGATAATGTTCACGTGGGACGATCCAGCAACCATGGCACCCACTTCTCTCGAGCAAACCGAGTCTACTGAGCCGGATTCGGCTCTGTCGTTGCGCTTCAAGTCGATAGTATCGTCATACTCGATTGTTCCACCTCCAACGCAGGTCTCGCTCTCAAGACACCCTCACGCGCGCGAGCTGGGTGAATACATCAACTCGGTCGGCAACGGACTGGGTCTGAAACATGTTCTACCGGGTCTCGTGATTGCAGGAAGGCCGTGCGCTGGTGCTGTTGCTGTTGAGAGACTTCACACGAGCGGAAAGCTCTTTGACTACATCAAATCGTGGGGATCAGGAGTGGTGACGATCGAGAGGTGATTTCAGCAACTCTGGCTATCGAAAACAAATTGGGGACCCTCAATGGCCCTCTTGAAAATAAACCTTCACTTTTACGGACACATATACGCCCCATACCCGCTGGTTTTGCTGAATAGCAGTATGATTAAATGACTTTTTCTATGAATGTTAGTTGAAGAACACGGGACGCACGCCCCAAGTAGAGGCCGAATTTAGACTGAATTTTGGGAGACAAAAGCTTGAAAGATTGCACTTTGAATCCTCTGATGATTTGCAAATCAGAAACACCCCGCGTTACTCGATAATCGTGAACGGTGGAAAGCGCGAAATTTCAAAAAGGCCATGTCTCTCTATGTCTCAAGGTTTTGTATCACGTGATATCAACTATGAGTTTGGAACTACCTTTCTGGGTCCACTTTTTCCTTACCATGAAAATTTGTAGATAACAGCACCACCATACGAATACTAATAGAACAAAAATGGCGGCTTATCCTTGGTATACAAGGCTTACAGATGTTGCGCACAGACTCACGGTTGTTGGACTTGTCGGTTTCACTGGTAAGTAGGACGTGGCATAATCGAGGAAGCATCGTACTAACAGGTCTAGGATACATGACGCTCAACGTGGGCTGGATGATCTATCAGAACGGTAAGGAGAACGAGAGGAGGTTGCTTAGACAGAAGGAGCTCGAGCAGGAGCAGGCGCAAGCGCAAGTGCAATAAACGGGGAGAGTATGAGATGGGAGAGGCTCAAAAAGGAGAGGCCCTATTGGGAGAGAGCTCCATAGGCTATCACTACGAGGCAAGCAGATCTAATCTCCAGTTATCTCACAAAACCAACTAAGAAAATTGGCTTCGGGCTAAGGAGAAGCCGAATGTTTATTTTTCATCAAAGAAAGTCATAATTCTGTTCATAAAAATGACAAGGTATCCGTCCTCTTTCCATTACATACCTCCAGCTCCACAAACCTATACCAGTACATACTTACTTACTCTCCGTCGTTTTTCTCTTTTTCACCTTCAATTTTCCCGTATCTGAGTTAATCTGTATCACACCGGTATCACGCGTCGGTTTATCGCAAACCGGGCACTTCAGTTCGGTGTCGCCCTTGCCCTTGCTGAGCAACAGCTCGTCCACGATCTTCTTGCTCATGACATCACCGCAGGGCAGAAACACAAAGGGGTCAGGGTTTTCAACATTCTGATCTTTGAGGGTGATTGGACACTGGAGATTGCCTGTTTTAGGGTTGATTTGAAAGTTTAATTGGGTGACATCCTTGATCCCGCGAAGATGTGTCATACGCTCGCCATTAAGCAGCATTTCCAGCACAGTTTCTTTATTGAACATATTTCCTCGCGAATCTGCCACAATTGGAGGCATCAGTCGTTTCTTGGTTAATCTGTCGAATCTCCAGTAGTTTGTTGGTTTTTTTTCGCGTTTCCGGGGCTTCCCCAGGATCTCAGATCGAGATGGCAGCGTTCCTCCGTCATTCTGCTATTGTTAGTATTGCGAACATACTCGTATAGCACACTCGTATAACACGTTTCCGCGATACGAGCACCCCCAAAATTATACTCACGCCCATCAAAGAAAACTATAACTTTATCAACAGTGTCATGTACACACGCGAGGCCGCAGGTTGGTGAACACTGAGCCTGGTTGAATGGTGTACCTCGGTCCTCGGCGAAAGCCACAGGTTCCTCGGATGCTCGTAATGCTCGTAATGCCTTAAAGTATAAAAACAATACGTCCGCCCCTTAATCCAATACAAGAGCAACTATTTGCTATTTTGAAATTTTGGAACTACCAGTGTCGTTGTGATTTTATTCAATTGCCGATTTTTCCCATCTTATATATATACCAGGCCAATTGTCCGCACTCCACATTAGTTAGGCCAACTTTGCACTATGTCCGTGCACGGATCAATTTATGAGTCGGTGGACGAGTCGGTCCGGTCCTACGACAAGCCGTCTGACGAAAAGCCGCAGCTCGAGCAGGAATCCTCTTCACCCGAATCACAACCCGAATTACAACTACAGAAAACACAGACCGAGCTTTTTGAAGAGGATTTGAGTCGCGAACTTTCGCGGCACTCTGTTGCGGCATCGCATCATGATGACGACGGCATTCCCATTCAGGCAATGGAATGGGATTCTGCCACGGACCCAGAAAACCCATTGAACTGGCCCAAGTGGAAAAAATGGGGCACTACAATGACAGTTGCTGGAATCTGTTTGGTGGTGACTCTTGGGTCATCTCTGTTTGTTTGTGGTGTTCCTGAACTCATGGTTGAGATGCATATATCAGAAACCCTGGGCCTTGCAGGACTGACATTTTACTTACTGGGTCTGGCTTTTGGCCCAGCAATTGCGGCACCGTTATCGGAGGTTTTCGGTAGAAAAATTGTCTACGTGATCTCGTTGCCTCTATCTATGCTCTTTACCATGGGGGTGGGGCTTTCGTCGCATATTCGTGAGATTTTGGTGCTGAGGTTTTTCGCTGGTCTTATTGCTTCTCCAGCAATGGCCATCGCTGGTGGAACCATCACCGATATCTGGTTGCCACAAGACCAAGGTCTTGCCATGGTTTCGTTCTGTCTAGCTCCTTTGGCCGGACCGGTTGTCGGGCCGGTCATTGGTGGTTACGTCGCCGAGAGAAAGGGTTGGAAATGGACTCTGTGGGTGAACCTTATGTTTGCCGGAGTGCTTCTTCCGTTCGTTCTGGTGGTGCCTGAGACCTACAAGCAGATTATCATGAGGAAAAGAGCGAAGAAGCGCTCGATCAAAATTCAGAAGCCTCCATACACATTTGGGCAGTTTATGATGATCCTTCTCTTCATCACTCTGCTGAAGCCAATGCAGATGCTGGTGGTGGAACCTATCGTGATGGTGTTCTCCGTATACATTGCATTCGTCTTTGCAGTTCTGTTCGGATTTTTCGAGGCCTATCCTGTGATCTTCAGAGGAACTTACCGCATGGAACTTGGAAATTCTGGACTGAGTTTTCTCGGAATTGGTCTGGGACTCGTTCTCGGTTCAATAACGTTTGTCGCTCTCGACCGTTACGTTTTCTTCAAAAGATGGCCTGACGGATATGTTGGAATGAGAGATAAAGATGGTAAAAACCTTCCTCCAACACCTGAGTCTCGTCTTTTGGCTTGCAAGATCGGAGCAGTCGCCATGCCTATTTCGTTGTTCTGGCTTGGATGGACAGCTAGACGTTCAGTTCATTGGATGGCTCCAATTGCCGCGGGAGTACCATTCGGATTTGGTCTTGTACTCATCTTCTTCACAGTGATCACATACTTTGCAATGAGTTATCCTCCTCTGAATGTCGCATCTGCTCTTGCAGCTAATAACCTGGCTCGTTACGTCCTGGCCTGTGTCTTTCCACTGTTCACGGTCCAAATGTACGAAAATATAGGCAATGGTTGGGCCTCCAGTATTTTTGGATTCGTCGCTCTTGCTATGGTTCCCGTCCCGTGGATTTTCGAGAAATACGGAAAACAGCTGAGATCCAGGTCCCGGTTTGGTTTCGATGCCCAGACTCCTAAGACTGACGAGGAAAAGAAGTGAAATTGCGATACCTAATTATATATTTTGACACTATCAACTAATAGCGAGTTTGCAAAGCCAATTGAGTGGTTTTCTGTGTTATAGACCGCATTTGAACAGTTCTTTGAGCGTAGTATTGAATTTGATAAAGCTAGAGTGAAAAGTTCTGTGTGCAAGGCTACTCAGACGGATTTTCTGATTTTTGGTCAGGTTGAAAATCCACAAAGCATTGAATGATTGGTATAAACGATATAAGAGTGAGGTTTTGAATTATAATGATCGTGCACAAAAAAAGATCTCAAAATGAATTGGAACCTAGCCTGGTATTGGCTTCATATCAACTACAATCGTCTTTCAAATCGTTTTAAATCGTTTTAAATCGCGTGTCTCATAAATAGAATGTATATAAAACCTTTAAGACTCGATGATCTTAACGTAATCCTTTTTATCAGCTTGGTGCCACCTCTCGTGAAGTCTACCGTACAGTTTAACAGCAACAGGCTCATCACCAGTCACGTTGTTGACCTTGCTCTTTCCAAATAGCGAGGCCTTTTCCTGGTCCCACTCTCTGAAAGTGATCTTATCCCATTCAGGAGGCTTTGTGAATCCAAGTCTTTTGAGTTTAGGAGAGTCGTCTTCTTCGGGATCCAAAATAGTCACCTTGGATGGAGTGCTGAAGTAGATTATCACCTGGCGGGTGTATTGTTCCTGTTCCTTGGGCGAGGCCACCACACGGTGGATTGACGACTTGAAGTAGCCACCAGTCATGAACTCCTCGGCATCACCAATATTCACAATGAACGAGTTCTCGCGGTGGGTCACGTACTTCCATTCTCCCGTGTAGTAATCGCGCACCTGCAACGAGAGAAGTGGCTGCGAAGCAATGAATGTGAACCCAGTTCCATCCGAATGGCCTCTAAGTAACGTGTTGTCAACCTTGCGCTGGTCATCAGAATTCATCTTGAGATATTTCATTAATCTGAGCCAGCCGCTTCCACTGTTATCGTAGTCGCCTTGGTGGGTATCGTAATGCTTCCATGTGGTGCCGTCTTCCAGCTCCAGAATGATGTCACACAGAGAGCACGTCTTTTTCAGCAAATCATTGTGAACAAAGCGATAGTACTCAGCAAGTTCATAGATGTACTCGCGGAGTATTTCAGGGTGTTTCGCGATCGCCTCTGGGGTCAACCGGTCGTCCTGCGTCAGATCACGCATGTTATAATGTTCGATAGCATCACGAACTCCATTGGCCATGGACCAGTATCCACGGGGCTTGAATCCCTGACCTCTTTCACCACCTAGCGATTTGCTCTTATCCTCCTGATCGGAATATCTTGTACCGGCCAAATACTCCAGTTTTTCAGCCTCTGGAATGTCTAGCAAAGCCTGTGCTATGTTACGTAAGCGCCGCATCTTGTTTGGGTCATGACCGGTGTTGATCAGGTTGAAAAAACCAATGGTAGTGACCGATTTCTCGAGCTGCGCGGCAAGCTCTTTCCTCGCCTCGGGGGATTCGTCGAAACGAGACAAATCAATGGCGTCAAGCTCGATCGTAGGGTATCTTGCAAGAATCTCGGGCGCCAGAGGTGGGGCCTCAACGAACTCGGCCAATTGTCTAGCAACCATGATTATTCTAGTTTTGTGGGTCGATTCTACGTCTACGAAGTAGCAGATATTTCGAGGGGGATTTATCGGCCATTTATACGCTCCAACATCATGCTGTCAAAAGCTGGGCAGACCACAGCCAAAATGGCAAATTTGCACATATATGTCGCCATACGCCACAGTTAGTGCGCATCCAAAGTTACCCCATCCGGAAATCATCTTCGATGGTTGTTCGGCCGGCATTCAGCTACTTATGGCTGAGATCTATGCGGTTGATATGGGTTGATACGGAATATCTTACTGATATTGGAAGATCTGGGGTATATGGGAGACTGTGGAGAGGCCAGTCGTTTAGTGGTGTGATTTGGGGTAGCTGGGGCACCTCTTAACTGTGATTGCAGCTGTAGATGTGGCTGTGGATCTGGGTTCAAAAATCAGACCAGAATGTTTATAGTTTTGAAGAAAGCACGCCGTAGAGTTGAGATTTGCCATAGTCTTTGGTTTTCACCGCAGACCTGTGTGAATTTGACCCAATATGATCACTTCTGCTTATTTTGAGCCGCTTTTCTGATCTGAGATCTGAGATCGATTATCTTCTTGACTCTGATCAAAGCCAATTTTTACGTTTAGTGGAGATTCGAGTTTTTCAGCTTATTTTCCTCGGCTAGATAAGAATTAATTGGTTCAGACCCTTCCAGAATTCAGCCTGCTAAACTTGGTCTACTCTCTTGAATCGAATTTGCTCTTGTTGAACATTCTACCTCCTACACCCTCTAGATACGATGACTCTTTCGATCAATTAAATCTGTACACACATTCCAGACCAAGCAAAATTACTCCTTCACGGCGTAGAATCTCCTGTACCTGTCATCCACTTCGGTGAGGTAGTAGGTTCCCTTTGGCAGATACTCAGTCTCTCCAGTAGGCTTGAATGACTTGGCCAAGTGGGCCTTCTCTCTCAATGCGATAGCAGCTTCGTACTCCTGTGGGGACTTTTGGAGACGGGAAGAAAGCTTATTTTGAACATTCAGGACCTTGATGATACTGGAGACATCGTCGTTGACCTTCAGAGAAAACAAAGACGCGGCAAGACCTGAACCGTACGAAAACAGACCAACACGCTTGCCCTGAAGAGCATCAGAACCGACGTAGCACAACAACGACGCAAGCGATGCATAAACAGACGCAGTGTACATGTTACCGGTGTTGGTGGCCACCTCGAGCGAAGGAGAAACACGCTCGGCGGTTAGCTTCTTGGCCAAAGTGACGAAAGTCTTCTCGATGGTCTTGTCGACCAACGAGGCCTCGTAGTCCAATGAAGCAAGCTTGGCATCCACTTCTGGGTACTTGGAGGGGTCAGCCCTGAAGTCATTGTACAACAACCTGGCGTACGACTTCACAACGAGCTTGCAAGTTGGGACGTGGAACACGTTGTAGTCGAAATGGGTGATTCCAACGGCATCTGCAGACAAAGACCTGTCAGAAGTGCCACGCTTGGCAACCTTGTTGGAGTAAGCCTTGTAGCAGAAGTCTAATGCCTTAACATAGCAACTCAATGAGAAATGACCATCAACGTATGGGTATTCAGAGGTGAAGTCAGGCTTGTAGAAATCGTAAGCATGCTCCATGAAAGAGCCCCTCACTGGCTCGAAAACGAGAGGGGCATCAGGGCCAATCAGCATTGCCACAGTACCAGCACCTCCAGTTGGTCTGGCAGCGCCCTTCTCGTAGATGGCGATGTCACCAGCCACCACAATGGCATCACGACCATCCCATGCAGAGGATTCAATCCAGTTGATCGCGTTGAAAACGGCATTGGTACCACCATAACACGCGTTAACAGTGTCAATTCCTTCAACATCTGTGTTAGAACCAAACAGTTGCATCAACACACTCTTGACAGACTTTGACTTGTCCAGCAGAGTCTCAGTTCCCACCTCCAGTCTGCCCACCTGTGCGACATCGATGTTGTAGTTCTTGATCAACTGACTCAGAACAGTAAGGGTCATAGAGTAAATATCCTCACGGTCATTCACAAAGGCCATGTTCGTCTGGCCAAGGCCAATGGTGTATTTTCCAGCTGGAATTCCATCAAAGGTCTCGAGTTCGGCCTGGTTGACGTACTGAAGAGCAAATGTTAGCGCGCTGAAAAGATGCTTTTATACCCATTGAACAAAACTTACCTGTCCTGGGATGTAGATCTCAAATGCCTTGATACCAATGTTAGAAGGACGCGTCATTTTTATTTTGTTGGTGTTGTAGTTGCCTTGTTGGAGAAAAACAAGAAGGGAACAAGACAAGTTTTAAGAGCGTTGCCCAGCGTCGTTCACGTCGCATATGCGTAGTGCCAAACCCAACTCTACATCATAATTGAAATATTGCACGTGACACAGAATCGTGTCTCACACGAATACCTTTAACATCGAAAAAACAATCGCGGCCTCTTGACCACTACCACTTCACAGGTGTAGCAGTCGCATTATTTCTCCTTCTTTCTTCCAATTTGACTCTAAACTTTGCACACATGGAGTTCTACACGCAAGAATTGTCTGTGCTCAATCCTCAGCCGATAGACCCGCCCACGGTCCAAGAGCAAGAGGCACAGTTCATCGCCAACAACAGGTATCTCAAGAACGAGCCTATGATCAGCTATGTTGGAATCCCAGGTCTCAACCACCGCGGACCCGATATCCAGGAAAGACTTCGACTAGCATTTGCATCAGGACTTCCTACAGAAGTGAAGTGGGCACTCAGTACGTGTTTGCAGTTGAGTAACTCAACCCCTTACGCTGTGATGCTACGTTCGAACCCTTGGTTGCTGGAAGAGTTGCTAAAACATCTTAACTGCTCCGTCTTTTCAGAGTCAAAGGGAGAGCCTTTGAATGATGACATCGGGCTGTCGCTGGACGCAGCCATTGTGCTGAGAAATATGTCTCAAGACACCGAGAACGCGTCGATATTGTCTATGAGCTTTACTCTGCGCGAAATTCTGGTCAACATTCTCAACAACAAGTGTCTGATCAATGAACCGGTTATAACTGATTTGTTCGAGGTGTCTAAGGAGATTTTGAGGTACGCCGTTGACATAGTGGAATCGATTTCGTCATATCTGGCTCCTGCCCAGAAGGACGACTACATGTTCCTATCGTTGATGAAGATCTTGATCACCACCAAAGACCGCTCTTTGATCGTGTCAATCCTCAGATCTTTATCGCGACTGATGGTGCGGTCCAATCTGTCACAGCCATATGCTGCTGACAATATTTCACAGCTGCTCCTGGACCAGGTGTCTTCATACATGCTTCTTCCAGCATCCGCGGGAAACGACGAACTGATTCTTGCCTCGGTCGATTTCTTATACCAGTACTGTTTACCAGGTGATATACGTGTTCCTAACCTTTTGAAATCGTTCAAACGGTCAATGGTTTTGAAAGCTGTGTTGCCTAGACTACTGACCCACGGTCTTGAGTTCTCCACCGAGTTCTCTAACGGTGTCCAAGCATTGAAACTGGTCAAACGTCTCAAACCTCCCGTGCCAACCTCACCACCACCTCTCACAGACTCGTTGCTGGCGGAAATTGATGCTCTCAAGGAGCCAGATAGGGCTACTGCTTGGATGAGGTGCTGCTACCAGGCCGCCTCTGAGAGCGAGGTCACTCAGATTTCGTTATGGAGATCCTATGAGGCTCAGTTCCACGAAGACGCAAAACGCAGACTACCAGCTGTTGATTTCATCAAGAACGTGTCGAACGCGTTCCCCAATTCGTCGGCGATGGTCATAAATCTTGATGATGGTGGCCGCAAGTTTATTATCAAGGGCATCCAGCCTCGCCATTGGTCTGTGAATGTGTCAATGGGTAGATTCGAGGCCCTTTCGCGTCAACCGTTGATCACTTCTGTGTCCGAAGACGGAAAGGTGACGGGCAGTGCGATGCAAGAAGCCATCAATGTGTATAATTACGCTCAGAACTCCACTGTCGCTCTTAGGGAGATCAACACGAGTTCATGCCTGTTGCTCAATTGTCTAGTGGGGACTAAACTTGGCCACGAGTTGTTTCGTGGAACGCTTGATGACCTCCTAGGAAAGGTGATGCAGGTGCCAGCCCTTGTTCCTCACATTTATGACACTTTGAACGCATTAGATTATTGAGACTGTTTCAAATAGAATGGAGAATGTCATCAGTATTTATAGCTGTTATAGCTAAAACGCGTGCAAGTTCTCACCCAACTGCATTGTAGAGCTCATTCTAGATGCCAATACTAAAAATCCGAAATATCAGTGGTTATTGAAACGTTATTTTAAACTCATCACGAGGCAACATTAGCATTCTCTTGGTCCATGATCTTCTGCCTTAGAATGTCGTTGATCCTCCTACTCAGCTGGTCCTTCTCAACTAGCAGTTTGTTCAATTCCTGGGCGTCGCTCTCCAACTTTTGGATTCTGGCTGAGAAAAATGACTTAGCATCCTTGGCATCTTTTTCAACAAAATATCCGGTTCCCACATCCACAAGGAACTTTTTGTCCTCCTTGACCTTTCCTGGAACGTATAGCGAAGAGGTCAACGGCACTAACATCTGCTGGCCTTTGGAATCGACCACTTTGTCAACACTCGAGATACACTCACCAAACTTGGCTTTGGCCGTGTATAAAGCTCTCATAGAGTTCTCCAGATGGGATATCTCCGACCGCACCTGTCTGTTAAACTCGACGATTTGTTCTGGCGGCAAAGTCGTCAAGTCGACTGATTAGCAGTTGTTAGTAACTCAAAAGTCAGTTGCACACCCGAGGATACCTCAAGTCAGCTCCAAATACAAAATCACTCACCTCTTTTCCCTTGCGACATATTTGGGTAGTTTTTGTGTTTATTTTTCACCAACCAAGCGTTCAATCTCCTTCTTCATTAGCCGCCAGAACTTCGGGCGCTTAACGCGATGGGCACCGCCCTGAAAAGTCTGGGTGGCACACGGCCCTGCTTCTCCAGATTGACCACCAAAGAAGTTCGTCTTTGGCCCTTCAACGTTTCTGGGTCATATATTCTCGAGTAAACCATGGGGGACAACGTCAATTCGACATCGTTCGCGTCCATCCTGGCGGGTGTCAGGAAGCTGAGACAAGATGCTGAAGGTGGAGAGCCGCCCGCTCCCGAGACTTCGAGTGTCTCAAGTTCAAGTGTCTCAAGAGATTCTACTAAAGAAGCCCCACAACCGATCAGTTCGGACCCTGCAAACGTCAGGTTACAGCCACAGAGGATAATATCGAACCGGATGGGACCTGCCTCGAATATGGCGGTGCGACACGGTGAAAATGCCCGTACTCGTGAGTTCAGCACAATCCAGGTGAGCAAGCACCAGCGAGGAAACCCGATGTTGGACCATCTGCGCGACGTCGGCTGGACATACAACGAGTCAGTCAAGAAAGTTGATTATCTCGTGAATTCAAAGCTAGTGGTAATCTATCTGAGTTTGAAGTACCACAAACTGCACCCGGAATACATCTATAACAAGATCAAGGGTCTCGGGTCTACTGGAAACACCCAAGCTCTCAAAGTGTTACTAGTTGTTGTGGATATCGAAAATACGAACGACATAGTTCGTGAGCTAAACAAAGTGTGTTTGTTCAATGATTTGTCGCTTTTACTGGCTTGGTCGAACGAGGAGGCCAGTCGGTTTTTAACGTTTCTCAAAATGCACGAGTTTAACATACACACCTCGACGATCAGGGGAAACACGTCGAAGGATCAGTTCGAATCGCTTTCAAGTATACGAACAATCAACAAGACTAACTCGAAGGACTTGCTGAGGAAATATGGAAGTTTGCAGAATTTAATGGTACATGCTACGGATGAAGAGGAACTGGGAGCTATCTCTGGTATGGGACAGGTGAAGGTAAAGAAGCTTTTGCGAGTTCTGGATGAGCCCTTTATATACAATTTGGATTATGACAAGTTGAGCCATGGATGAGTGGAAATGGAATTTGTTTGGGTGTATGGTCCTGATTGGTTGGCTCAACACCTCGCTACGGATTTGTAAAGCATGGAAAAGCCCAACCAAGAATGGTAATAAGTGACAATTGAGTTCATTAACTATATCATTAACTATGTCATTGGCAAACAGTCAAGCTTTTGTTGCAAATATTGGTATTTTGGTGTATTATCTGTGTTCGATTTGCAATTGCAGTTTGCATACTGTTCTCAAGCCAATGACATCTCTATAGCTCAAAGAACGTTGAGGCGTTTCCAACGATCCTCCTTTTTTGAGAAGTGAGCGTAGATGCAAGCGGTTTTGGCTTCTGTTTAGGCCTCAAAATCTCAACCTTCTGTGGTTCATAGCTCCAACATCTAGCGCGCGGTTTAGCAGAGTCTTTCCACAGGTTTCGAAGTTCTGAACGATTGAGGGCAGATTTCAGCTCCAAGTCCACGAATTTGAAGTCAAGAATGATCCCGGGATCGGAACAAGGCAAAAACTGAAGAAAACTTGAAAGGTTAGATTCACGACGAATTCGTTCCTTGGTTCCTTCCTCGTCAACAGAGCTGAATACTCGCACCATTCCACGAGTACGTAGAAGCGCCAAAAGACCTTCCTGACCCACTCGGGTAAAAGAGACATCAACCATGGAGAGATGGGACCATTTTCCGGACCCAATGGCTGTTATCCATGACTTGACAACTCCATCGTCCACCGATAAGACTCCAGACACATCCAACACAGTTAGATCAATTTGCGTCAGAGATATAAGCGCGTGTCTGTCAATCGTCATATTGCTAAGATCCAGAAGACACAAAGATTGAAAAATATTTGGTGGATCTACCAGAAAACTGGCTAGACTGTTTGAAAAAAGCGTTTCAAGTCGCACCTTCCAACTGAGCCCATCTATGGCTCGTCGTAATTCAATGCACCTTTCGAAACGTTCATAGTTGAGATCCCAATCCCAATGAGGGCGAAAATCACTCTTTGATCCGAATTGGTTGGCAAAAGTTTGGAAAAGGATAAAAGAGTCCAGATCATTATAGCAAATGGTATCCCAGACAGGTTTCCATAGGTGCCAACTGGGAGCCGCACTCAAATGGCTTGGTCGTATGGAAGATGCCATTGAAGCTAGCTTCCGACTTGCCAAAAGTCTCAATGATAACACAGTATGAAGATCAGAACGATATGACCGGGGAATCTCGATTCGTCCCCGAGGCGGCGTAGCGACCATCTGGCGCTGATACGCTATCTGCTGAACATCACCATAAGTAGTGTCAATGTGGCCCAAATCGCGCGTACCTTGTATAACAGACAATCGCGACTCGTATTCAGGATCACCAGTTCCTCTGATTGTTCCAGAAGACGAGAAACCCAATCCCACGCGCTTTAGGCGGCTATGTCGTCCTGGTCTCTTCTGGCGCTTCCTACCAGATTGTCTTCTTGCGGAACCCCCTCGAAATGGAGCCATGTCGGACTTGAAACAACGACCCAAGAAACAGACCGTCTAGCAGTACTAAACAACCCAAAAGTCTTAGTTTTTGCACAATTAAATCCTACGATAACCGCGCTTACCTGTTACTTTGGGCGCGTAAATTCAAGCGCGTATTAAATTGAATCAGTCACGTGATGCGTAAGTTCCGGGAGATGATCTTCCTAAAATCACGTGATTACAGAGAAGCTGAAAAACTCTTCGAAGTTCTTAGGGCCGAGAACCGAGTCCGCTCCCGATTCGCAAGCCGAAAAACGTACAGGATTCGCTAAAGAAGCCATATTGCGGATGTCAGTCTCCAACATCCCTGCCAGTGTGGCCGCATTCGCCGTCCCGCGGCTGTTTCACAACACCTGGGCCAAGACATTCATTTGCTATCCACAAGCCTACTTCCAGCCCCGCGACGAGGCGGAAATCGTTGAATTGGTCAAGACCGCGCGCCAGGTCAACAAAACCATCATGGTGGTTGGTTCTGGTCACTCGCCCTCGGATATCACCATGACCAAAGATTGGGTCGTGAACTTGGACCGCTACAGCCGTGTTCTCAAAGTGGCCCCACATGAGTCCGGCAAGTACACGGACGTTACCGTCGAGGCCGGAATGCGGATCTATCAATTGAACGAGTTTCTGGCCAAGAAAGGACTGGCGATTCAAAACCTCGGCTCAATTTCCGAACAGTCTGTTGCCGGTATCATTTCCACCGGTACCCATGGAGCTTCACCATTCCATGGATTGGTGAGTCAACAGGTTGTGGATCTCACGGTTGTTAATGGCAAAGGCGAGGTGGTGAAGTGCTCACCAACTTTGAATCAGTCTCTTTTCCGTGCGGCTTTGCTTTCGCTCGGGAAAATTGGGCTTATTTCGCAGGTTACTCTGAGAACGGTTCCTCGGTACCAAATCAAGTCGCGCCAGGAGATCATCAGTTTCCAAACCTTGCTGGAGAACTGGGATTCTATCTGGACCTCGGACGAGTTCATCAGAGTTTGGTGGTTTGCCTATGCTGACAAATGTGTGGTTTGGAGGGCTTCCAAGAGCTCCGATCCTTTGAGTGAGCCAAGAAAGAGTTGGTACGGAACCAGATGGGGCAGACTGTTCTATGAGTCCCTATTGTGGGTCTCGGTCCATGTGGCTCCACGCTTGACTCCGTATGTCGAACGCTTTATTTTTTCGAGACAATACGGTACCAAAGAGACTCTTGGCCAGGGCGAATTTGCAGTCCAAGAGTCCGTTGCCGGCCTCAACATGGACTGTCTGTTCTCGCAATTCGTGAACGAATGGGCTGCTCCATTGACCAATGGACCAGAGATCTTGCGCAGTCTTGACAATTCTATCAAGGAAGCAGCCAGACGCAACCAATTCTACGTTCATGCTCCGATCGAGGTGCGGTGTTCGAACACCACCAGCAGCGGTTCAATTGAGGACCCAGACGTTTCCCAGCGTGGCCTCATTCATCCTGGTCCAGTTGTTGGCAATAACCTGAGACCATTGCTGGACAACACTCCGCAATTGGCGTATGTTCCTCAAGACTCGGTCACCAACTCGCAATTGACTCTCTACATCAATGCCACCATGTACAGACCATTCTACACGAGTGTGCCTATTGGAAAGTGGTACAGTATTTTTGAAGAGACCCTTGAGGCTGCAGGTGGAAAGCCGCACTGGGCCAAAAATTTCATCGGCTCCGAGTCGCTTGCCTCGCAGCAGGACAAACGTTATAAGGACGGTGAGATGAAGGGATTTGCCTACAAGATGGAGGAATGGTTTGGCGAGGATCTGCACACTTTTAAGAAGGTGCGGGCCGAAAATGATCCAGACGGGGTCTTCCTGTCTGGACTGGAATGGGCCGTTCGCAACGGGATCGTCGATGAACCTGTAGAGTGAAAAATGGACTTAGAACACGCAGCTTTTGATCGTACTTATATATAGAAAGAAACGGAATGGCCCGTGGGATATAACAGTCTTGCTTTGAGAGTGTAGTTGGGACGATTGTGGGAGAATTTTGAGTCAATGAACCGGTCAGAGTTCCTCGGAAATTCGAGTAAAAATTCGAGTAAAACGTCGCATATCCGATAATTCTGACAACACTTGACTATATTGGACAATTTTCAAAACTCATACAGCGCCTCTGCTGCTTTGACCCCTTCAACAGTCGTGATTCGACTGGCCAGACTAACAGAAAGAGCCTCCGGGAACACGAATCCGTAGTCTGGAGTAACCGAAATTATATCCGGTTTGGTCTTATGCTCAACAGCAGGCTTAAACAAAAATTCTTCCTTCTCATTTGTCGCTGTTTTTACGACATCCTCAATCTTCTTCACCTTCTCCGGCTCTGGAGTAGAGAAAGCAACTGGAGCACCAGTCTTGGGCCTGGGCGGCAAAGTCGGAACCGGCTTCTTCGTGGATATAGTGCGCGGCTTATTCGCCACTAATTTGTCTTGTTTGTCCAATATACTCTGAAGTGCGGTAGCAGTCTTCGAGAGACTCTTCTTTGGAGTATCCTCAACTTTGGAAAGCTCTGCAACCTCCACATTTTTTGAAATATCATTGCGAGATTCCTGATCATCCATCATATATAGGGGACTCCGTATCCTCGTCCTGAATGGCGAGGGTAAGTCCGAGTAGTTGACCACCCTTCTGGTGGTGATGGATCTCAAACCAGCATCCTTGTGCTTTCTATATGGCTCATACCGAGGCGAAAACGTCGGCAAAGTCTTGAGGCTCTTTAACTTCGTGGAGTCATCAATCAAAACTGGAGGCTTAGATTCAACAAAAAGACTGGACTCGTCAACCGTGTTGTTCAACACCAACGAACTGTTCACCGACGAGTTATTGCTGTTGCCTTTGCTCAGCAGGCTCAAAACACCCTCCCTTTCAATGGGCGAAAGCGGAGCATCACCCTTGGCAAGGAAGAACTCTCCAAGCAAATGATTGGCTGACTTGCTCTGGAAAAGCCGCGACGAAATGGAACTGGTATCAGGACTCAGTGGATTCGTTATGTCTGCGACAAACGCCGTGTGATCCACTGGTGGCTCCGGCTGCGTCCGCTCCCTCCGTAAAAACGGCGAGTTAAGCATATCGTAAAAACGTGACACAAACCCTGGTCTATCGCTTTTCCCCATTTTAAGCTAATTTCAACTGGGATCTAACAAGGAATATCGGCCTCAAACCGGTTGAACCACCTCTGTCAAATTTCCAATGGCTAACCCGTTTGAAAAACCGTTTCTGTGCCGACACACGACCCTCGATAAGATTGCCTCTCAACTTTTCAGTCGGGGGCACGACGCGGTGATCGCGATAGCTCTGTGAACGGTTTTGAAGCAGTGAAAAATTGGTCTTAAGACGAGATAAAAGCCAGCAAAGACACGAAGAAGAACTACTATCGGGGTTCTGGTTGCAAATCTCCGAAGACGACGAAATTGGGTTAGTTCAACAGCGACAAATCTACGCCACCTACGCGAGCAATCATGCGGTCAAGAAGGAATGAGACCAACGAGGAATCGAGCGTTCGAGGCCCAAATAGTGCGCTGACGGCTTTTTTGAGAGAGCAAGGAATTACTGCAGAGGTCATAGAAAGAAGAAACCGTCAACGTGAAGAACAGGAGGAACTCGAACGTGCGGCTGTTACACAGCGAGTTGCCACAGACGCGAATTCGGATATCGAGGAGCTGGTTGACGCTGCTACCTCAAAAAGAAGAGCCGCGGATGTGAGCGACGACGATGGAGATGATGGAAACCACGACCGTGATCCAGATGGCAAAAGTTACTGTCTTGACTGTGACGTTGAGTTCAAGATTACCGTTCTATCCAAACGGGCTGAACGCAACGGTAGGGCGGGTTATCTTTGCGCTGATTGCACTTTAATTCAACAGAGAAAGGCACGGAATGCTCGGAGGAATGAGGTAGAGGCTCGCAAAAGGCGTAAGAAGGTAGCTGCTGCATTACTGGACAAACAAGAATACAAACTGCCTTCGTTGCAGGACATCTGCGTGAAGTTGATCTCTCAAAACATCGAAGAAGTGGATGCTTTTGGCGATATTGGGACTGTAAATATGAGAAAGATCTCCAAGATTTTGTCTAAAAATCGGTCGTTGAATGGCCATACAATGACACTGTTCTTAGATGCAGGACTGAAGGAACTCGAGTTTTGGGATTGCTCCAATATGGATAGTGATTCGTACACCAAAATTGCAGCCTTTTGTCCGCGCATAGAGAGACTGACTTTGTGGATGTGTGGCCAGCTTCATAACGACAATTTGCGTTATATTGCGACGAATCTGCCCAATCTCACGCACCTCACTTTGAACGGACCTTTCCTAATCAGCGATTCATGCTGGCAGGATTTTTTTGAGATTGTGGGTTCACGGCTCAAAGGGTTTCATATTTTGAATACCCATCGTTTTTCGAACGACTCGATGGTATCATTATTGGAAAACTGTGGATCAGGGCTGGAGGAATTGACCATCTCAAGGATGGACGGCCTTGACTCCAAACCGGTCTATGACATTCTGCCCCATTATCTCACAAAACTGAAACATCTGGAAATTTCTTATCCAACAAAGGAAGAACTTGTCGATGATGCGCTCATTGTGAATCTTCTTTCTGTCAATGGTGAAACTTTGGAGACTTTGATTCTGGACGGGTGTTCGGGGCTTACTGATGCCACATTAGTATCAGGAATTCGGCCGTTTTGCCCAAGCCTCCGAAAATTATCGCTTGGACTGTTGGACCAGATTACCGATGATGGGGCCTCGCAACTGTTCACAGACTGGGATATCAACGATGGACTCATGGAGGTGAGTTTGCGACGTTGTACAGCTCTGACTGATGCGGGGGTCTACCCTATGTTAGAACATTCTCGGTCGACACTAATCGAGCTGAATTTGAACTCGGTTTACGGAATTACCACCCAAATGTTCCAGGATTGGTCTCGAAACCTGAAACTTGGTCTCTTGACTTCTCTCGATATCGGCTTCGTTCAAAGCGTCAATGACAAAGCTGTGAGCATTTTGGGCCGCGTATGCCCAAAGCTTACGATTCTGGAGGTTTATGGTTGCAATAATTGTACTCAAGAGGCAACTGTGAGGTCGGGTCTAAGGCTTATTGGGAGACAAACAGATAATTTTTGAGTTTGGGGAGTTTTTCAGGCAAATGACGGTTAAAATTCAGAGCTAGTAAAGGTATCCGAAGGCTATTACATCTGACCTAAAGCTCACCAAATCAACAAATTAACTACATTGATTAACTTTGTAGGGAACCGAGTATTTTTAGTTTATTTTTTCAATATTGTTAGATTTTCTTTAAACCAACGCTTGCAGTTTCCAGGTTATTTTTTGAACAATGATTGGCATATATGTACCCCACCACCATGCACTGGCGTCCCACATTGTCTAGTACCCATTTAAAATCCTGTTTTATCAATAAACTCTTTTTTTGCCCAAATATGTAAGTCAATCTCAAATTTTTTGCGTTAAAATTGAACAAACATATTTGTTAAGAGAACGAAGAAATCAGACAGAACAATCGACGGTATCCAAGTGCTTATCGCTATCGGCATCTGACTGCAGACAAAAAAAGACAGAATCTACACCCCCCCACAAACTATGTCTGAATTAATTTTTATAGCTTTGAGAACTCTTTTCGAGACCAATTTTTCAAGTAAAAAACACTCTCATATCCTAGCCAGTCTCAGGTCCAGATCTTCTTTTAGCAATACCGCTTATCATCTTCCATCAAAGCCTATCGCTTTGCATTTGACAGGCCTATCTGCATTTACAAGCCCCGATACTACTTGTTCGAGAAAATAAAAATTGAAACACCATTTATAAAAATATATCATCAAAGACGTCGTTTAAAATATCCAACTTCGCATCCTATGTGCTTCAAAACCAATCACCCCGGCCTGCCGTGTCAGTCATCCTGTCATCTCGAAGTCTATCAGCATCTTACGTCTACATCATCTCCTCAACTGATAGAGGACCAGCTACCATATCCACTAAGCAGATTAAAAATAAGAATTTGTGGTTTTTTTCATGAATAAATACTTCCGGCCCACAACATTTCCACAACAACGTATTAAAATTTGGAATTCCCAAATAAACTTCCCTTGGAACCCTCCGAACCCTATCCCCACTCTGCAGCGCCAAAGGATTCCCCTATTGTTCGGCCTGCACCATTGACAGTAGGCCATGTCACATAGACGAGCACGGACAAAGCCGGTCACACCACCAGTTCTAACACACTCCTACTCCACGACCCACAACAACATCTGTTAAAGCCTAAAAACATATCTAGAACCACCTTTTTCCTACAAATCAATTGCATTCCAGTCTTTCACGTTTGTGTGTTTTCCTCGACGGCATGTTGACACAGGACGTGTGGCAGAGGAGAGAGGAGACAAGACAAGGCCGGGCAGCGTGGTTGGGCGACTGAAGATTTTTTCTTGTTCCTTCATTGAAGACAATTTGTGTTTGAGCATTTGAATTGTGGCTGTTTAAAGTTAGATTATCATCTTCTGAATCGTTGGTTCGTGAGATTCTAAAATCACGGGATATTAGCCATCAAAGGGTGTTATCTGAACGTCCACAAAGAACAAGAAAAGCATAACGTGTTGCCGGGTTACAACGTTGGTTGTTGCCTTTTGGTTATTGATTGACTCCAAGTGCCATTGCATTAGACTTGAATTGAGCGCGAAACAGGTCGGCTAAATCCGCATCTGATATCAAAGAGCTCTATTCAACGTCTATCAAAACCTAGTCTACGCCGTTGACACCTGCGTAGTTTGCACGTTCCATTTGCAATGTCACAATTATTTGAGCCAGAATCTGCTGCTCAAGATCCCGTACTGACTACGTCTGCAGATGTTTTTCCCGCAGAAGTGGATGTTTCGTCGGTGCCGGTGACGTACCGAATCCTGGTCTCGCGCCGCGAGGCCGGAGTGATTATAGGAAAGAATGGCGATTGCATTACGCAGATCCGAGACGGGTCCGGCGTGAAAGCTGGAGTGTCCCGTCTTGTTGAAGGGTGTGCAGATCGTATTCTCACTGTCACCGGTGCCATCGAAAACGTGTCTCAAGCCCTTGGTCTGTTCGCGCGTGCTCTCGCAGAGTCGCAACCGCAGCCGCAATCGCAGTCACAGCCGCAGGGAAGTATTCCTGCTTACACGGCGTTTCCGCTGAAACCGTTGTGTCCTGCTCCCGTGCCTCCAAACGCTGAAATCGCCAGTTTGCGACTGATGATCCCTCACGCTCTGATGGGAACACTCATCGGAAAGCAGGGAATACGCATCAAAGCCATCCAGGAGAGCCACCATGTGAAGATGGTTGCCTCCAAAGACTTTCTGGCAGGCTCCACAGAGCGTATTGTGGAGATTCAGGGACCTCCCTCAGACATCAGCGAAGCATTGACGGTGATCTCGAAGTGTCTGCTTGAAGACTGGCATAGCGCGACGGGGACGAATTACTACTTCCCTTCGAAACGCGCCGCTCCAGCGCAGAGACCAAGGTTGCATGCGGACCCGGCGTCGGGTGCAAAAGATGCCAGTGAATTGGTCAAGTTCCCTGGCGAGTTGGTGGGTGCATTGATAGGAAAGAAGGGCGCAAGGATACAGGAGATCAGGCGTGACTCTGGTTGTACGATTTCGATTGAGCCAGAAGATGATCAGAATGGAGAAAGAGCGTTCGCCCTGACTGGATCTCCGGAAAACGTGGAGAGGGCGTTGACTCTATTGTATGGACATCTGGAGAGGGAGAGGCAGAGGAGGGCTCTTGTAACGAGCAATGAGGAGTGAGATGGAACATGGAAGGAACAGGAAAGAAATGAAACAAATGACCAAGAAACTCTCCGAAATGTCTCTCCAAATCCTCATACCCCAAGTCTTCTTATTTTTTTTCAATTTTGGACCCTTCTCACGAACCTGTCCCGTTTTTGTCGTTTTTGCTTGTGAGTTTCCAGTTCCAGTCTGGTGGTTTTTGTTTTGGCCTGAGGCCTTCGATGGGCTGTGGAGGGATCGGCCTCATGGTAGTCTACGTGCTGATAACTGGTTCGAAAAATGAAATGCTTCTGATGGTAACGAGAGGAATATCGAGTTCCAGTCGTTGCTGCTAAAATTCAAACAGCGTGGGAAGTTTCCACTTGAGCGGCGATTCTTCGATATACCGTCTTATTTCTTGGGCATCTTCTGGCGTATATTGAGCCAATCGCTCTTGGGCTCGCTTCCTGGCAAGCGAGACATCTACCTCGTACTCACGAAGGTCCACCACTGTGTCAAATTTAACTGTCTTGGTGATCAATTCACCGGCATCATTGAATCGCGAGTAGAAACTTTTGTTGTAGCCATCCGGGTTCTCGACTTCGTCAAATTCTGCCATTATTTCGGAGTGCATCGAAATGGCATCATCATTTGAGTTATCATTAGAGCCATTTGCATCCCCATTCACATGCTCGTCCTCTTCCTTGGTCGTCTCCAGGTGTGACAGTCTGGCAACACCCTGGTTAAACATGCTCTCTGCATAACTCCCAATCCGCTTAAAGTTGTAGTTGGAAGCTGAGCGCGGCAGCGCACGAGTCAGCCCATTATTGATGGCCTTATAGCAGTTGCGCAGCAGAAGGTTGATCACCTTGTCTGGGGTTGGCTCCTGGTTGTCAATGGTCCAAAACAGCCATTTCTCCTTTTTAACCTTGGAAACACTGAGATCAGACCCAGATTTTCGAGGATATGCATTCACATCTATAAAACACATGCTGAACCCAGACTTGATGTAGAGTCCAGTCTCTTCCATGATGATATCTACCTCCACTAACCGGTCCTGAACCAACGACTCGTCACTAGAAACGTATGTATCTGCATTCACTTCAAAGTTTCCCAGATCCAGAAGCGAAAACTTATTCCGTGGAAGCATCTCGTTGATATTGGTGGGAGGGTAATAGGTTAACAGAGGCTCGCCAGTGCGATGGTCCACCACCTGAAATTTTATCGTTCCCAACCCCAAGGCATTCTGAATAATGATTCCACACGACAAATTGTACACATCAGCCGAAATCTTTATCGTTTTTTTGTAGTGCAACAAATAAGTCTTGTTGATCTGGAGAATGTGCCTGTAGATGTAGTTCATTGGCTCGTCCACCTGGTAGTCCGTGTATTCGACAAACAGCCTCCTGTTTTTGAACAGACTGTACACCAGAGACCAGGAGTCCGCAATGTAAGTGCAATTGATGGAGTCGATGGGTGTTTTGTTCCGTGATTCGGATTCGTCATATTCAGGCAACCGACAGTAGTCTGCAATCATCTTCCTTAGAGTACCACGCCAGTAGTCGAAGGAACGAACATATTTGACTATATGAGGAAGGGCATGCACTCCTATTGTGTAAATGACTCCCGAACCCATTTCTTCTACCATTCTATGGTAATACATCTCGTTGTACATCACGTAGAAAGACTTACATGTGCCTTTGAGCTCTCTCGGACATAGCTTCATGATCCGCCGCGTGATCTCCACCGGGAGGTCAAGCAGCGATGATGCCGAGTCAGCCAATAACTGGGCCATTTCTGGTACAGTGTCTGTGGGCTCAGCTATCAAAGTCGGACCAACTGATGAAGGCGCAATGGACAACGATCGGGGACAGGGTTAAAATCCATGACGTCATGTGTCTGGAGAACGGTTTGGTCTTGGACATGATCCAGACACGACTTTGTTTGGTTGATGCACGACTGGATGTTATCTTTATCTTTCCTCGGAGTTCTCGATACGAGACAAGAGACGCAAAAAAGGTAATTTCTGGAGCGGTTTTTCCGAAAAATTTGGGTGATATAATGACGGGGGAGTAAATATTATTTAAAGGCTGTTTTTCCGGTAGTGGTGATATTTGAAGTAGCATGTGCATTAGTGATGTTCTATTCGTGAACTACTTTATCTAGTGTGTCTGCTCTGTCTGATTGAATCTGATCCATTCAGTCTGCTTTTCTTCCTTTAAGCAAACTTCCAGGAATCGCACTCAAATGAAGCATAACATCCGAACTCGTTGCTGAGTCCATTCTTGTGCTCTGGGGTAAAAGTGGTGAACTTAGTGGTAGGATACACCTTGGCTATGACGTCTTTCATCCTTTCTCCAGTGCAAACTATGACCGAATTCTTGGGCGAATTGGGCCTTAGAAGTGCCCTTGCTGTCAACGATGCTGAAATGTTTGTTAGTAGTTGAGCTGCCGAATTGTTTGGGCAAAAAAGATCTAAAACTCACCTTTAACTTGACAGTCTTTCTCCAAAAATGGAGGGTCCACCAGAATCCTGTCACAAGCACCCTTCAGATCGGTTCTGAATTCAAGAGGCTTATTGTAGTCATAATAATCAAAGTGCTGGCTTCCCGCAAGTACTTTGAACCTCATGTCGTACTCTAACAAATATATGTGTTTGGTAGGTATTTCAGCTGGAGGGAACTTTTTGAGTGCAGCGTATACTGATGGAGCCGACACTATGCAGATTGTGGTGTCCTCTGTAGCTCCTGCTAGTAGTTCTCTGGCTAGAATCTCGGCAGTTTCGTCAGAATACTAGTGGTTGGACTGAGTTAGTGTCTTCCTTTGGAGCTGTTCTAATTAGCAAACATACCCAGAACTGTGACAGTTGCCAGTCTTCTTTGAAATCGTCTATAGTCACTTCAGGGACCGCATTGGCCTCTCTTTGTTGGAGATCAAAACTTTCCTGTGCAATCATAGACATCTTGTTGAATTTTGCAATTCTGTCTTGCTCCTCGTCTTTGAACTCTTGCAGAGCTGCAAGAGCATGTGCAGAAAGCATTCTAGAGTGAGTCTTAGTTAGTATGGCTCGTCCTTTGACTAAAAGCACGTCCTAAAATCCCCACATACATTTCATCCTCTGAGTCACTCGACATCGCAGCAGTTTGGTCTTTTCAAGTGGGTTGTGAGGCGTGGTTACCATCTGTGAGCCCTCTTGAAATTTTTCGGAACATCAGTAGTGCGACTCACATTTGAGACTTGCACGAGTTTCGAGCCTCCCAGTGTATATATATTGTACGGATATGTCCTATGCGAGATATACGCATCGGGGCGACAAAATCGACCATTCAAGGATCTTCTCAGAAGTCTAATGGTGAAATGGTGGAGAAGTTGAAGAAGTTGAGGAAGAACGGTCAATGGCAAAGTTTGTGTGCCGCGGAGTGAAATTCTCCTATGGTAGTATATGCCAATGGCTGGAGGACAAATTCCCGCATTCAACCCGGAACCCCATAGTTTTGAGCCAGTCGACTCCAACGGTATAATCACCGATTTGTTTTCAGCTCGATCAGGCACAAAGAAGGAGGGTTCTTTCGTATTTTTTAGATCCTTGACTGGGCGCTTAGTGCGGCTCTCTCGGCGGTAATTTTGAGTGCTACACGACTGTAACCGATAAGAGCTCTATTCGAACAGTAGCTTTTGAATGCGCAAGAACCCGGACATTCTGCACCCAAGAAGCGCGAATTTTGAGTCCTGACTCATGAATCCGCTGATTAATTTTCAGCCTCGAGGGCTTATGAGCGCTGTGGAGCCGCAACCGCCGAAACTGTTGTATTTGGCGATGTACAGTCCGGGACTGGCAAACACACCCGGACAGCCTTCAGATGAGGAAGGATTTTTACGAAGACAAGTTCTTTTTTACTGCAATTTCGAGACAAGAGAGGTGATGGAGGATGAGATATTGAAGACTGTTGGAATGATCCAAGGAATAAACGATTTTTCAGCAAAGTTCAACGAATCATCATATGTGTCCCACATAGACACGGATAAGACGCGGTGTGTGATTGCCAACATTGAGGCCGATTTTTGGCTGGTTATGGGTATTCGACTTGCGTCTTCGGTATCCCAAGTTGATGGAAAGACAGAATTTGTTCAACGTGGACTGGCTTCCCCCGAGTACTTGCAAAGTACCTTGGTGGAGGGTTATAGACTATGGAGGCTTCATCATGGTTTAATGGCTGAGAACCTCACTTGTGATGGATTAGAAGATGTCAAAAAGAGTCTAGAACAATGGTGGAAATCATGGGCTTTGGCGAGATTTGAATCCGAATCAAATTTCAATTTTAGTCAGTCGGGGTTCTTGAAGTTGCTTGATGGCTATAAGAAATCATCCATGCGCCTCCCCCCGTCTTTCGCCGAGAATATGGACATCAAAGTAAGATCACTTTTGAAGGAAGAAGGTGATGATGTGGATTTGCTGATTATGAACACCAACAGGTATCCTTTGAAGAACTTTGGTCTGGTGTACAAGAACCCAGAGTCTGAGTTAACCACCGAATCGCTGGCCGATCTCGTTAATTACCTCGAAAGCTTAGATCTTTCTGTTGGTCTGAGTCCGTCAGTGCTTGTTTTGGACAACCAGCCATTTCTGAAGGAGTTAAACAGAGCCATCGACGCCGACTCAGAACAGTCGTTTTCAAGGTTTTTCGAAAGATCCCTACTCAATCCGACATTGTTCATACAGGCGCAGCTTACAAACGTGTTCAATCCTTTGTCGCTAACACTGGATGCGGTTTCAAGCCTCACAAGCATGACAACACGGTACATTCCGCTTCCCAAATTAGACTTTTGGAATACAGGGACCGCAGATAGTGACTCCCAACAGCCGGCTCAACAGCCTGGGCCTGCGAAAGCTATCGGAAAATTTATACTTGGAAAACATTCTGGACATGTCGAAACCCCGATTTCCTGCAAAATCCTCCGTGTTTCCAAGAAATCTCGGCCTCAAGAGACAACTGAACAGGCACTGGTGCTGTATGAAGTGTGCGGTATGCTGTTCGTGATGCTTCTCAAGCCAGATGCCGAAAAACTGGCAGATAAGGCCTACTACGATAGACTGGAGACTCAGCTTATGCAACTCTACGAGACATATTTGGGAGATTTGACTATTCAACAGATGAAAGACATGGAAATAGAGGCTGAAACCGGGTCTGGCTCCACCAAATCCCCGTTCTACTACGTGATCCACGATCCCCAGACCAGAACGTATGAAAGTTCATTTCCAACGGTTCCGGACGATGAAAATTCTGCCAGACTGAAACTGGCACTGCAAACGGCATTATTGGCAGAGCCCAGTACTGAGACTCAGCCGCACATGACCTCTCACGAACCTGCAGAATTTCCCGATCCTAGCACAATGTCGAGGTCCCAAACCATCCACTTACACAATTGTATTGCCAGATTTGCACTACAGAATTATGACGGCTATTTGGGACTGTATGAAAATGCAAAACTCTTCAAGACTGGCAAAAACTGGTGGATCCTGCAGCAATCGATCCCAAACTCGGCGAAAACACTGCTTATCGCAAGGAGATTCGAACAAAAAGACGCCAGAAGGCTCCGGGTCCTCGACAGTGACCTTAGCCTTGAAAATAAAGCCGATCCGGGCCTGGCTCTGATCAACTCGCTCGGTCAAGACGTGCTGAACTGGTACTGCTCACGTTATCAGACTAAATAGAGGAAGTGTACCGACCAACTTTCCCCCAGTTCGTGCGCCAACCGGTCAAATGACAAATTTCCCTGTTCTCATTTGCCGAACCGAGTGATCAAAGCTCGGCTGATCCTGTAGGTTGATAGACCAGTTTTTATATAATATTTCAAGCCAGAAATCAAAAATTACGCCTTCATCATGTCCGCGCTACTGGAGCATGAGACTGCGGATAAAAAACGGTTTGCTCAGCTCGATTTGAACGGTATTCCGTCGAAGAAGCCCCGGCCACAAGGTACCCCAGATTGGAGCTCTTGTTATGATCATCGCAACTCCGCTGTGGTGATAAAAACGCCGGAAATTCCGCTGGAATCCGAGCTAGGAAAGAACGATCAACCGAAGCCTCGAAGGCTGAAATCGTGCACGCGTTGCCGGAAACACAAAGTGAAGTGTGACTTCATCCAGACGGAGCCAAACCCCTGTACGTGTTGTGTGAAGAAAGGGGTAGTTTGCGAGCTGGAGGTTATCATTCCGGTCAGACGATCAAATTTGATTAAGGACATGAGGACGTGTGTTTTGGAACTAAAAATGAAGGTTGCCGAGCTAGTTAAGGCAGATAAGTCTCTGAGGGAGATGTGCACTAGAAAAGGACTCGTGATCGAGGGGGTAGTCGATGTGGGAAGTCTGGAACACGCGCCAGAGTATTCAGAATATGAGGAAGAAGAAGAGGAGCTTGAAGAATATGATAATGCGAAGTTGAACGCGCCTCAACCAACGAAGGCACACATAGCTGCCCAAATCCACCAGCATCCAGAACAGGAGGTTTTTGTGGCAGAGACCTCGGGAAAACGATTGCAATTCTCGTGTTCCGAGATCTTATTATTGGTTGATTGGTTCAACGTGAACATTCTGCCTTTGGTGCCTATAATGAACCCAATAACTTCGCCAACACTCGTGCTGAAGAAGTCGCCTCTGCTGTTCTGGTCCATCGTGTGCATATCATCTGTTTCCATGAGAAGACTCACAGTCGACCAGTTGGCTGCACTTTCTGTTCATATCAACACGGCCCTGGTCCAGGCGACCTGGATGTCCACTCCAAAGTCGGTGACGATAGTGCAAGCGATATTACTTCTTTCTGCGTTTCCCGTGTTCTGCATCCCTCTAGACGACGACCTGGAGGACCCATGTTTCAGATGGCTGGAACTGGCCAAGAATATTTGCTTACAGACTGGAGTAAACCGGGGCTCGCAGTTTGTCAACGAATTCTCGAGGAGAAAGGACATCTCCCCGCTGAATGGTGAAGACTTTGATAATCACGGCCACCATCTCACAGACGAGCAGATCCGCGATCGCATATGGGCGTATGTATTCATTCTGGGAAACGAATGTGGAGACAGACTGGGACTTCCCTGGGACCAAAGACCCGATTCGCTCATCGACAAACTGCGAGTGGGTGATACGAGCAAGCAGACAACGTTCTTCCAGACGGCCTTGGAGACCCAGATCGTCCACTCCAAAATCACCGAGCAATTGGGGAAATCGTTCAGAAGTCCCTCTGGACTAATCCAAAATGCCCACGGATTGTCGACGGCACTTTCTATGTGGCATTATTTACTTCATAGCCACAAGGAGAAGGTTATGGGGCGGTTTGTCGGTAGCGACGTGGAAAGGAAGATGGCGGAAATTCGCATCTACGAGTGCAAACTTCATCTTTGTCTATTTGGAGGCACACTAGACGGAGTCAATGAAGACGATGAGCTCAATGATATTTCTGTGCGAAAGGCTCTTGAAGTGGCTCTCAATATTGAGAACGAGATCACCAGTCTCGGCAGAGGCTACTGCTTGATGCCCATTGGAATTCGTCATGCTGCCGAATTGGCTTCCCTGGTACTACTGAGACTGCTTTATTTTCCATTTGTGGTTCAAGATCCACATTTACAGACTTCTGTTTCCGATTCAGTGAGACGGTTTTACCGATTTTTCAGGGCTGCTATGTCGGACCAGCTGACCGCAGCATTGAACCCGAGCCTCAGACGTACCTTGAAACTTATGCGTGAGGTCGATAATGCTGTTTTACGAAATCCACGAGTATTCTGGAAGAATACAAGATTACTCAAAAGTACGCATGGACATTTGTCAATGAATGTGTTTTACGAAATCGAGTCGATTGTCGACCCGTGTGCTGAACAGTTCAGAGACGAGCAAGATGACCAGTCTTTTTTTCAACGTCTGGGAATAAAGGGCAAGGGTCTGATTGAACGGATCAAAAACCCACAGCCGTTGCATTTATCTGAAGAGGAAAGACAAGACGAAGACGAGGACGAGGACGAAGAAGTCACCCCAAAGTTGCATGAAGAAACGAACGAAGGACAGCTAAACGAGACGATTGACGACTTGGTGAATTTAGTTGGAAAATCGCAGGAGGAGGATATTAGTGCTTTGAACAAGTTGCTGAAGCAAATTGACTAGAAAGAGCGGAAAAGCTTTTTATTAACTGGAATATCATGAGATGGCGCGCAATTGCCTTGATTCCCAACATGACCAAAAACCGATATTACCAGAGGTATACTATTTAACATGATTCGACGATTATATAACCATGGAGTAGGAGTGAATTGTAGACTTGAAAAAATCATTCATTATCACAGCCTTTGTCCCTTAAAACGTCCCACTATTCCCCATGATCTTTATCATCAGCTTATCGAAAGACTCCTGAAGAATATCGTCTTCAGCCTTCCATGCCTCGTATTTTGTCAAAACAAATTCCAAAACGTTCTGGTCATAACGCTTGATAAAATACTCTTCTTGTACAGGACTTTCTTCTTTAACCACGCCCGTCATCTCCAGCTCTTCCTCTTCCATTTCGTTCTCGGTCTTGAGCATCCCCATGAACCCCGAGTCAAAAGCCCTTCTGCCGAAGGTATCTTCCTTGATGCTCTTGTCGTCCTCGTCATCGTTATTGCTGCCATTATTGGCTTCGTCTTCCTCGATCAAAACATTTGACTGGTTGTCTTTGACGAGACACTTTTCCAGATCCTCGTAGGACAGTTTGGTCAGCTCGTCCAGTTGGAGCAGGATCTTGGACTCATCGTTCAGAGCACCGCACTTGCACAGCAAGTAGCTTACCAACACCATGGATCCAATCTCCAACATGGTACTTCCAGCAGGCGAATCGAGTCCCAAACCTGCGCATCTGGTTAGAAACTCCTCAATGGTAGCACTGAGACCCACCAGCTCCACCAAAGGGAATAGTGAACGAAGATCCCAAGTCTCTGCCTCGGCGTCGCAGATGTGTCTGATTCGGGAAAAAAACGAGTGCTCCAAATTCGAATTCGACGGCTTGTCGTATTTTTCAACAAGTTGCCTGATAGCTGTGTTTTCAGAGATGTAAGGTCTGAGTGAGGTGCACAGGTCTCGGGAGCTGGTCTCAAGAACCAATATGTGCATATAAAGAGCCTCTCCTTTGAGTTTTGTACCAGGAGCAACGAGAGACTGCACTAGCTTGAGAATAAGTGCAACCTCACCACTCTGAACATCGCAGAGCTCCCATAGTCTATCCCGAACAAAGTCAAATATTCCCACTATGGTACACACCAAGAATGGCTGAAGAAAGTACTCCAACCCGTTCATGAGCGGTTCGTCGCCAAGGAAACTCTTTGTATGAGCAATTATAGCCTCTTGAAACACCACTGGGATCACCTTGAAACAATCACGCATGGATGATGACTTGATCAATTCATCTGAAATTCCACCTCCATTGGCAGAAGCAGCCACATCCGAGTCAAACAGTGAGTTGATCCAATCGTTGACCAATTTGTTCAGATTTGAAGAGGGATCCTGCAGATCTCTCCTAGAAGCCGGCTGGGGTAATCCCATTGATCTCTTGAGAAAATCAAACACAAACGTGGGGTCAGCACTGGCATTCTGTGATGCCGAGTGCGCTAACAGCATCTCCAACCGCAGATCAAACTTCTGAAAAACATAGAATACCACCAGAAGGACACAACTAAAGTCTGTATAATAGTCCTGGAAGTTCACATCGTCGTCTTCTTCCTGACCAAAAAGGAGCATCTGGTCTTGGTCCTGGTCCTGGTTGCGCTGCTTGTCAAGCTCCCAAGTTTCTAGGAACTGCACCAGCGGCAGAACGAACTGGTACGGCCCTGTAGCCAGAACCACCTGACACAAAACACTGAGATTCGTGCTGAGAACCAGCAATAATCGGTGAAGCCTGGCGCTGTCTTTTTCGCGAATGAACCGGTGCACCGAATGGGATACCATCAAGGCAAAGTTTCTGCGCTGGTATACAGATCCAGAGGCCATTTGATCTACCAGGCTCAGGGGATCAGCCTCATCAAAAGCCACAAACTCTGGATTCGCATCGACAAATTGTTCTTTGAAAGCGGACCCCAAGGGCGTGGTGAAGTCTGCATGGACCGACACCAGGTCTTCCACTGCATCCACGGGCTCCTCAGCAATGAGACCAAATCGCTTGGCAGCACTCTGCTTGACCAATTCCAGTCTAATGAGACACTTTATAAGATCGACTTTGAGGCTGTGGGCTGTTGAGAGTGTTTCAAAGCAATTGTGGATCACCTCCTCCAAGGTGTCCTGGTTGGTCTTCAGGGACCGTTTGACTAGCAATGGGAACTTGAATAGAATGAATTCTTCCCACACCGGCGATGGATCCGCCACATAGCATTCAAAGAGTGAAGTCAGCAATTCAGAGGCAATCATGGTGTTAGTTGATCCAGTTAACGCCTGAGAGATTCTTAGTATCTGCTTGAACTCGTTAACAAACTGAGTCTCAGCCTCAACAGCCACCAAAGGTACATAGCGAACATTGACCTGGTGGGAAAGCCAAAGCAGCTTTCTCAGCCGGACAAGCTTCGCATTGAGTCGATTTCCCAACAGAGTTCCCGGCTGCACGTCGTCTTTAACACGCTGGTCCAGAAGCACTGTCAAATGAGGTGCATGGCGAGAAAGGTATTCTGCAAGCCTTGCAGCCAAAGCTTCATCGCCACATTGATTGACCAGCGTTACTAACACGGTGGCTATGTCGGTATCAAAGGGTACTTTTTCCAGGTGGTCCACAAAGCCAGACAATATGTGGTGATCCAACTGCGAGCCGCAGGACTTCTGAGCCAGAGCTGCAAGCGTATAGAATTGGTCTTTTTGCTTCAGGCCGGGCAGAATCCCAAAAAGCACCGAAGGGAACGATTCCTCGGAGATCAGCTCCAAAATGTATTCGAGTCGTAGAAGTCCGTACTCCGACTCAGGCGAAACGTCGGTATACAGACCCGACAAATCTTTGAGGTCGAATTGTGCTGTTCGCGAGAGTTCCTTCAACAGCCGGTGAAACTGATCCGGCGGTACCGCACGTGCCAGGCACTGCTGGATGAAATCGTTGACCTCCAATGGCATCGCGACCGGTGTGGATCTAGACTGATTGGTGACAACTCAGCTATCACGAGTTGTATGCGGGAAGCAGAAAAGTGTGGGTCGTGCGATAAACGTTAACACGTGACATAACCAGGTAGTGCGCCAACACAAGTGTTTGATCAACCAATTTACCTAATCAGGGGTAAAGTCCGTAGCGAAGGAAGGAGGCTACAGAAGATCTCAGAAAAGCCGAAGACTAATCAAAGTTTGACAGGGTGTAATTGCACCTTCAATAACTTCTCATACAAAATTTTGTGTAATTTGAGCACCTCGTCGCGCGGTTAACGGAGTGGTCCGTCGTTTACATGTGCGCCTACATACTTCGAGATAGGCGTCTGCTCAGGTCCTTGGCAAGCAACTATACGATCAAGATCACACACGTTACGCCTCAAACTTCTTTAGTTCCCCCAATGAAGTCGTAATATCTATCTCCGAAACGTTTTACTTGCCCGTAAGCCCGAAATCCTTTTAACTCCGTGCTAACTGTGACTCTCTCGGCACGATCGACGCTGATGAGATAAGCCTTGGTTGCCAAATGCGGCAACCCGAAGCCCCTTTCGATAAAGTTAAATGAAGGGCTCGTTTCTTGTAAGTTCATTGTTACATCGTTCTTTTTCTTTTTTTTTTCAATCGCTCTTTTCAATTGATCTTTTGTCAATCCTTTTTGTCAGTCGTTTAATATTGGCGTCTCAATTCACGTCTAACGTCTAACGTCTCATGTCGTTTGTACTTGTCACTGGGGGAGCAGGATACATAGGATCCCATACGGTGGTCGAGCTAATTCAAAATGGCCACCAAGTGGTGATCGTTGACAACCTCTCGAATTCGTCCTATGACTCGATTTCGCGCATCGAGTATCTCACAAGGTCAAAGGTACCGTTCCACAAGGTCGACCTCACTGATTATAGCGGCCTGGATGCCGTGTTCGACCAATACGAGTTCAAAACAGTGCTGCACTTTGCCGGACTCAAGGCCGTGGGCGAGTCTGCTCGCAATCCTCTGAAATATCACAACAATAACGTGATTGGTTCAATAAACCTTCTGAGAACCATGCAGTCCCATGGATGCAAAAGCATTATTTTCAGTTCCTCGGCAACTGTGTATGGAGACGTTACGCGACTTGAGGGCCAGAGAATCCCAATTGTGGAAACATGTCCTACGCAACCAACCAATCCATACGGCCAAACCAAGCTTGCGGTTGAAAACACTCTGCGTGATGTGTTTGCTGCGGATCAGCAGTGGCGAATCGCGATTCTGCGTTACTTCAACCCCATAGGCGCCCATTCCAGCGGGCTTCTTGGAGAAAACCCCCACGGAGTTCCCGATAACTTACTTCCTTTGATAGCACAGGTGGCTTCTGGACGCGGCAAGTTCAGCGTCTTTGGTACGGACTATGACTCGGTGGACGGAACTCCCATCCGCGACTATGTGCATGTGGTGGACCTGGCACAGGGTCACGTAGCTGCACTGCATCATCTAGACGGACTCAAGGAAGGCACGGGAATCTGCAGGGAGTGGAATCTAGGTACAGGGACTGGAAGTACAGTGTTCGAGGTTCACAGCAGTTTCGAGCGTGCTAGTAATCGCAAAGTCCCATACACAGTTGCTACACGGCGCCCAGGGGACGTGCTCAACCTCACCGCAGATGTCTCGCGTGCCGCGACAGAACTCGGGTGGCGTGCACGGTTGACGGTGGACAAGGCTTGCGATGACCTGTGGCTGTGGACAGAGAGACACCCGAGCTCGGGTTACCAGAACGTGGACGGTAGAGTGCGACTCTCGTCGGCGACAGGCGCCATAAAGGTGCAGATTGGTGCACAGGGTGACATAGAGAGTATCACGATCGGTACCCAGCGCCTCCAGGGCACCAGGATCCAATTCAAAAATCTGTACGGCCCAGCAGTGCGGCGCACTTCTAATGGCTTCGCGGTTGAGTATGCTACTGATACCACGCCAATCGTATATCAGTTCGAGTTCCAGTCCGAATCCCGAGTTTGCTTCACTCTTTACGAAATCGGTGCCGAGTCCCTGCCAAGATTCGAACAGGTGTTCGAGGCAGTGTCTGAGAAGTATGCATGTTCTTCTAGCACGTTTGAGATCGTGGACGAAATGGTTGAGACGTAGTCTATTTGTGAATTTTGTCTCTATGCCTGTGACTGTGGTTGTGATCATTCCTTGATTTTTGTCCTTCTTTCTGTCTTTCTTTATGACCTTCTTTGTGGCCTTCTCTGTGCCCATGCTTAGACCCCGAATGTGAACGCTTGGGCTTATTACTTGAACTGATTTTCTCCTTTAATTCTAAAAGCTCTTTTCTCCGCAATTGCTCCAGCTTGAATTTGTACATTGGATCGTTCTTGTCCAAGATTTCCCTGGGATCTTGAGACGTTTCGGAAGTTTCCGGCTTGTTCACCTTGGTAACGGATGACGGTATCGTCTTCTGTAGCACCTTAGCATCCAACCTTCTTTTGCCAAGTAAATAATCATCATCACCTCCAGTTTCAACTGTGCGAGAGCCAGAGTCATAGATCCATGACGTCTTGCTCTTGGGAGCAAATCCCGAGTCTGCAAACTCCTTTGTCTTGTTGATCTCTTCTTGTCGCTGCTGGATCTTCTTGAACTCATCCAGTGCCTCCTTCTCGCGAGCCCAGACTTTACCCTGATTTCTGAGAGATTTTGGATTCCATGACTTCTTGGAGTTGAGATCTGACGACATGTTTGGTAAACAAAGGGTAACTAAACCACTAGAGGAGCGAGATCCAAGCCACGTCAGATACGTCTTCTGATACCAAAAAAACTTGCGGCTGATCGAGTCGTGCAGGAAAACAAACTGAAACGCGATTTGCACGACCTTTTACAGATAGGAGCCCAACCAAATCTCCCCGAAGAGATCTTGATTTCTACATTGATAAACTTTAAAGTCCAGGATTCGTCACCATTTATAAATGCAACCTGTTTTCTGACGGTTTCTGCGGTGAGGAGTGGCATCTCCTGGTGTTCTGCAACACTGCTTTATAACTATGCGGCGATAAAACGGTGACTTCACTAGTACAATCTCTGGAAGTGATAATTCACATTAGATAGATTGCTCGAATTTGTCTATACTTGGGCAGTGTGGAAAAATAGTTCTCAACTGAATTCAACTGAACGAATTTAAAATAGAACTAGTGTCTAGCTTGTACTTTGATCAACGGGAGTCTTTGCACCTGACACCCTTAGTACCTAAGCTTCTAATAATGGCCACACAAATGTCCCAAAACCTCAATAACCTCAAGAGCTGGCTTTACCGGTTCCTGCCCTTGGAGGATACTCATTAGTGGAGCCCTCGCAGGTGCACCATTCAGACTTTGGGAAGGAACTCATGGCGCTGGGGACGTGGAGGCCACAGCCGATCCAGGCTTGTTTTCCTGCACAAGTTAGAAATAGAACAATATAGAGGATCTGTAATACCACATACCGCAGATATTGCACGAAGAAGGTCTGCACATGTTTAATTAACGGGTCAATGCTAGTCAAAGGAGTCTTAAAGAAAACAGCCAAAGCGAACACAGCCAAAGGGCATGCATCCTTATCTGCCAAACCCCGCGGGCAACGCTGCCCATCCATATTCTGTCATTTACAAACGTGCCAACAGGGCTTCCAAACCACTCGCAAGCCGGCCCCCTTTGTTGTTTTTCCTCTTCCAAAAAAAACGTGATCAGAAAAACGTGATACAACATCAGCGGTTCACGTGCTTCCATCCATCGCGTCCCATCAACCTACAAATCTCAGAATGTCGCACCAGCAGAAACGAGCCAAGAAAGACGAGTCCGGACCGGATTCGAAGCATTTCAAACCGAACGATGTTGCTGTTGCCGCCCTGAAGTACGATAACGGGGCGAAAGACCAGGAAATGGCCATTGATTCTGAGTTGTTGACCGCCGCCGCACAGAACGCAACTGCCGACCGCGGTGCAGACCAACAGATTCCACAGCAGAACCAAGACCCTGGTGTCGACCAGTTGTACAGTCGCTACCAGCAACAGCAAACTCAGCAACACTCCAACGGCGATACCGAGGTCAAACCAGCTGCCGGATCAGACGAGTGGCATCGCCAGCGTAAACACACCCACAAGGAAGTGGAAAGACGTCGCAGAGAGAGCATCAACACCGGGATCCGTCAATTGGCCGAGTTGCTTCCAAGACAGGACACCAACAAGGCGCAAGTATTGGGCCGCGCGGTCGAGTACATCAAGCAACTGAAGGAGACCGAGAACAGCAATATCGAAAAGTGGACTTTAGAGAAGCTGATCACCGACCAGGCTGTTAGCGAACTGGCCACATCGAACGACAAGCTGAAGGTGGAGTTAGAGAAGGCGTATCGCGAGAACGAGTCGTTGAAGCGGGAGATTGAAAGATTGAAGAGGTGAAGAAACGAGAAGGGAGAGAAAAGAGAAGAGAGGAAGAAAGGTGATTTTTATGGGTTTGAATTCCAAAATTGGTCTACTGGCTCCAGAAATCGAGACGTTACAAGCCTCAATTTTTCAAGCCTCAAGCCTCGATCTTCTGCGAATCTGTTTTCTTTCCGAGTTGTATCCAGTATTTTATCCGTATAGGTCTGTAGTTTTATTCATTGAGATATCGTTAAAGCGATGATTCAGTACAATTCTATAGAGACATCATAACGGTGACGCTTTGAGATGGGGGAAGCGCTTGTAATATTCAGAAGACACTAGTGATCATTTTTCCAATTGTTTCAACTCCTAGCTTTTCTCGTCGAAACGACTTCAAACACTCTCAACATCAGGATACACAATCGGTGCCGTAGCTTTTTCCGCATGTTTGAAGTTGGGCAAAGATTGAACCTCAAAAACATTCAAGGGATCCACCGGATTGACTAATCTTGGCCGCTTCTCAACAACAATTCCTGGGTGTCCGTTTTCAGCGGCCAGCCGTTTCTCCACAGGCTCATCGCCCTGCTGGGATAACCGCTGCTTCAAGAAGTGACGCGCATGCGTGGGCGCCTCAGAGTCCGTTTCAAGTAACAGCTTGACGAGATCCAGTCTCGAGCTGGCCAAAACACTCACACCAACGCATCTGGAAACGATCTGCAGATATCGCCTAATCATCTCATTGATTGTGGTAATTGGGATTTGACCCTGAGCGCACACATATTCCAAAATGTTGTACATGTTGGCTGTATTTCTCTGGGAAGCCTCGAAATCGAAGAACAGAGTCCAGAATGCCGTACAACTGCGAAGAGCAGGCAGCTTATAGTGGGCAGTGAAGAAATTGCGACAATCTCGCGAGTTCTCACGCTCTCTTCTGTAGCGTGCCACATACACCACTGCCATAGCACTCGTTTGTTCCGTTAATGTGTTTTGGAGCTCCACGAAGTCGGCATCTTTCGCGAGACGCGCCCCATTGGAGTTGGTCTTTGCCTTCTTTTTCGGCTGTTCTGGATACAGAGAGTTGATGAGAGCATCACAACCGTCGCGAAAAACCTTCTCTTCCTTGGTCCTCTCCAAGAATCCAAGATACTTAGCTACACCGACACCTTTGCCCAGCAAGGAGAGGTAGACAGCCTTTGCTGCATCCAAGGCACCTAATTTCTCGTGGTACCGAGCGAACATAAAGCGAACTTCTGGCTTGTCCTCTGGAACGAAAATGTGACATCTTTTGAAAACAGCCTCAAGATCTTCATGGTCCGTTGAAGTCTTGAGTAGCCAGCGCAGATACCGCTTCCAAATAACCTCCGATGAAGCTGTCGGCACTAACGCACGCTCGTATACACACCGAATCTGATCGGTGATTCCATTGAGCTCCTCGTAGTCAAGGTAAGCCTCCCAGGCTGCCAGCTCAGCTGCTGGCACCTCGTTGAGGCTAAAGTCGAACTCCTTGATGGCAGACTCATACGCCCACCGTTCGTTGGTACCCTTCTGAGTGGACTCGAAAAGTGCATTAAAATAATCATCAATGATCTGCGCACTCGTATCCACATCTAGCGCATCTATAGGTGTCGCTGTCAACGTGGCGAGCCTGTCTGCCGGAATTAGGTCCGTGATCGCAAAGTACGGCTTGAGCTCGTAGAATCGCGTGAAATATTTCGCATACTGGTGTAAGGGCAGCTCCAAGAGTCTGAGGATAATAGCTAGACACTCCGACGAGCTTTCTCCGGATTCCGAGGCCTCCCACTCAAGATAGGCATCCCAAACTGGATGGGACAGATATTGTCTTCCTACCGAGGAACAGGCCTCTTCGAAGGCCGCCCGTATGGCTTCTACTGGCAATGCCTTGTTTGCCACAATCACAGACAGGTAGTCAGACCAGATATCCAGCGAATAAGGTGCGAGGCTCAGTGCCTTGTCAAAAACCTTGATAGCAGCAGAGAGACCTTCGAGCTGGTACGACACTGCCACGTAGTTCTTCCAAAACGCGAAGAAAAGCGGGAAACGCCCCAGAAAAGAGTCAAAGACAAGAGTAACACTCTTCAAGAGTTCTGGCGGAGGTTTTGGTTTTGTACCGTCGTTGGAATATCCAAAAACCACCGACTCCAAAATACGCACCAGTTGATCCCAGGCATCCACTTCGTTGACGTCTTCCGATACCCGCTCCAGAGAAGGCTTCCAAAGCGGATAATCCTGGAATATTGCACTATCAGCTATTTCTCCTCCGAATGACATATCCAGAGTTTCTGTAGAAAAATATTTGCGGATTGAGTCTTGTTACACATACAAAAAGGTGATATGTATGGGCCTCTATCAGCTCATCTCTATCAAAGTTTCACTGGGTTGTTGGCACTGTGTTGAAATGGCAGAAGCAAAACTCGCCATCCTTTTTGTAACACTCAGGCAAACGAGCCACGCCAGACCCACCAGCCCCATTACTTTTTCCTCCGTTTCAGTTTCTTTTCAAAAAAATGCAGGTCATCTTCAAGGACTTCAAGAAGGATAAAATACCGCTGGAAATTGAGCCCACCGACACGGTAAGTGAACGTTCAGTTGCTAAGTGTTGAGACCACAACTAACAACCAACAGATCATCTCAGCCAAAGAGAGATTGGCTGCCACCAAAGAGTGCGAGACCTCTCAACTCAAGTTTGTTTATTCTGGCAAAGTACTTCCAGATGACAAGACCTTTGAGGCTTATAAGGTCAAGGAGAACGATCAGATCATCTTCATGATTTCGGTATGTATTGGTTGACGTGTTTGTGTGGGATGAGTTGTACTAACGCCGTAGCAGAAGGCCAAAAAGCCAATTGTCGCCGAGGCTCCAGTCGCAAGTGCTGTGGCTGCTGAGGAGCCCGCTCCAGTTGCAGAGGCACAACCAGAGACCCCTGCGGAACCTGTGGCTGCAGCCTCTACAGCCGCCTCTACAGCCGCTACCGCAGGAGCTGTTGATTTGACCGCTTCGTCGTTTGTGACCGGCGAGGAAAGAGAAGCTGCGATCCGTGGAATGATAGATATGGGCTACGAGCGTTCTCAGGTGGAAAGGGCTTTGGCTGCTGCTTTCAACAACCCGCTTAGAGCTGTAGAGTATCTTTTGTTTGGCAATCCAGCCACCGAGGATGCCGACGTCGAAGTCGAAGCTGCGGCTGAAGAGACTCAGGAACCTGATCGTGAAGAGAGACAGCAATCTGTCAACCTGTTTGAAGCTGCTGCTGCTGCTGAGGGATCGCGCGGCGGGTCGGAAGGAGTCTCTGATGCTGACCGCATACGGCACCTACAGGAGATCATCCAGACCCAGCCTGAGATGCTCGAATCAATACTGCAACAGATTGCCAGTTCGAATCCACAGTTGGCACAGGTGATCCAGGAGAACCCAGAGCACTTTGCCAGGATGTTGCTAGAGAATGCTGGTGACGATGAGGCGTTTGCTGAAGGTGCTCAACTGGAGGGCGAAGGAGAGGAAGGCTTGGTGCAGATACAAATAACTCAGGATGAGAATGCCGCCATTGACCGTCTTTGCGAGCTTGGTTTCGACCGGAACCTCGTGATTCAGGTATATTTTGCATGTGACAAGAACGAAGAGATGGCTGCAAACCTGTTACTGAGCGAGCACATGGATGGGTAAATAGTGTGTTTGCCTTGAATAATCATGAGATTAAACCAAGCAATGTAGTCTTATGCTAGTCTACCTTTGGCTCTAAAGTCTTTGTCAATTACTAATAAGTATCAGTACACATAGGCACATCTGTGCGGAATGGTGAAGGAATGTGAAAATCAAACAAAATGCAATTAACATCAGGGGTATTATACTGACGCGTCTCTCTGTTGTTTTAGAGCCAGAACCTCCTGTCTAAAAACGAACGGGTCCTTCCTGAATGGGGCTAATGACTTAAGTCCTTTTGCAAACTCCGTCAACTCTTGGCCACCATCCTTGAGCAGCTTCATCTCGCGATCGTGTAGCTCAGTTGCTATATGTGTGAGGTAGTATTCTCGTAAAATGTCATCGTTTCCGAGGAGAACCTCGGTGAATGCCACTGAAGAGCGGTCACGCAGGAGATGAATCAGAGGCTGTGACTTGACTCCGTGCTGATTCGCTTTCGGAAGAGTCTTTTCATATTCTTTGAACGCACCGTTTTGCTTCATTGTTGTCAGCGTTTGTAATGGAATCCACAGACGGAGTAAGGGGATATACACGTGCTTGTTGAACTTGTCAGAAACGAGCCCTCTGCTGTACTCGGCCTTGAGAATGGACTGGTAGTTGTTTGGTATCAATGCTAGAGACCCATCTGCCATAGATAACCGTAAAGGAGATAACTCTTCGTGCAAGTAAAAGTGATTGTTGCGGCAGTTATAGGCCTGGACTTTCTCATTTTGCGTGTACTGCAAATCCTCTTGCCCCTCCTTTTGGACATCGAGGTGCAACTCTGGTCTCTTGAAGTAGCGAGCTGAAATCGGCGTAGACGTCAACGCAAGTCCGGTTATGTCGATGAAAAGCCCAGAGTCAATATCAATGAAACGAGCATCAATGTTGTTCCGACCATTTCCTTTGATTCTGTGGGTAATGAAAGTGCCACAATCTATAAAGTATTTTCCGAATCCAAGATCGAGATCAGCTACCACCACGCTCTGGTTGAACCGAAGAGAGAAAGTGTTCAGCTCCTCTATCGGCATCGAAACGTCGATATCATCATCCCAGGGGAATGAAAAGCCATCCCAATACCATGCAAGTAAAGTACCGTGTGCAATCCACGAAACAACACCCGCCTCATGAGTGAATGCGAGCCATGACTTGAGCATCCGGTGTAAAATCATACGCCGGCGGTCCTCGTTGTTGCCGTCGTACTGCTTGTCAAGCGAGCCTTCGGAGATGAATCCGTTGAAAAATCGCCAGTCGTAGTGGCCACCATTCTCGGAGACCCGATGGCCCCTGTAAGTTGCTGGCCAATGAATGTTTACCTCAGAGAAGTACTTGGGGATTTCTTTTGGAGTCAGAGAGAGCGAGTACTGGAGAGACTCGTAATAGGTCTGCTCCCTCGAACTAAGTTCCATGCCTGTTTTGGCAAATTCAGCATACTCCGCCACCATTTCGTTCGGGTTGAACTTAAATAGAGATTCAGGCAATGGAATCTCGGTCGTTGAATGAAGGTTGCGCAAGGGTGTTAAAGGTTGGACGATTTTGGACATCTCGGCAAACTCGAGACTTGGATCGAAGTCAACGAAACCGCTGGGAAGCGTATGCTTTGCAACATAATCTTCAAGTAATCCAGACTCAGCCATGTCTGCCTGTTCAGCTTGCTGATCGACTTCGACTTCGAACAGCCCTTCGCCGGAGGTGAAGATGATTGTCTTCGGAACGGGTGCAACCGCGTTCATGTATGATTTTGCATACAGAACCTTTTCCAAGAATGTGGCCTTATTGGATCTGTGGTGGAAGTTAAATCCCGGAAGCTTGCGATGTGCCCGTTCTGGATACTTGTCGCGATACTCACTATCATCGTAGCAGAACTTCTGTTTCTTGGAAACCGGAAGCTGCGAGCGAAGTTTCTTCTTGCGGGCGGCCTTTTTGCTGCCAGAGGTATCGGAATTTGCCTGTAGCTGCCTGGGCGAACGATTCAGAAAAGATGCATCTGCATCTGCATCCGCATCACGCTTGGTCAGAGCTCCGTTCTCAGTCTGAGCCGCATCCTCGACCTTCTTCATCCACTCGACACCATTATCGGAAATCTCTGCACAGCTCGGCCTGCTTCCCTCTGGCATCGCCACATACGGATTGAGGGGGGTCATATCCACCCAATCACCCCATGAGAAGCTTATTGGAGAGCCTGGATTGGAGTTGATCCGGTTGAGATAAACAGAGTACGTCACTCGTGGGTCATAGGAAAAGCCCTTTTTGTAAATCTCTCTCAAGGAAGCAGGGTCTAGTGTTATAGACTTGTGGAGACCAAGATCCAGGTCAAACTGCCAAAACCGCTCGGGATCTGCCTTGGGGTTGAGCTTATCAAGCCATTTTTCTCGTAAAGTCTCTTCAGTAGCAACGCCAGAGTTAACAGACGATAGCGTGTCCTTAATACGATCCACCATTCCCTTGTAGTAGTCTCGGGCCTTGACCAAGTCGATTTCGGGCAATTCAGTAGTACCAATCGTCACAGACATGCCGACATTGATGGTTATCAGAGCTAACAAGATGCATAAAACGACCAGCGCTTTGGAGCGGGGCCTGCGAATAGTTGGCAGGCCATTTTTCCAGCCAAACATAGATCGAGGCATCTCAGATCATGGATGATAGAACTGAAAACCAAAAAATAAAAAAACACAGTGGGAAACGCAGAAAGAATGAAGAGGAAACGAAGGACAGGGCTTAACAAGCTGGAACTCGGTGGCTTGTGCGGTGTTGTGGTGGGGGCTAAGATGTTGTGAGTGGTGCACGCCGCATCGTGTGACGAACTGGAATGGGGTCGAACAAGAGTGATAATTCGGCGAATATTTGCGGTTTTTTTGGAAAGGTTTTGAGATTTAGTTGGAGGAGTAGGATGAGAGTTTTAATTTATGGGTATTTTTCAAAAAACAGACTAGTTGTTATTGAGTGTATGCCCTTTTTCATGATATGAGCAGACTCTCGGATATTTGCCGGATGACTCTCGGACAATTTTCTTTTGGTCCCTGTCTATTGGGGCTCTCCGATGCCTCCACAACGTCGGATATCATATTGTCAATACCTTATTTTATTGGTTTTTCATGAAATAGAATGGCCTGGATGCAGTTAAAACAAATGAATAGCTATCTATATACCACCCCAATACAACACGGGTTATACAGACCCGGATGTCTGCGCGCGATATCACCGCCTGCTAGATCAAGTCGGCAACCGGAATGGGGCTATCAAACGGCCGCTCCCTGCAGAAATGGCATTTGTGGCAGTGAAAAAAGATTAGAAATGAGAATGTCAATACGGTACGTCTAGAACTGAACAGCAGGTAAAACCATAATGACATAATTAAGAGAACTCATGCACAAACTCTCTTCTGGGGTTAGAACCAGATTTTCGGTGCCTCTTTCTACATTTTTCACGCCTTGGGATTCCGTTAACGCGTTGGATCAAATGTCGTGAGAAAATCAATTATGCCAAAAGTCCAAACGTGTGGCAACCAAAACGGGCTTACCCACGACCTCACACACATCATCAGCACCTCTTACGTTACCCTGTGATGTTATGCTGGCTAACATAACGATCTCCCAACCACAACCTGTGAATCTTTTGGCTGCATGTCGCAGACACCATACACGCCTACCTCGCCATCGAGGTCGACCTCACGTGATGCGCCACCACCAATCGATTCGGTGCCGTCTTCACCGCGCAGGCGCAGGAAGACCACCGTCTACAGCGACAGATTCATACCGACCCGTCAAGGAGTGGACCTTCAACAAGCCTTCAGCATGTCATCGGTAGACCCATTACCTCACTCTTCGAATACTGAGAACGAGCTGGACTCTCTCAGGGAGGAGACGGCCAACAGAACGTTCAATGAGGTATTGAGGACCGAGTTGTTTGGAACTGCAGCTGGCACTGGAGTAGTTGCCACAGCTGCCTCCGGGTCTGGTTCTGGGGGGAGCTCATTTCCATCAACACCGCCACGGAATTCTACCTCTTCTTTGGAATCCAAGGTGTTCAGCTACCATTCTCCCTCGAAACCAAGACCTTCCTCCACAGATATGGCTAATGATCTGTACTCAACGTCGCCAGTAAGGTCCCAAACGCAAAAATTACTACTTTCTCCACAAAGACGGCATCGAACGATTGCCAAAGTTCCATATCGTGTGCTGGATGCACCTGATCTGGCGGATGATTTCTACCTCAACCTGGTTGACTGGGGTCCACAGGACGTTCTGGCAGTTGGCCTGGGATCCGCGGTATATCTATGGGATGGCGCTTCTGGTGGTGTATCAAGGCTGTGTGAACTACCTCAGGACGATTCTATAACGTCGCTGGCCTGGATTGGCGCTGGTACACATCTCGCTGTGGGAACACATTCGGGCATGGTTGAGATTTGGGATGCAATTGCGTGCAAGTGCACTCGGAGAATGACTGGTCATTCTTCGCGTGCCTCTTCTTTGGCTTGGAATCAGCACATACTGACATCTGGATCGCGAGACCGGTCGATTCTGCACCGGGACGTGAGAGAGCCGGCCCACTTTGCGAAGCGGTTGGAAGCTCATAAGCAGGAGGTCTGTGGTCTGCGGTGGAACGTTGAAGAGAATAAGTTAGCCAGTGGTGGAAATGACAACAAACTGTACGTTTGGGATGGTATGAGCGATACTCCGCTGCACAGATACACCGAGCACGTAGCTGCCGTGAAGGCCATTGCGTGGTCTCCGCACCAACGTGGTGTATTAGCGAGTGGTGGAGGAACTGCGGATCGCCATATAAAGGTCTGGAACACTTTAACCGGAACAAAGCTCCATGACGTCGATGTCGGATCGCAGGTGTGTAATCTGGCCTGGTCACGGAACTCAAATGAACTGGTGAGCACACATGGCTATTCCCGAAACCAGATAGTCGTCTGGAATTATCCCTCGATGCAACAGATTGCCTCTCTGACTGGGCACTCATATCGTGTACTGTACCTGGCCATGTCTCCGGATGGGCAGACCATAGTGACTGGAGCTGGTGACGAGACGTTGAGATTCTGGAATGTATTCGAAAAGAGCAAGAGTGATGGTGGTGCTCCTAGTGTTTTACTGGATGCTTTTATGCAGTTGAGATGAAGGAAACAACGAGAGCATGTGCATGAATATGGAACGATTAAAAGCATGGGCTTAAAAACCAGGAGAATTAATAGGACTTGCTCGGGCAGGTTGTTAATATACACACTGTTTGTACAGGCAGATGAATATCAAGACGGTTGTGCAGGATACTTTCAAGAGGAATGGCAGCAGCTTATTGATTCCCAGAGAGCTTGAGGTGTAGATAGTTTCGAGTAACACTAGTGATCTCAGAGGGATCATTATCCCTCAAAATGCATCTTCATCTTCCAGAGAAAGTGGAATCGTGAAAAGCCTTTGCAGAGGAAATCCTCGACTGTCTAGCGTCTCCTTCGTAGCAACGTCGACAACCTCGTTCTCGTCCTCTTCAATAACCATGTCCTCCTCAACAACATCAAACTCGTCTTCCTTTTCCTCGTACTCGATGTTCTCTTCTATTTCGACAAAGTCAGGTGCAAGCGCACTCCACTTTTGGGGAATGTTGGTTCCCCACAAATATATGGTACCGGTATCCATTCCAGTGGCTCCGATGGTACACTTGCGAAAATTCCAGGCAACATCAATCAACTCTTCTTTGGGACCCTCCAGAATCTTTATGAGCGATCCCATAGTAGTTTCCCACATATATACATCATGAGCTGAGCCCCACGTACTTGCAACGAGATACTCACCTGAATGGTTGAAACCTAAAGAATTCCACTGTAATTTGTTCACCACATCCTGGTATCTGTGGTCAATTTCAAACTCAAATTCCTGCTCGTTTTCGGGACCTTTTTTCGAGGAAAGGGCTATTTGTCGGATGATACGGTCGGATGAATTGACTGCCAATTTGGTGCCCGATGTGTTGAATGCCAGATTCTTCACATTCGATGAGGTCAACTTCTCCGAATGGACTTTTGCTAGTGACTTGGCAGATATCACATTAATCCACCCTTTGCTAGTGCCTGTGAACACGTACTCACCGCCCGGGTGGAACGTACTCACCAACGTGAAATGCTTCTGCTCGTCGTCTTCCAGTCCCGGAAGAGACCAAGTTTCTTCCCTGCTCCAGTCGGAACCAAACCGGATCAACATTGGATCTTCCTCTAGTGGAGTCACCACGATCTCATGACAATTAACGGGGTTGAATTCTGCATTCCAAAGCGGCCTTTGGAATTCACACTTCTGTACGGCATTTCCAGTACTTAAGTCCCAGACTATCGCCTGCCAATCACGTGCACACGAGAGCAGGTAGCGGCCGTCGTGACTCCAACTCAAGCTGTTGATTGGTCGCGTGTGAGATCTCAGAAGCTTGATGATCCCGTTAGTATCCAGATCTATGATCGCAATGATTCCATCGGACGTGCCTGAGGCCAGATAGTCGCCGTATTCATTGAATTTGAGACACGTCGAGTGGCCAAACGAAAGGGTCTGCACCAATGTCTCTGGATACTCCTTGGCTATTATGAATGGATCCAAAAGCAATTGGTTCATCTGATGTGGTATCGGTATGCTGATTGTAATGTTAGTTGACGTGAAAAATGGATTAGGAAACTTCGCGATGGCTATTCCTCGGTAGTGCTCAATCCAATATTCAGCCGCACTCAAGATCAGACAATCAACCAGGCTTCAAGTGTAGCGACAAGGGTAAGGACTGGCTGGATAAGGAACCCGGTGGTCAGTATACAGAGAGTGTCGCTACATCTATCGCAGTGAAGTTGTGTGATCAAAGTTCCAGCATCGTATCCACCTCTCTAAACAGCAAGCCCTCATCCTTCCATCCGAGACTGCCTAAAAGATGGATCTTGCGTTTGGAAGTGTCCAATTGAAGTATACAGGAAGTACCACAGTACAACACATCATCCTCAAGTCCAGATCTATTGCAAATAACAATCGTTATCAGCTTATCCTTTAGTGCTAGCAATGGGCTCAGTCTCAGCCACCAGTATTCGATGGAACTTCTGGACGACTCGCTACCTCCCCTGATGTCACCATTAGTATCCACAACCTGGGGAACTTCTTGCATCTCAATATCCCAATCACCGGGCTGTTTGGTGATTGAAGGAGACTCTGAATGCAGCCATGCCATTGGACATAGAACTAACGAGACGTCATTTTCCTTGCAATGAGTAGCAAATTCGAATTTTTCAAAGGGGGCCTCAAACTTGTATGGATTCAGGTCCATACATATTCCAATGGAGCACTTGATAATCTCTTTCGCACTTTTGTGGGCTGAGTCCTGAAAGTCAATCGGGAAGCTCTGAAACCCAACTTCAGACTCCGAACACCCAAAATTCTCATCCGACTCGTACAAATGTGTCTTTCGGTAGTTGTAAACAAGTTTTCCTAATGGTGAAACCAGCATCGCGCTGTTGTAGATTTTGGAGTCCTCTGTGATCTCGGGGTAACCCAGCAGTGTGAATGATTTGTTCTTGATGCTCAATTGCTGCGCCATTCGAAAATTTTCGCCTTTGCCCACAATCTCGCAATATGGCAGCAAACTGGAGCGAGAGTGAAAGTTGTATATGGTCAGGGCAAGTTCTGAGAAAACAATCAACTGGGGTGTTCCTAGAGGGTTGGGAGGTATCTGCGATACCAGGTCATGGGCCTTGGCGACATTTGATCTGAACTGGTTTAGTCTTGAGCTCATTTGCAGAACCGCAATTCTGAGCTTCATTTTTGAAATATTTGCAAGAACGCGTCTATCCTGCACACATGCACATTGTAATCTGGAGATCTCTTAAAGGCTATAAAATTATGCTTTAGTGGTTATGGTACACTGGTGACACAAAGCCGCAACTACCAGTATGTTGTCTATGAACTATCAATACAAATATCTCACCTTCTTCCTCTCTTTCTCTGCTGTTGTTGCTCATCCAGTTTTCTCTTCTTACTCTCAGAATCATCTTCGACAGAAGGTGGCGGATACTTCGCCAGGGTTTGCTCCCTCACAAGTCTTTTCCAGTCGCCTCTCTTTCTGGAGTACAACTCCATAGACCAATTCTTCCACACCATCTTTCCATAGTTGCTCTCCTTGACCTTCTCCTGGTTCTTGAAAAGACTCTCTGCAATTCTGTCTTTGTAGACATTCAATTTGACAGTGAAGTCCCACAGTTTGTCCATCAAATGGGAGCCGTATGCGTTGCAAGACAACAAAATTGCATCGTCGTTCTTCATGAAACATTCGTTCAGGATGATTTTTCTCTTAATCACATCGGGAATGAGATCAGCATCAAGAACACTCTCCACTACGTGCGAAAACACTCCATGTTGGCACATTTGAATGAATCTTTCGTGAGGAAGCTTTACCAGAGAGTCAGCAGTCAACTGGGCGAACTCAGCGTGATAGTTGATAAGTTTCTGCAAGAACAAAGACCTTCTTCTTTCTTCCGCAGTGGGCCAGTCATCTTTCGTGTTTCCCAGAGTGGAGGTTGAGAGATGAAGGCAGCTTTCCAACAGGTCCTGATCGGTGGAACTCTCGCTCTTGGTCTTGAAGAAATCAGTGATGTTCGCGACGATTTCGTCCTTCTTGTAATCCTTGCGACTGGAAGAAGCATCAATAATGGTTTCTCCCAAATCGTAACTCTCTTCGATAAGCTCGTTCAAATGTGGGATTAGACTGTCCAAGATTTCTTTCTGCTCCCTTGGCTTCAACCTCATCAGAAGCGCTTTCACCACATAAACACCGGTTTTTTCTCTTTTTGCCAGCTTGAAAATTCTGTCCTTCATGTACAAAGTGTACAGTCTCTCCAGGTATTTTAGTCTCTGCTGCTTGGCTGCGGCCTCCAGGAAATGTGATCCAATAGGATCACTCAGAAGGTACTCCACAAACGCAGACTCGTCGTCTGATTTGGGAGAATCAACGGGTTGGAAGAGCATATGCCAAACCTTTCTGTCTCCATCAACTAATCCTTCAACCTGAGTCACCAACTGGATCACAGGTGAAGCAATGGCCTGGATAGCAAACTCTCTCATGGACTTGGTTGTCTCATTGCGCGAAATGGCATTCACGATATCCTTCAGCTCTTCCTTGAAAGTTTCCTTGGGGATTTGGAAGGATCTCTGGAAGTCCTCAGTATCTTTCAGTTCGATCATCTTTCTGGCGATCTTAGACCTTTTTGACCTCAACGTGGAGTTGGATTTGGTTCCGGAAGGAAGCACGTTACCAGACAGAATTAGCAAGATTAGTCTCAGCACATGGGTAGCGTACTGATGAGAAATCATCTCCTTAACATTTGGCTTGATCTCGTTGACCATGTAAAGGAACAGGTTCTCGATAGTGGCAAAGCTTCCAGATTCATCTTCGTCATCGTGCTTGAGCTCCAGCGTGATCTCCTTCTCAACCAAAGAGGCAGATCTCACCAACAGCGTTTCTATACAATGAGATGAGTACTTCTGGTGAGACAATGGCACAAAATGGCCGCTGAATGCTGTATATAACTGCTTTATCTGAACATAGGAGCCGTGAAGGATCAATCTCTCTACCAGCTTGGAGCAGATCTGGTTAGTCACCAGCTTCAGTTCTTTGCCTTTAGCTTCCTCGTAAACACCAGTGATAAACTGGAGTTTCTCTTCTTCATTTTCAAAAGAGTCAGCTGATAGTGTTGATTCGGCAGACTTGAAGTATTCCAGCTCAGTGGAGTCTACCAATCCGAAAAACGGCGTGTTGGAGACAGCGGTTGGCTGCTCTTCATCGTCAAAGCCTCCGCTCAACGAGATGAAATCCTCGTTGTTCCCCAGAGAAGTATCTTCCTTCTGTTTGATTCTTCTTCCCCTCTGTTTCTTTTCCTTGGACATTGTGCGATCTGGTAAAGTAATGAGAGTGCTCAGCAGATGAGCTTAGTTTAGCAAATGCCCTGAAAAATTTAGGGCATCGCTCTGATAAAAAAATTTGGATGAGCACGTGACTTGTTATCGGGTAAATACTAACAAAGGCCAAATGCTTGAATGACTATAAACTTGATTCTATATTTTAGCAATTGGCTGCAATTTTTGCTATTGAACAGTACCATTATCGTGTTTTCAACTTGCAAAAAATCGCGAATTTCCTGGGAGAAGATGTTTCACGTCAAAGAATAGCTCACCAGAGCCCCCACCTTGTGCTTGTCAGTGCTGAAGTTTCGGAAATTCACATTTTCCACATTGTCACCCTCGACATCTTTAGGATCTGAATCTATCCATTCATTTGGCACTACGGACTCGCCATCGGTGTATACAAGCACGTTGAACGAATGGTCCCCGTTATCCAGCTGGGGCAAGAACGTCACGGCTGCCGTGATTTGTCTTATCACCGTCTGGATTTCCCTCTGAACTTCCTCCTTAAGCTTCGGTCTTGGTTCCTCTTGGTCATGTGAAGTCTCCTGTTTCTCGGCAATTTTCACGTCAAACTGCCACCTCTCCACCACCTTTCCGGAGTCCTTTGACGAGATGACAATCACGAGTTTAGATAGTCCTCCACTCTTGATCCACTCTATGTGTTGTTAGTATGTCCCTTCAGAAGAGATATCTCAATAATTCAGTATTTCAACTCCCATTTCGACTTACTTTGTAGTTGGCTCATGATCTTCTTCACGTATGCGTTGACCTCTTCGTTGATGGAAACCATCATATTCAAACCGTATTTTTTTCTGACCTGGAAGTCCTCAGCTGGGTATATTCCTCGTTGGTATAGTATGCTGTGAATGCTATATTCTGAGAAAAAGTCAGTAATGCTCTGAATCCAGAAAGGCCCCATAGGATCCTGCAACTTACCAAAGAAATCAGAAACAATCCTCGAGGATCCTCGCAGTTCCACAACGTTCGGTGAATTCCTCGTGCTATCCATGGCTCGATTTCGGTTGAATAGGTATCTGCGTTCAGTTGATCTGATCTATGTTATGGCGTGGACTTAATGTGAAGCGCGTTGTTGTTAGACCGAAATTGCATGGCAGACTGATTGCTTAGTGGCCCATCATGATATGGCAGACAGATGGGGGTCTACTGATTAAGGTCTACTGATTGTCCATTAGGTAAGGCCACTTAAGAGCGTACACCAAGCAATCCACAGCTGTACACCTGAAATTGAACATGGTATGTCTTGATGGTCTTTTGAGTATTTTCCAGTTTTGTGTTACTAACTTTCCCAGCACAACGTCAAAAGGAGCCACCTTTCTAAGGAGCTGGCTCAGGCTAAGAGAGAGAAGGATGCATTGAAGATCAAGAACTTCAACAACCTGAAAAACGCTGCTTTGAACAGGGTGAGTTATATTTCGTTTGTTTCACGTGGCTGTTTGCGTTTCTGTGTATTTTTCGCGTTCTTATTACTAATGTTTTAGCAATTCAACGAGACATACGACCAGACCACATTGGATCTTACCACCAAGATACTGGACATCAGTCCAGAGTTCTTCACCATCTGGAATCTGAGAAGGGACGTTTTTGTTAATTTTGTTTTCAAGGGCAGGTCAGATCAAGAGATTCATAAGGTCATCACAGAAGAGCTAAGGTTTGTCTTAGCCACAATGAAACGGTTTCCCAAGTGTTACTGGGTTTGGAACCACCGGATATGGCTTTTAAAGTACAACCCAGCTCTGACCGACTGGGACTTCGAGCTCGGTCTCATTGAGATGTTCTTTGCGGCAGATCCAAGAAACTTCCATGCATGGCAGTACAGGAGGATAGTTCTGGAAGGAAAGATGGATCTCATAAGGAACGAGGAAGAACAGCCGGCCAAAGCTATAGCCAAGCTTAACTATCGAGAATTCCAGTATACCACCAAAATGATCAACAAGAACATCTCCAACTACTCTGCGTGGCACAACAGGTCCAAATTGATTGAAAAACTGTCCGAGTCGCATCCTGAGGAGGCTCAGGAATTTTCATCGAAGTATGAAATCTTGGTCTCGGAGATCAAGCTGGTGCAAACAGCAGCGTTTACGGATCCAGCAGACTCTTCAGTATGGACCTACATGAGATGGCTTTATACTGGGGGATTTTTCACGACTGATATCGAGGCTGAGAGTTTTATCAGGCTTTTGGAAGAGCAGGTAGCGGGGGTCAAAGAACTTGCTGAAATAGAGAAGGATGAAAATGGAGAGGAGAATCTCTGGTGTTTGAAAACCCTTTCATTACTGTTGAAGGAATTGTTTTTGAGAACTAAAGAGGACTATTTGCGCGAAGAAATCAACGATCTGACGAAAAGACTAATAGAACTGGATCCGATGAGGGCTGAACGGTACAAGGACTTTCAAAGAAACATATAGGAATGAAAGTATGTCTGAACTATGCCTTAATTATATCCGAATTATCGAGTCCTCTATGACAAGCCATTAACTTCGATTGCTACGAAAATTTCCAAGCGTTTTAATTGGTTCCTTTCATTTATCATGATCGCTATTATACAGTTTTCCTCATCTCCTCCAAAAATTCTCGCTTATGGTACAGGAACCTGATGGTACCCACTTTTCCAACTTCGTAGTCTCTTGGCTTGTAAAAAAGATCGTCTGAACTTTCTTCTAAAGCAATTGCCCTCTTTCTACCCTTCATTTCCGGCTCATGGGCAAGTTTCAGCTTGATGTTGAGGATGTGGTCGTTGAGGTTTTCGGCCTCAACCATGGAGCTCAAGAAGGAGCCGTCCCACTGCTCGATGAAATATGTCAACAGGTCATTTTTGGCAGACAATACAAAAAAAGGATTGGGACTGATTTTTCGTGACTTCAAAAGACCCTCCTTCCAGGTGGAAATCTCCTGGTCCAGCTTTCCTGGGTTCAACTCCTCGTAGAGGTCGAACCCCAATAGCAGGCATCCCTGCGAAATATTGTATGGAGCAGAGGTTAGTACCAATTCTGTGAAATATGAGTCGTTACTGATAATCCAAGCCAGATAGGTAACGTCCGGGTGAACCCCCAAAGTCTTCGAATACTTTATCAGGAAGTCCTCCACGGAGAAGGCTCTGAAGTCAAACGCTATCACCTCCAGAAACTTCTTTTCAAAGCTGAAGATCTTCTTTTTCTGCTCATCCAGAGCCTCAGAAGTGCAAGGAAGATTTCGTATCTGGTTGCCCATGGCAATCACGTCCTTTAATCTTTTGATATAATCGTTGTTCTTCATCGCTATGTATAGGGCACATATGGCTATCTCGTGGCACGAATTGATGTTCTTCTTGAAGTCGTTAAACAAGAAAAACCGTTGGAAGTAGTAGCCGAAGCTCTGTAGAATCTTTAGTGGCGATTTTAGCTTTTTGATGAGCTCCTTAATGAACTGAAAGATCTCTTTCTTTTTGACTGTGTATAACAGTTCATCGTGGATGGTGGCCCTTTTGCACAGCGCCACCTCGTCTTTAGTCAGGTACAGTTTTGAGAACTGAACCGAAGATGTTATTGGTTCCACTGACTCTGACATCTTTGAAGAATTGGAGGTAGTATATCGGTGGGGCTCATAGAATTTTGTTCCATGTGCCTTATTCATCTCCTTCCCATCTTGGCCAAATTCTCGGTACCCGAAAAGTGGATCTTAGACCCGTGACATAAATGGCAGAACGCGTCAATTGGTTTTGTTTCAGGGAATGTTCCTTTTTTGTGGATCTACAACACTCTTGCATTCTAAACACAACAAAATCGACAACGCTATGGCGATGGACGCTTTCACTTTTGAGTCGAAAGGTGAGTTAAATATTTGCTTGGAAACAATTCTCAACGAATTGCAGCCTTGGATTTGGCGCGTTCTTACTGTTTCAAATGGCAGCCGCATACGCGTTCTAGCAAAACCTTTACTAACAATCGAATTCAGGCACAAAAGTGTCGGACGCGAAACAACGGCTGCTTGTGAGTGAACAAAATATTCCGGAGAGTAGTCCAGCAATTTCCATGGACGAGTTTGGATTCCAGAGCATTAAGCCTTTGAATGTGTCTGAGAGAAAGTCTTCAAATCCGCTCAATACAATCTACGATGACGACAAGGAGAACCATCCTGGGTTATTGGGAGATGACAATGGTGATGATGAAGATGATGAGGAACCAATTGGAGCCATTAAAGCCAACAATTCGCCTTTTCCTGATGATCACCAGAATAACGGCTTCTCTGAGAGCCACAAACCCAGTCTACCAATCAGCGAGTCTTTCCAATCCTCCTACACCTCCGAGAATGCGTCTTTTGTGACTGCTATGGATCCTTATGGGTCAGCCGATAACTTAACAGAGAAAGCTGTAATTGTCGAGACAGAAGAAGCAGTTTCTACGACCGCTGACGATTCTTTTGGTGCTGCTGATGAGACTATGCTCACCAGTTCGAGAGACTCGTCGTTTCATACGGTTGAGACTGACGATTTCGAAGAATTTAACGGCTTACAAAGAGAAAACTCATGGGAGAAAGATGATGAAGCCACTCCAATAGTGCCTCAAAACGAGTGGACCGACGCAACTTCCGGTGACGAAGGTGATGACGAGGATGATCACAATGATGAGGACGAAGTTACGATGCCACAAGTTCAGGAAAGCAAGAACATTAGTAGCGATAGGTTCAACGAGGTCAGACTGCCCATGAATGCAAAGCCAATGAGGCTCAATCGCGCCGGTAAGCCTAGTCACATCAGTTCAGTATATGCCTCGAGCGTTTACTCTGAGAGGAACACCATCACGCCAAAGTATATCACTTCGTTTGATCACAGCGGGTCGCCTGGTGAGTCACAACTCAGCGAGAAAATTAGAATGCCTGATATCATTGAGAGTGCCAGTCCAATTGTTCCAGAGGGTCAAGGAGTTTATGCTCCTCTTCCAGAGGAAAAAGAAGATGATGATGATGATGATAGCGATCTGTCTACTCTGTTCGTTATTGCAACTCACGCCTTTGACGTCCAAAGCCTGGAATCCGAGGACGACTCGTCCATATGCCTTTCCTTCTCAAAGAACGACATCGCCTTCACGCATGCCCTTGATGAAAGCGGCTGGGGAGAAGTGACTCTGCTCAATACGTTGAAAAGAGGCTGGGTTCCCATGAACCACTTCAGATCCGCTGTTTTTGCTGAGTCTGAAGACTCGTCGCGTCTTTCCATGATGGTGCCGTTGGGCCCAAACGCTAAGTTGGCCAGTTCTAAAAGGCCGTTGAAACCATTGTTCCACACGGCAGCAAAGTTTTTGCTCAACCCTCAAAATAAGCCTGTCAAGTTCAATGGTACTGCTGAGATCAAAGGAAGAACTTTCCAGCCCACCTACATCAACGGAATCAGTGATGGTGTCAGAATACTTCTTCAGGACACGGACTGTCTTTCTAGAACCAATGCTGTTGTTAAAAGCAGGCCAATTATCAGAAAAATAAGAAAGAACCTTCTTAACGACTGGTATAACCTAGTGGTCAAAGCGCAGCAATACAGAAACACCATGGACCACACCAAGATCGAAATTTTGCAACTGATGATCTTCCAGGTCTTGCGCAAAGCCATCGCGTTTCTTGAGATTTGGGGTCTTGAAAGCGATATGGTGAAGAGTGAGCCAGCTTTAGCATCTAAGCCAGCAGCATCGGTTTCGAACTTGGTCTACCTGAAGGATGCCCCATTTGCCATGGCCAGATTGAATGAAGTCCAATACCATCTATCCACGTATCTGGCGTTGATTATGGGTAGATTGGATCTGGTGGAGCATAACAAAGTCGGTTGTAAGCTTCTCCAAACCATTGTGAGTCATCTGGTGTTACTCCAATCTGATTTTGAATCCATTTATACCGAAGCCAGAAACAGACTGCCGGAAGGATCCACAAACATGAAGGTTGTTGTTCAATTGAGCGACTCTTTGAAGATGTTTGGCAAGATGGTTCAAAACCTGTCAATTGCTACTGATGTTCTGGTGAAGAGAACTTTGGCAGGGCGTCAAGCGAATCCTACCATGGAGAAAACAATTCCCCAGAACGGAAACTACTTTTATACAAAAGAAGGTGCTGGTGTGATCAACGTTTCCTCCCGTATGGTTTCCACTGTGGTTCATAATTCCCACATGCTGAAAAAACTGCTGGACATTTGCAAAGACTTCAAGCTCCCGGAATCGAGAAAATATCCTGACTTCATTCGCATGAAGATTGAACCCGAAGCTTTCATCAGAAAGTGCTCCATGGGACTTCTTGAAGATCCAAATGTTTCCAACCAGATGAAGGCGCATCAGAAGGAAACCGACAAGAAAAGGAACAGACAATCTAAGCGTTTCTCGATGTTTAGAAGTGGTATGTCAACTTCTATGGCTATCACCGCCGAAGGTCTCGATCATCTTTCCGAGTATCTTCCTCCACTTGAGAAGTCTTCTCCTTTCATTGCGGGCTCTGGTGAATTCGAACAGTTCATGTCAAATGATTCTAACGCTCCAACAGCTGACAGCAACTATTCGGCAATCAAAGATGAATTATTGTATGATTCAAACGGAGCCCTACTGGGAGCTTCGTTCAAAGGTCTGGTTCACCTTTTGACTGACGAGGGAAATCCACCCGACTATTTCTTCACTTCTGCTTTCTTCCTAACGTTCAGAATCTTCTCGAACGGTAGCGATCTTCTTGAGGAGCTCGTGGGCAGGTTCGATGTCAGCAACAAAAATGTAGACCAGCAGCGCAAGCTTGGTCTCGAGGATGCCACAGGAAAGTTTTCTTCTTTCGAGTCTCGTATTAGAAACAGACGAAAGCTGGTTTGTAACACCTTCCAATTATGGTTGGAAAGTTACTGGAAGCCTAAGACAGATTACATTCTTCTTGCGACATTGATCAACTTCTTCAACGAGGGTATTAGAGATTTCTTGCCAATTGAGACAATAAAGCTAATTGAGGCATGCGCAAAGCTGATAGGTCAGCCTCCTGTTGAGTCTGCACAGGACAGGCTCAATTACTACAATAACATTGATAGTGGTGCCCAACTGGTGAGTAGGAAGATCTCTCCTCAACTCCAAGAGAAGGCTGTCAATGGTTCCAGTAAGAGAAGATCTTCGTTCTCGATGCACCGTTCTTCCTTCACGTCTGACTTTGACAACTATGACTTGGAGAATGTAAGTTCGGATGACGATTCGTCTTCAAGCCTATCCCTTGGATTGCCTTCTGGCATTGGCAATTCGTCAAAGACCGGCAAATCTCTGTTGAACAAGAGACAGATGGACTCAATTGAGATTGTGAATCAGTCTTACCGTAACATGTTAGGCGATCATTGGAAATCGTCAACTCAAAGAGACAGGTATGTTGCCCTGCAGACAGATGAATTGGTGAAGCTTTGGTGGAAGATCAGTCGTGAAAGCTGGAAGATCTTGAACCAAGACTTGGTTCTGTTGAATTTCAACAGTTTGGAGATTGCCAAGCAGCTGACTTTGATTGAAAGCAACATGTTCTGTTCTATCAAGGTGGAGGAGCTGTTGAACCAAAATTTCACTGCCAGCAAGCTCCATCTCAATCTTTCGCCTAACATCCACCGCTCCATTTTGTTCACCAATGCTCTCTCCGACTACGTTTTGGAAACTGTGCTGCATCCCAACCTCACTATGAGACAGAGAATCCACGCGCTGAAGTGTTGGCTCAAGGTTTCGCTATCGTGTCTGTATTTGAGGAACTTCAACTCTCTGGCTGCCATCATGACCTCTCTCCAGAGTTTCATGATCAGCCGTATCACCAAGATCTGGACCGACTTGACCCCCAAGTACATGGAACTGTTTGAGTTTTTGACATCGATCATTCATCCGGACAGGAACTACTCTGTGTATCGGGCAAAATTGAAGGAGTTCCTGTCTGCAAACGTCACCCTGGATGTGCCAATCGTTCCTTACCTGTCGCTGTTCCTGCAAGATTTGACGTTTATCGTTGACGGAAACTCGAACTATAGAAATGCCACGACATTCCTGAGCCAGAAACTCATCAATATCGACAAGTATTTCAAGATCACCAGGATTATCAGTGATCTGGAGACTTTGCAGATCAGCTATTCCGACATTTATGGCGATGTAGCCCGGAAACAGTCTCTTTCCAGAAGACTCTCGTTCTTCTCCAACAACCGTCGCAACAGCACCAGATTTGAAGAAGACAACTTTGAGATTGCGCCCGTCTATGGCCTGCAGGAGCTGGTTCTTCTGGAAGTGTGGAAGGTGAAGCAGATCAATGCCAAGGAGGACGACCGGCCTTGGAAGCTGAGTTGCAACATTCAGCCTCGAGAGGAGTAAGTTGCATGCAGTGAAAAATTGGGGCTTTGTCTAGTTACGGTTTCCCCATAGTCCACAATGTGAACATTATCACCATCAATCCAATAGGACATTTCGATTATTCTACTTTGTTTATTTAATGTTTGTACTTTTATCAGGTCGATTTATGTTTTTGATGTAGCAGACTAAGTGTTACGTTTGTGACTTCCCATTTAACTGAACCTGTCTGCAGCTGCATGCACCTTGTCTGCGCCAGTCTGCACCATCATTAATGCAGTATAAAGGCATTCTCAAAAATCTTTGAACCCGACTTTCTTGTTCAAAGTTTATCTTATCTTGTATATCTCGCAATAATATTATGTTAAGTACTATACTTGGCCGTGGTATACCACGCTACCTATCTACACGCTATGCGCTTTTGGATGCCCCAATGAAGTTGATAGCAGATCCAGCCACGAAAAAGTCGACCTGGTCCTCGGACATCGTGTGCTTGGTCTGGATCTCAAAGGTTTCACCATTTCTCTTGGTCACTTTCACGGTCAAAGATCCGCCATTGTCACCTCTCTTCTCAATTAGCTCCTTCAGTCCAACAGTCTCAAGTAGATCACACGAAGAGACACGGTCATAATCCGATTCATCGGCAAATGTCAATGGCAGCATACCCTGTTTCTTCAGATTGGTCTCGTGAATTCTAGCAAAAGATTTCACGAGAATCATTTGGCCGCCAAGGAATTTAGGGGAAAGAGCAGCGTGCTCTCTGGCAGAACCCTCTCCGTAGTTGTGCTCGGCAACAACACACCAAGGTCTGTGCTCCTCCTTCCATTTGATCATCAACTCGGGGATTCCGTAGGCATCTCCGTTGAAATCGTATACTCTATTAACCTCACCAGTCTCTTTATTCTGGGCACCAATCAGGGTGTTGTTGGAGATGTTTTCGAGATGACCCTTGTACTTGAGCCAAACACCAGCCGCAGAAATGTGATCCGTGGTACATTTGCCTTCAACTTTAACCAAGACGTTCGTCTTGAGTTCCTCACCATTCCATTTTTCAAACGGAGTCAACAATTGCAATCTATCGGAGTCTGGGGAAACATTCACCTGGACCTCAGGCTTAGGCTTGGGCTCCAGCTCTGGGTAAAACTCCTTGCGACCAGCAATAAAACCTTCATCAGGCAATTCATCACCAGTTGGTGGCTTGAATCTGAATTCTCCGCCATTTGGAAGCTTTACAGAATCGGTCAAAGGATTGAACGACATGTCACCAGAGTAGATCATGGCGGTCACGATATCTGGCGAAGTCAAGAAGTTCATAGTGTCTCTGTTACCATCGTTTCTGGCTCTGAAGTTTCTGTTAAACGAGGTGAAGATGACATTGGTGTCTTTAGGAGCATTGTCACCACGGTCCCATTGGCCGATACATGGACCGCACGCATTGGCCAACACAACGGCTCCGTTTCTCTCGAAGGTCGAAATTAGACCATCTCTCTCTATAGTGGCCCTAATTTGCTCAGAACCGGGAGTCACAAAAAATGGGATTTTGGGCTTGAGACCTGCGTCTTCGGCCTGCCTAATGATAGAAGCGGCCCTGGACATATCCTGGTACGAGGAGTTGGTACATGATCCAATCAGACCAGCGGAAACCGTCTCTGGCCAGCCGTTCTTGATTGTGGTGTCTCCCAACTGCGATATTGGGGTGGAAAGATCTGGAGTGAATGGTCCGTTCACACTTGGCTCAAGTGTGTTCAGGTCAATCTCAACAATTTGGTCATATTCAGCTCCTTCATCAGCAGTCATGTATCCATATTTAGAATTGACCATCTTGGCAACCTCGGCAATGGGACCTCTTCCAGTGGCCTGGAGATATCTGTAATGAGCGTCCTGCATTGGGAACGTCGAGGTAGTAGCACCAATCTCGGCTCCCATGTTACAAACAGTAGCCATTCCTGTGCACGAAAGCGTTTCAACACCTTCTCCGAAATATTCGACAATGTAGCCGGTTCCTCCTCTAACAGTGAGCAGACCAGCAAGATGGGTGATGATGTCCTTTGGCGAAGTCCAGCCATTAAGCGTTCCTGTCAGCTTGACTCCCAGCACCTTGGGGGCCTTCAACTCCCAAGGAGTTCCGGTCAAGGCATCCACGGCATCTGCTCCACCAACTCCAATGGCAATTGCACCCAAACCACCTGCGTTTGGGGTGTGGGAGTCGGTTCCAAGCATCATGAGACCGGGCACGGAGAAATTCTCCAGGACAATCTGGTGGATAATTCCGGAGCCAGGGCCCCAGAATTGAATTCCGTACTTCTCACCACACGACTGCAAGAAGTCGAAAACTTCTTTATTCGTGGCAATGGAACTTTTGAGATCGGACTCGGCTCCGGACTTGCCCACGATCAGATGGTCACAGTGAATGGATCCTGGAACTGCGGTCGAGGGCATTCCACAAGTCATGAATTGGAGAAGAGCCATCTGAGCAGAAGCATCTTGCATGGCCACTCTGTCTGGGTTCAGCTTGAGATATTGTTGACCCCGGATCTGAGAGGTAGTAGAGGGTAGTTCCTCTGGGTTCACCAAGTGGGCATAGAGGATCTTTTCCGCCAAAGTGAGTGGTTGGTTGTTCAACACACGCTTTACTTTTGTCAGGTTGTTGATCAGCTTCTCGTATGGGGGTGTACGCGACTCGAAGCCTTTGGGCAACGGTATTGACTCAACCGTTGTAGCCAGTGTTCTTGCCTATGGCAGAGTTAGTCATCCGTTTGCTATGAACATGACGAATGCCGTTGAAATTTGGAGACTGATACTTACACCTAGCCTTCTAAGGGCCTGACCTCTTGCGGCGAGCATTTTTTGATAGCTATGGAGACTGGAAACGTACAATGTCTTGTCCAATTGACCGCTGCTGATTTGAAATTTTTCACCATCTGCAAGAATCACGATCTTGAGAAAATTGGTAGGTGCACGAAATTGAAAAAAAATATCGTCACGCTATCGGGGAAAACCGGTTGGCTCTAGCCGCTTACCCGTTTTCATCCACAGCCACACTTCCAGGCGCCGCACGTCCGGTGCCTTGCTACATGGTCGTTTATAATCCCGCAAGTGGGCCCTGTCTTGATGGAAAAGGGGACAGACCATTACTACTCTGTTTAATGTGCTTTGAACTGGTGCAGTGAGATAAATTCTGGGTCTCTGAGTGCTAATATTTTACTAGAGATCTCTAACTAAGAGAAATGGTGCATTCTCCTTCCACATCAATAGCACCTGCTAACCTTTCAGATCGCGAGATCATGACAGAAGGTGTGGCCGAGAAGGATACAGAGTCGTCGGCACCAGATATTCTTGGAGGCGACGAATTTTATGATCGATTCAGCAGCTCCCGAAAAAACTCCCTGGTGGCCATTGTGGCACTCGCGTGCTTTCTAAGTCCATGTACTTCTATGGCGTATCTGCCTGCCATTGACGAGATCTCCCAGACGTTCCACACGACGCGAAATATCATCAACATCTCCAACGGAGTTTACTGTGTGGTTATGGCGATCTCTCCGTGTATTATGTCGCCAATGGGAGACGTTTATGGCCGAAGAATGACGTTTTTGCTATGCACTGTTGGTTTCACGGTTTCCACGGTGCTTGTTGCGGTTTCGCAAAACCTCGCCATGTTTTTCGTGTTCAGATGCTGTTGTGCCCTTTTTGGAACGGCATTCTTTTCTGTGGGCGGAAACGTGGTTGGTGATATATATTTGCCTCACCAGCGTGGGAATGCTATGGGCTGGATTCTGTCTGGATCCCAGGTAGGATCTGCATTTTCCCCAGTGATTGGTGGGATTATCATGACATATACCCATTGGAGAGTTATATTTTGGGTTTTGGTGGGCCTTGGAGCGGTCACTTTTGCAGTCTCTCTGTTCTTTCTACCGGAAACTGCTCGCACGACTGTTGCTAAAGAGATTCGCAAGGAGCATCCAGGGAAAAGACTTATTTTCGTTCCATATAATCCGCTGCGCGTCGTTTTGGCACTGCGATACCCGAATCTGTTACTTATTGGAATTGTGAGCATGTCGCTTGTCTATAATATGTACACGCTGCTCACGCCTATTCGGGCAGTCATTGACCCTAGGTTCCATCTTACAACCCCGGTGTACGGTGCCCTCTTCTATCTCGCTCCTGGAATGGGATACTTTTTGGGAACGTTTGCGGGAGGTCGTTGGGCTGACAGGTATGTCAAGAAGTATGCCAAAATAAGAGGAGTTCGCATTCCTGAAGATCGACTGCGGTCAACGTATTTTGCATACGGCTTTGTGATTCCCGCTGGAATGCTGGTTTACGGATGGTCGCTTGAAAAAGAAAAAGGTGGAATGGCATTGCCCATCATAGCTCTGTTTTTCAGTGGATTTTCGCAAACCATCGTCTTCCCAAGTGTCAATGCCTACTGCGTCGACTCGCTTCCCGAGCTCAAAGGCGATGCCGTCGCGTCCAACTACTTCATTCGGTATATCGGAGGTGGGGTCGGCACAGCGACTTGTGTATACCAGATTGATTCCATTGGCATTGGCTGGAGCTCTACTATCAGCGCGTTTGTGCTTTGGGGAGGATTTGCTGCGTGTTGTGTGCTGATCCGGTACGGCGAGAAACTGAAGAAACCCATGTTCTGAAAGTGCAAGCCACTCGGAAAGATTTTCAAAAGGAAACAGGGATAAAAATGCTCACTATAATGTCAATGCATCTTGCACAGTTTTTTTCAACTACAGAAATGTCTGCCAAACGGCCCAAGACGAAAGGAACGTCTTTTCGCGGACCACAGTTCCCATTGCATTTTTCTATTCAAAATATAATGTTGCCTATCCGAAATTCGAGGGGCTCTGGTTCCGATTTGTTATTTTTCACCTGGTTGCCGAGCCATTTTGTTGTCTAATGGAGTTGCCTCGGTCAGTAACTCTCATCTTCATCTTTCCTAATGCTATGCCATTTCTTAATTTTTTAAAAGATTCAACGCTATAGAAGTTGATAATATATATCATGAACATTTTAAACCCTATTCTATATTTTTAGCTACCATATTTGCATCTCTTCAAAGTAGTCCACTCTCTTTTCGCACTCGCCAACCAAAGCTGCCGTCACTGCTCTAGCTTGATCAGCCATGGCTGGATGGCCACAAACTCCAACAGCGATGGAGCCAGTAGACTCCTCAACCTCGTTGCAAATTGTTTGCTCCAGGTTCATTCTCCCTGTGCGGAATTCCACAAAACTAAGCTCGCTCTTGAACTTCTCTAGTGGATCTGTTACAGATATCTCTATGTCTTTGTAATCACGCTTTTCCTGCGTACTTGAAGATTCTGAAGACGAGTCAAAAACATCTAGTTTGGAGTCTGGATTTGTCACATAAACAATGACCTGAACACGGGTGTTCTTGAGAGTCAATAATTCCTCAAAAAACCACTTTAGCGAATGGTACTCGCGGATAGACCAGTACAGTTTGATCTCGGTCTTGCAATCCGATTTTGCCAGTTCGGCCGCATGAGAAAACGGACCGGGAATTCCGTTTCCACCAGCTATAAGAAGTGCCTTTGAATAGTGCTGATAGTCGGATTTCTCAGCGTATGGGCCCTCCACAGCAATTGGTATGGTGCAGGATGTTGATCCAGAAGCAAGCACGCGACGGGCCAAACTGCGAGTGGCTCCGTTTTTGACCTTCACATAAAAATGAATATGCTTGGTATCATTGGCCTGTGAAGCCACAAACGTGAAAGGATGAGACTGGAAAAATAAGGCAGGCGTAATGAAATAGACAAATCCATGAGCGCCTGGATATGGAAGCCAATGGCTAGGTCTCTCCACAGAAATCTTGAGTGTCTCCATTTCCACGAGTTCCACGCGTGATTTTCTAACTCCAAAAACAGCCAGTCTTGCAATACGAACAACAGCATCTAATATCCAAACCGCAGCTGCTGCATAATAGTATTCAAGGTATGACAAACCAGCAACATGAAGCCAAGAGGCAGCGAGAAAGATTGCAGCCAATACGATATGAGCTATCAAAAATGCCTCGTATGAAGCTCTGCGTACACAGAAAACTGAGAAGATAATAATAAACCCAGAAGCAACAGTTCCAGCAATTCCCCAGCGATAGTATGGAGCTGCCAGTCTGGAGGTCCACTTTCCGTATGCCATGGAATTGATTGCCATTGCACCAGAATGAACAATCACTTCGATAACGTAGAGTCTTGCTAGCCATTTGTGGTAAGTTGCAAAGACACTAAAGTTCCAGCCTGTGAGCCATTGCAAAAAGTTATTTCTTCCGGCGAACAAAAACACGAGAGGAGTCATGTAGGAAGCAATGATGCAAGAACGATCGCCTATGTAACGACCCAGAGCAGCTCTTTCTGTGAAGGTGAGATCACGATCATCATAAGTGTAGCCTATACACGTTGCCAGAACGAGGTAGACGGTATTGACTGCTATGATTACGGCCTCCAGTCTAGTAGGAAGATATCCGAATATGCCCACAGATTGGATGTGGGATTTGTGATAGACTGCTGGCATTCCCACGAGTGAACGGAATTTGCGGAAAGCGATTCCATTGAACCAATTGAGAGATCTTGGAAACACCTTGGACAAAATGTTGCTGGATATGGCACATAGAAGAATTACACACCATAACCCCAAAAAGCCCATTCCCAAAAACTGCGAATTATCCTTGTTGGTAAATCGAATTTTGGCTGCAACGTAATAACCGGTGTAGTAGGAAGTCATGTTTCCGTTCTTGACAGGGTGGTAGTTCATTTCAGAGTGATTAAAGCCCGCAGGTGGATCGTTCAAATCAATCCAGTAGTCTGTGGCATTGGCGTAGGAAGCCAAAAGCTGCTCGTCCGTAACCGTGATGCCAGCAGATGCACAATTGGACTCAAAACGACTTAAAAGAACGTCCATATCTGTTTCGTTTCTATCATAAAGGCATTGCATTACCGTGGCCATAGCAGCCTGGTTCACACAGGCACAACTGCCAAACCCATAAGATGCCATGCTCATGCAATATTTGGTCTGCTTGAGCATGGCACTGTTGCACGAGTTCAGAACGTATTTGTCATGAATAAACCATGTTTTTGCACTTGCCACAGAAATTAACAGCGATGCAAGTAAAAGTGAAACTGTCCTCATAGTGGCGGCGATAGTAACGAAGAATCAGGCTTGGAGTTGATTGAGTTATGCCGAGCGTTCTGCTATTTATGCTGAGCACTCTCAGATCGCAAGAGATAATATTGCTCGGAGGATTTGAGCAATTAAGCTGCGTAAACCTGTTTTTGGGGGCTGTGGTTCGATGTGCCGAATGCGTTCTATGCCTGGTATGGTGAGTACAACTCTGAAGAGGAAACTTGAAGGCCACGTAATTTTTGAAACAAAACTCAGGGCCTCAAGTTCAGCAAAAATGCACAGGCTTATTAATAGATTATCACAGAAAGGCAATATGGTATAAAATAAGAAGAATCTACCCACTCAACGACTGGCCTGGATGTGTTCATCACAAGTTCTCGAAAAACGAGCAAATTAAGCGTATGAATCCGGACGATTCTCAACTAGCAATGCAGTGACTAAAGAGACTCTCTTTGCTTGGAGTCCATAAAAATGAGTCAATAGAATTTGGAAGTTACTCAATATGGAGCACCCAAGAAGTGCTCGAGGTTATGGGACGGGCTTTCAAGGCACCTCGAACTGCGCCGCACGAGCAGGCGCATGGCGCCGTTGTGGCACTGCAAAGGCTTGGAATACCATGGAAGAAAGGAGGAATTTTCTTCAAATTACTCAAAAATCATCTTTTATAACAATTGGTTTAATGTCATTCAGCATCCTTCAGGTTTCCCTCGCTGGCTTCTCTCTTATCGCCCTAGATGGTCTCCTCCACACGGAGTTTCTGAGATCTCGGAGATTTCTGTCGTGTGCTACCCCAACCGTTTTTCGTAAGCATGATTCTTTCCCGTTTGGGAAACTTTTGATGGACACGACAATAAATTTGTGAGAGTTGTGTATTCATCAATTGATCACGTGATTACGACAACGTTTGTATCTGTGGTATCTACATCTCTGATCTCGATCTCCATCTTTTATCGCTCTTATTGCCTGTACCCGTGTTTCCAGCAGATGTCTACCAAACCATTACAGTCGCAAGAGTCTTATTCGTCTACGGAAATTGATAAGGGTCCATTTTTGGCATCAATGGCGCCAGCAGAGTCTATCCAGCCGAATGGAGCTGGGATCCGCCTTCTGACCTTCAATACATGGGGACTCAAGCTTGTTTCCAAACACAGAAAGGCACGGTTACATGCAATTGCCGACAAGATTGCTCTCGATGATGCATATGATGTGATTGCGCTTCAGGAAGTCTGGTGTAAATCTGATTGGGATTATTTGGTGGAGCGGTGCGGTTCAAAGTTCCCCTACAACCGAGTTTTCTACTCGGGCATCCTTTCTGGGCCCGGGTTGGCAGTTCTGTCAAAACTGCCAATCGAATCGACTTTTCTTTACCGGTTTCCAATTAATGGAAGGCCTTCTGCTTTCTTCAGGGGCGATTGGTATGTCGGCAAAAGTGTTGCCGTGACCATACTCAAAACCGCTTCCAGTGGTTCGATCGCGCTCCTGAACAGCCATATGCATGCGCCATACGCTCTCAGTGGCGATGCCGCATATTCATGTCATAGAGCGTGCCAGGCGTGGGATTTTTCCCAGATCGCTTCCTTGCTTCAGAAGGCTGGATATGCTGTCATCGTGGTTGGAGACCTCAATAGTAGGCCTGGATCCCTCCCCCACCGCATCTTTGAATTTGAGGCTGGCCTCCAGGATAGTTGGGAGTTACTTCATGGCCGTCAGCCTTTGGAATATCCCAAATCTCTTTCCCCAGAAGACCAGATCCGCTTAGCAGGAGCCACCTGTGATTCCACTCTAAACACATGGAGAGCGGACCGTCAACCCACTGAAGCATGTCGACTCGACTATGCTTTGGTTGATGCTAGAAGAATCATTCCAATTGGTGCAAGTGTCGAGTTTACAGAGTCCATCCCCGGTATTGGGTCATATTCCGATCATTTCGCCTACTCTCTCCGTTTCAAGGTCGACACTCGTTCCCGTGAACGCCCTAATGGATTTGCTGGGGATCGTGCTGCAGTTCACGCAGATTTGATGCAAGAAGTGCAGACCTATATTAATACCACGTGTAAGTGGCAAAGCAATTGGCGTTACTGGCATGCGGCTCTGTCTATTCTGGTTGTGATAGCATTCCATCCGGTGATTGTCGTGGTTTCTTTCATTGCTCCGTGGGCGTCAATTTTGTTCCAATTCTTTTCCATACTCATAGCCCTTTCTGGAGTGCTCAACGGGTTCATTGCACTGTTATTCGGCAGGTCCGAGAAGAGAGCTCTGATGGAAGTGTTGCAGGAGGTTGAAGACCGTCAGAACGCTCAATGAGGCTTTTGTTGGGAAAATCATAGCTGTAATAGAAAGGGAGAGGGATTGATAGTGTGTACGCTTGTTCTGGTCGAATCTGCACATTTGGGTAACAAACCGTGGCTTTGCCCAATTTTGGTAAGCTCTCATTTATTTTCATAAAACTTTGGCCATGTTCCTTTAATGAGCTGGGGAGGATGCTATGGGAAAGCTCAGGCTTCTTCTTAAAAATGTCGGGCGGCAGCTCATGCCACTAGATTAACTCTCTACAACTAGTTATTGTAGCATAACATACACACGTATTTCGTCTACGAAGTCTAGAGGCTCTGGTGCACCCGTAGTTCAAGATCATTACCCAAAAAGGTAAGACTGACTTGAAGGATTGTGAGCGATGTGCTCCCAAACCGGGCCGAGGCACGAGTTGAAAGATCAATCATTGAGCCCTGACCACAATCATCAAGCTTCCTCAAGCCTGCATTTCATTGTGCGAGTTTTTGGATGAATATCGAGCACATTCACTAGCCACATTAAAAACAGCGTAAGTAGGCAAAAATGAAACATTTTAAAGTCCCCAGTGTGCGGGTACAATAACCGATTCTCTGACGTTACGAGCCCCAGCTCGTCGTGTCGGCACCAAAGATAAACCTCGCTTAGGCTGCTCCTTAAACACGAAAGCACTCGTTTTCTCTAGATCAACCAGTTCAAGGCCGGTTTGACAGCGGATTTGACCCTTGTGATCCTTGAAGAGAGTCATTTCCCCAACTGATCAGGTTTTTTGTCCCGGCCAATAGCGTTGTTGCAATGTCAAACGACGCTTCAAAAGACATTCCCGGGGCGTTTCCTGGGGATGACGGGAAGGATAGGCCGTCGCGCTCGCGCTCCCCTCTCCAGAACTTCTTGGTTGAGAAGTCAACTGCATTATCGCCGACACGATTGATATCGCATTCGTTCTCTTCAGCTTCTGTGATTGGTAAACGTGGGCTCAGTTCGGGGTTGGAAGCGCTGCGGCTCTCGCGGCCCGACTCGCCACTTTCATCCGGCAGGACAAGAGAAGAGACCCTGGGAAAGGACTATGGTCGTCCCGTTGATGGAATGGCTAAGTCGATTGTGACGATGCTGACAGCTGCCAGTATGTATGCCGGATTAACTGAATTTGAGGCAGGCCAAGGGGATGAAGTGTTGGCGGAGGATGAGATAGTCACTGACGAGACAAGTGAAGCTGGCCTGGGTGAGCCTGGCGAAGCTGGTGGGCCTGCTGAATCTTATGGTGAGCCAGTTGGTGGAGTTTCTGGAGCTCTGGGGGTTGCTTCGAGTAAGCCAGTTGAATCTTATGAGCCCACTACTGATGAACCCTCCATACCTCCTCCAGTTGTTCAATCCACCAACCCACTGGACTCGATGAATCAGCTCAGAAGGAGACCAACACTTTTTGAACTCTCGGTTGTCAATAAACTCACATCCGCAACTAAGGACTCGTGCACCAGCCAGGAGCGAGCTTCCGCGATTTCCGCAAAACTGCAGCAGACGTTCGATATCGCGCCCAACGACGAGTTCATCAATGATTACCCATGCTGGTTGCTACGCGATGTCCTTCTCCAGGGACATCTCTACATCACCAAGTTCCACGTATTGTTCTTCGCTTACTTGCCTAAGAAGCAGGGCTCCATTGCCAAGCGTGGTTCTCTCTCGGTGAAATCGTACCCCAGCCATAGGCTCCACAGGAAATGGGCAATTCTACGAGACAACACGTTCTCGCTGTACTCAGACTCGACGGAACTGTATTTCCCAAGTTTGGTACTGGACTTGAGGTATGCTTTGAGAGCCGAGATCGTCCACGAGGGAAAGGATCCCAACGTGGCGACTTGGTTCCGCATCATAACGGAATCACGCTCTTATTCGTTTGAGGCTGATTCCCTGGATGCTGCTCGTGGCTGGGTCAGCGTCATCAAGAAACAAATTTTTTCAGCACGAAATAAAAAGGGTCATGCTACTATCAAGATGCCCTTGAAGAACGTCATGGATGTCCAACTTGATACGATTCTTGGCAATGCTCAGAGCGTTAAGATCAAGGTTTTGGAGAGCTCTGAAAGTTTTGCTTTGGATGATTACTTCTTGATCTTCTTCAACGGGGCTACGAATGTAGTTGCAGATATCGATCAAGTTTGGAAAGACGATGATGCGGCTGCGTCGCGGGAACTTTCTGACTCGACAGAGTCTGTCGTCGAAAGTATAGTTAAGCCAGAACAGGAAACAGAGCCTATAGTTGAAGATGATGATGAGAGCCGATACCGGCTTTCCAAGCTGACCGGTTCTGCTAAGTCACTGGTGCAGGGAATTGTGAATATTCCCACCAACCTGACCCATAACCTCTGGAAAACGTCGTTTTTCCATTACGATGACCGCATCGCAATGGAAATGGGACAGGATTCGAACTTGGTGATGGACTCAAAACAGCGGAGTATCTCAAATTCCCGTTTTCGCGAGCATTTTCAGCTCCCAGAGACTGAAACACTGATATCTGTGTATTATGCCCATCTCCAGCGCAATATCCCACTATACGGAAAGATCTACATTGGTACGAACGAGATCTGCTATCGATCACTGATTCCGGGCACAAAAACGCTGATGATTCTTCCTTTCTCGGATATTGAGACTGTTCACAAAGAGAAGGGCTTCCGGTTTGGCTATTCGGGGCTGGTGGTGGTCATTCATGGCCATGAGGAGCTCTTTTTTGAGTTTGGATCTTCCGAATCTCGTGACGATTGCGAGCATGTGCTACTAAAACAGGTCGACAAATTCCGGGTGGTATCCGAGAGCACCAGCGAGAGTTCTGATGATGTGAGACTGGCTGATTCTCCACGAAACCCAATAGCAGATGCGAGATTGCGACTTTTTGAGAATAAGATGAATGATTTCGTGGGAGTTGACGTTCCCATTATCGTTGAGGATGATCCTTACGAAGAGACGGTTTTCAAGCCCAGTAAGTCGTATCGTTTCACGCTTCTCACAATTGGTTCCCGTGGAGATGTCCAGCCATACATAGCCTTGGGGAAGGGCCTACTTGCTGAGGGTCATCAGGTGAAGATAGCCACACATAAGGAGTTCGAGGGGTGGATTTTGAGTCATGGGCTCCAGTTCGCCGAAATTGCAGGAGATCCGGCAGAGTTGATGTCTCTAATGGTGCAGCATGGCACCATGAGCGTCGCATTTCTGAAGGACGCCTCGTCGAGGTTCCGTGGCTGGATTTCAGAACTTTTGGCTTCTTCGTGGGAAGCCTGTCAGGACACGGATGTATTGATTGAATCTCCCAGCGCAATGGGAGGTCTCCATATTGCGGAGAAACTCAAAATCCCCTATTTTCGTGCTTTTACGATGCCATGGACCAAGACTAGAGCTTATCCGCATGCCTTTATAGTTCCAGACCAGAAGAGAGGTGGTTCCTATAACTATCTTACTCATGTTATGTTCGAGAATGTGTTTTGGAAAGGAATATCTGGTCAGGTGAACAAATGGCGAGTCGAGACCCTTAAACTGAAGAAAACAAACCTCTCACGGATGAAACAGTACAAAGTGCCGTTTATGTACAATGTCTCACCTACCGTGTTGCCTCCATCGGTTGATTTTGCCGAATGGGTGAATGTGACTGGTTATTGGTTTCTTGATGAAGCCAACCATTTTGAGCCCAATAAAGCGCTGGTTGAGTTCATAGCTAAAGCTCGTTCAGACGGAAAGAAAGTGGTCTATATTGGATTCGGATCTATAGTGGTTAGCGATCCAAAGGAGCTGACCCAGGCAGTAGTGGATGCCGTTGTTGATGCTGATGTGAGGTGCATTCTCAACAAAGGTTGGTCTGACCGCTTGGGAGCCAAGACAGAAATCGAAGTTGAACTACCCGAGCAGGTGTACAATGCCGGGTCGGTGCCGCATGATTGGCTATTTCCCCAGATTGATGCGTGTGTTCACCACGGAGGCAGCGGAACTACTGGAGCAAGTATGAGGGCTGGGCTTCCAACTATCATAAAGCCTTTCTTTGGAGACCAGTTCTTCTATGCTGGTCGTGTGGAAGATATGGGTGCCGGGTTCTTTCTCCGGAAACTGAACGCCAAAAGTCTGTCAAAGCTGTTGAGACAGGCTGTTAGTGATAGGAGAGTGATTGAGACTGCCCGTGCTGTTAGTGAGAAGATCCGGCGCGAAAACGGTGTGGAGAAGGCCATTGAAATCATCTATACGGAGATGGAGTATGCTCGCAAGCTCAGTGTGAGCAAGCAAGGAGATGACGAGCCTGAGGAGGAAGAGAGTCTGGATTCGTGGCTTTTGGTATAGCTGGTACGGGCACTGTTGATCTTTTGAGGGACACTTTTTTTTCAAGAATATCGGGCAAATCGTTGACAACTGGACCTGTTATTGGGTGATTTCTCAGTAGAGACGTAGGTTGAGCCGCACGAAGAAAATAAATGACGTGCACATGTCGATTTTAATTTTTTGTTTCTTTTTCTATTTATGGTTGATACACTATCTTTGCACCCCCACCAGCCTGGAAACCGCACTAAAAGTAGGATCGGCCTGCAGACAATCTCGCGTCTCTTCGTGATTCCCCCCCCTTGTTCCTGATTACTCAACATAGCGGACGATTTGCTGAAGTTTATAGAACATACAAGCTGTGTTAAGTTCATAACAGCCCTAATTTATCAGTTCAGCCGAAAAAAAGTGAGCTTCCAGTGGAATTTTTCACCAGGTCCATACGCTTAGGGTGTCGATCCTTTTGAGGAAAGCGCTCGTGTGACACAGACTTTAGATTTTTGCATTTGTTTGGTTCCCGGCTTTCTCGTGAGTAGTCTACGTCATGATGAGAAGCATGGAGAAGACCATGAGCATCAATCTGAACGAATACCAGAACCTCATGTCCAATATCCGGGGCCAGGAGCAGATGATCATCACCATGATGAACAGGATAGAGGTCCTGCAGGAGAGGTTGGACAAAGTTGACAAGGGCATGCTGGAGCGTATAGGACGAGTCCAGGGCGATTTCCAGCGTTTTTTGCAGGACCAAATGCGTTATTTCGTGGATAAAAGCAGTCCTGGATCCCATGAGACCAGGTTTGAAAGCTTTGAAAGAGTGGAACCACCCCAACACCTAGGTCAAATCAGTCAGCTGAACCAGTTGAGCCAATTAACCCAGCTTGGGCAGCTGGGGACGAGTCAGAGCCAGAGCAGTGGCCATAGCTCTGATGGAAGCCGCAATTTGATTCCTGATATCCGCCTCAACCGCCGAGTGCGGAGCGTCCAGGATGTCTGGGAGGAATGGCACAAGGGCTACAAGAATAATCCACCTCTTAAGGACCTCGAGAAGGTTTACAAGGCCAAATGGCGTCGTGGAACCATCAGCAAAACAGCCCAGCGGCGCAAAAAGATTGTTGAGGCGATAGAACACGCCATCAACGTGGAGATGCTGGACGAGTTCGAAGCTCTACGCAGACTTGAGGAGTTTCGCGTTTCCCGTAAAAAATCCATGTTTTGGCTGTATAACAATGTTCCCTCAAGTCTGAGGGATTTGCCCTGACGCAGCTAGCGCGCCAGCAGCGCTAGCTCACTCGCAGATAGGACTAACGGAAAAAAAGCCATTTGTGGCAAAACTATTATTCAACACCGTAGCATATACAATCGTAGAAACCGGGAGCCTTTATGAGAGCGGTAAATTCCAGGGTTGCGGTTGGAAAAGAGCAAGAATGACGGTGGTCCAGGCCGGTTTCAAAGGCTGGTTTCCAGCTTATGCACTACCCAATAGATATGTTTGGCCAATTCAATTGCTCGACAGCGCTTTAGAGTATTTTATGGGCCAATGACGGCCTAATGGACCGTCTAAATTTAGACGGCAACCGAGAATAGGCCGTTTGGATAAGGTGCGGCGTCTTTTTGGTTTATGCACATAGTTTTGATATGCAGCACGTTTTGGGGACGGACACGAAATGCGGGAACGACGGGCCAAGCCTTGCAGGGACTCTGCGATTACAAGGCTTGCAGAGGCGGTTCTAAGGCGGCTCGAAGGCGGTAATCTCCCAGAGTGCCAAGTAGAATTGTATGTGCAGCGCCCACAAATTCGCCAAACGTCTCAAATCCATCGCCGGCTGTCCCGACCCTCTTCGTTCCCACTCCCAATACCCGACTTGGCGGAATCACCTCGCAGGTATTTTGGCGCTGTACACTACCCCTCCCATCTTTTCCGTCTGCCGGTTTTGGCCTCTGCAACTGGGAGACGTTTGACACAATGTGATGCCATTGAGAGTTTGAAACGGAGCTGCAACGGGCTCAATTAGTGGCATTTTCGGAAACGAAAAGCGTCAGGATGTGGCGCTGAAACCATTCTTTGCAAAGTTTTTACCAACAGCTGTGTTAACCGCCAGTAGCGAGACCAGCGGGCCAACCGGCACGCTCCCGCGCCCAGTTGTCTTGGTGATTGCAGGTTTCATTTCTGAAAACCTTCTCGAAACAGGCCTGGAGCAGCGACAGCCGCCCAAACGCAACACATCTCACGCGAACCGTAAAAGGTTATGCTGCCATGTGGCATTTTTATTTGGCCTTTCCTGAAGGGGAGATCTAGAACCGTAGGGTTGTAAATCATATTTAAAGGCTTGCGCCCCCTAGCTGATTCAGTACCACGCTCTGAATAGTTTACGCCTGGTGTTTGTGATTTTTATATTCAATAGACTCCAGGTTATATAGGAGCTTCCGAATAAGCAGCCTTAATTGACAAAAATGGTGAGTTCCCCTTGCTGGCCTGCTGGTCTGAAGCTGGATCATCTTCTGCTCTATAGATCCGGACCTCACGATCCGCCACATCCCGATCTCCACAGATTGACTAACTCTCCGTCCAGTATCCCAGTGTTCCCCAACACAATCCCTCGGGATCTGTCAATTCTCTTGCTTCAGGCTCAACCTTAGACTTTGAGCCTTTGGAGCCGAGAACTCCTCCGCCTGGGCCAGATGTGTGTGCCATCTCCAAAGACCAACATGGCTGTAGGCTGCTACAGCGCCGTCTGGACGAGGACCCGCGGGCCAATTTCGCACCCATTTTTGAGCGTGTATTGCCACAGTTGGTGGAACTCATGTGCGATCCCTTTGGCAATTATCTCGTGCAAAAATTGGTGGCGCTGGCGCCCACCCACCACAAAAACCTGATCTGGCTGCGGATCCAGGCAGATGTGCCGAAAATCGCAGTTGACCAGCATGGAACACGATCTTTGCAGAGGTTGGTGGATTGCATTGACGACGACGTCCAGATCGCTGTTTTTGGCAATTCTATTCGCAATTGCGTTGTTGCCTTGATCCTGGACCTCAATGGCAATCATGTGATCCAAAAGATATTAAATGATCGTGTGGACCTGCTCGCTACCAGCTTCTCTTTCGTGGTGGACTCCATCTGCAACGATATGGTTCGAGTGGCTACACATCGCCACGGCTGTTGTGTTCTTCAAAGATGTTTAAAAAGTTGTGGGAACTCTCAATTCCACCAATTGGCGCTGCAAATTATGGCCAATTGCCAGTTGTTGATGGCGGACCAGTTTGGCAACTACGTCGTGCAGCATCTAGTGTCCTACGGTGATTCGGGAGTCAATTCGCACTTGGCTTTGCAGGCTGCAGCGAATTTGGTGAATCTTTCTACTCAAAAATTTTCTTCCAATGTGGTGGAAAGGTTGTTGCGATTGGACCGTTCGATTGCTCTTCCATTGGTCAAGGAACTGTGCAGACCCGAGATTCTGGCTGTTTTGGTCCAGGATCAGTATGGAAATTATGTAGTGCAGACTGCGATTGATGTTGCTGATGATGAGCATAGATTGATGATGGCGGAGTTGGTGAGGCCATTGCTGGTGACGGTGAAGAACACGCCTTTTGGACGGAGGATCCAGATCAAGCTTGAGACTGCCATGAGGCAGGGACGGGTTGGGCATGGAACACAGAGCGCTATTCAATTTCAGGGTCAAAATATGGGTCAAAATATGGGCCAGAACGTTGGCCAGAATATGGGTCAGAACATGGCTCAAAATATGGGTCAAAATATGGGTCAAAATATGGGTCAAAGACTGAACCAGACTCTTTACCAAAGCACTGGCTCGAAGCAGAGTCAGTTTCAGAGTGAAATTTCGGGCTTCCAAGGCTTTCAGGGATATCAACCTCAGGCTTCTCAGGTTTCTCAAGCTTCCCAAGCTTCTCAGCCCCAATTCCAGATTCCTCCCCCAGCTCAAACTCTTGCGTTCACGCCTCTTTCCACCGGATCAAGCACATTTTCGCAAATCCCCCACTCTTCCACGAACGAATCACCTTTCCAGCGTTCGCTGAGCCAATCCAGTGCTTCCAACCCGGGACTCCACTACCACTCCAGTTCTGGATCAATCGACCCGGTAACACCTCTGTTAACTCCATCATATGTACTCTCGAACACCAGTTCGTCGTACTTTGCACTGAAAGGCCCTTCTCTCCCACCCTTTGGCCATGGATTTTCCAGCTCAAGCCATATGTCGCCAGGTCTGGGATTGGATCTGGATGACGGAATGGGTAACCTCAGCCTGGGAAGTTGGAAGTAAAGCAACCCTTTCCTTTCTTAAATCCACCTGTGTCTCGTTCCTGCCTCTTTTTATGTTTTGTTTATAGTGTATAAGGATATTTGGGTTTCATTACCGTAGTGTCTCGGCGTTACATCCTTCTCCTCTTAGCCTTTTCCCAAGTGTTTTTCACCTTCTTGGACTTGAACCGTTCGCCCTCCTTGTCATTGCCAAACATACTCCAGTCCTCACCTGCAAATGTGTCCTTCTTGCGTTTCTGTTTCTTGGTCACGTTCTCGGGTAATCTGGTGAAGTTCTCCTCTTCGTACCGCGTGATCTCACGTTCCTTCTCAACGTCCTTGGATGTCTTTACACCACGACCGTGGTCCAAAATCGTGGAGCCGATACTTGATTCCAACATTGGTGTGTCTCCAATCTCCTCAAGATATTCTTCCATGGACTGGAGTTTCTGTCTGTTGCGCCTAGGCTTCTCTTCTGTAGGCGGCACCATAGCAGAGATCCTTGGAGGTTTGTACTTTTCTGTGGACTCGGTCTCAGTTTCTCCTTCAGCGTCATCCTGATCGTTGTGATCATGACGCTTGACCTCACCAGCCTTTGGTTGTGCAAAGTTGGCTGCATTTGGCCTGTAATTGAAAGCATCCTCCTCGTCCTCGCTGTCGTCACTTCCGGAACCGTCTGCGGACTCGTCTACTGTTTTGGACTCAGCTTCCTTCAAATCTTTCTGCATCCGAAGGAATGAACGGGTGAGCTTGTCCATCTGGTATCCCAGCTTCTTTTCCAGGGGTTTGACTCCTCTTTCCAGAACAACTCTTTGTTCCACGGTCTTTTTAACTATGGCATCGATCTGGTCGATATCAACCCCTTCTTTGCTCTCCAGTGCATCCAACTTTGCCAGTGCAAATAGCACCACCGAATTCACATATGACAGCATCGAAGAGTTCTTCAGGGCCAGAAGCGAGATTCCTTCCTTGTTGGCGGTTCCTTCCACCGGATTGGCAGACCCAGATTCCAGCGTCTCCTCCAGATTTTTCAACGACTCAGTCGTCGTTTTTACAGACTCCAGGATGGTCGTAAGAAGCGTTTCCAGTGACATAATGGGTTTAGACCAAAATTAGAGTAAAATTAAACAAAGCAAAACTGATCAAATTCTTACCGAGAATCTGTTCTCTATTAAGTCTTGTTACTTTTCAGTCTGAAAAAAAATTGGTGCCGATGAGGTTACCCGGCCCCCAAGTAATTTTTTTTTAACCCAGTTTTTTTTCGGACAGATACCGCATACATCACATTACTCTTGTATTACCAATCCAATTGTGTTTTAAAAAATGGTAAGTTGGGACAAAATACTGGTTATGCATTTCTCTAGTGATCTGTTTACTAACCCTTCTTTTTCTAGCCTCAAAACGAGTACATAGAGCAGCACATCAAGCAGCACGGCCGCAGGCTGGACCACGAAGAGAGAAAGAGAAAGAGAGAAGCCAGAGAAGGTCACAGAATCGCAAAAGATGCACAGAATCTGAAGGGATGGAGAGGTAAGCAATTTGCGAAGAAGCGTTACAGCGAAAAGGTTGCTATGAAGAAGAAGATCAAGGCGCACGAAGAGAGCAAGGTCAAGGGCCCCAAGCAACAACCCAAGGAAGACGAGGCTTTGCCAACCTATTTGCTGGATCGTGAGACTCAAAACTCTGCAAAGGCCATCTCCACTTCGATCAAGCAGAAACGTATGGAGAAGGCGGATAAGTTTTCTGTGCCATTGCCGCGTGTGCGTGGTATCAGTGAGGAGGAGATGTTCAAGGTTATCAAGACCGGAACTAAGAAGTCCAAGTCATGGAAGCGTATGATCACAAAGCACACATTTGTTGGTGAAGGTTTCACGAGAAGGCCTGTGAAACTCGAGAGAATTATCAGACCTTCTGCACTGAGACAGAAGAAGGCCAACGTCACACACCCAGAGCTGGGAGTGACGGTATTTTTGCCTATTCTAGCTGTCAAGAAGAATCCACAGTCCCCCATGTACACTACCTTGGGAGTTTTGACCAAGGGAACCATTATTGAGGTGAACGTTTCCGAGATGGGAATGGTTACTGCCGGTGGTAAGGTTGTCTGGGGTAAGTACGCACAGATCACAAACGAACCAGACAGAGATGGATGTGTGAATGCCGTTCTGTTGGTGTGATGTGGGCTCTAAAGACTTTGTAACTGAAAAAAAACTGGAAATTGGGATTCTTTTGGGAAACAGCTGTAGAATTAAGTCGACAAGATTGTCAATTTTTTTGTTCTTTGCGAGCGCTCTCGCCTCGCTCTTCTGCCGCATAAAATGTAAAAGGAGAATGCTTTTGCTTTGAACGGTTGTTACCATCGTGAGAGAAAATCTTCTGCCTCGTTTGGTGCTAGCATGCTCGTGGTTTTAGAGACCAAACATATCTATCTACCTTTCCTTTTCTACTAGCTCAAAGCTTTTTTAAAGACTCTTCTGAATCATCCATAGGGCTTTGAAATGTAAGACTTAAGAAGAGACGAGGAGGTGTTCATGTTTTTGGCTAGTTTTTGACTAGTTTTTGGAAATTTCAAAGAAAAATTTGCAGGCTATAATGAATCTCTTTGACAACTTTCCATAGCCTTAACTAGCTCCACGGAGGCCTCGAATTTTATACAAAGAACCACCTAGAATAGTGCACACTAGTCCTCAAACATCCCAATTTCAGTAAGCAGTATATCTTTGAGATTTTATGATTTGTTAGTATTCAAGCCACTGCCCGTTTATCTTGCCCCTGCTTATCTCCGTTTTGTCCGCCGGACTATCTCCGCACAATTTCATGAGAAAAGGATATTGCGGCGATACTATTCGGAGAAAAGCAATAATTTTTTTGAAAAGAAGTTTCTCGGAAATATTAAAATCATATATATTTGCTTGGAAAAGATGGTGGCCCTATGGCTATTCTCAAAATCAACTTTCCAAAAGTTAAATGCCGAACTACACTCTCGTCAGCACTGGCCTCACCAGCGGAATTGGCAGTTATACCAATTCTTACATCGAAAAAAATGGCAAGGACTTTCACCACGTGATGGTGTGTCGCGATCCCAGCAAGGTCGCGAAGAAAGCCAATCTCACCACTGTGAAGTGTGATCTTTCTTCCATTGCGAGCACAAAGAATGCTCTTGAAGAAATCAAAAGCTTGGTCAAAAACGGAAAAATACCACCAATCAAAACTGTTCTCTTCAATGCGGGTGTCTCGAATTTCAGTCGCACAGTTAGCTCCAAGGATGGGTTTGAGTGTACTTTCCACGTGAACGTGATCTCACCTTATCTCTTTGCCAGGGAGCTAATTCCGTTGCTGAAAGAGTTCGGGCAAGGCCGGTTTGTCGTCACCGGAAGTCACTCCCATTTTGCCGACAAAGAGCACACTCGCAACATGGTGCCCAAACCTTATTGGGACGACTCCAGTATGGACCCTGTGATCAAGCCTGTTGCTAATCCAGCGGATGCAAATCCTGAGACCATGGAGGCGGGATTGCGTTCTTATGCGACTAGCAAGCTGGCTCTTTTGTATCTGTTTCATGAACTAGCAAGAAGAAATCCACAGGTCAAATTTCTAGTCTACGAGCCAGGTTTTGTTCTTGGAACAGGGTTGGGAAGAGAGGCTAGCCTATTAGTCAGATTGTTGATGAAGCCGGCTGGTCTAGTGTTCTGGCTTCTGGGATGGAGCATCACGAAGAACAAGTCCGGTTATCTAATGGCAAAAGCCGTCTTCGACGATGAGCTTTTTGCAAAGGTTAATAATATGGTTTATTGCGATCTTGGGAAAATCATCAAGTCTTCTGAGGATTCCTACAATGTGAACAGAGAGAAGCAGCTATTGGATACATTGGAGCGTATAGTTTGAGTGGGGAAAGATGGGGAATTCTCGAGGTGCATGAAACATGCATACGAGAACTTCATCAAATTGAAATAGAGGACGTTTGGAGGGGTATCCCATAACTTTCGAATCTATGAAATGTATCTTAATATTCAAAGATGATTATTGTATGTCTGTATATTAGAAAACCATGAATTCAAGCTCATTTAATTTAAGTTCTCGGTTCAATCGATTGCTCTGATTCTTCCCTTTTCTCTCTAAGCCATGGCCACAGGTCTGCTCTGTCTAATCACTAGTCTAGGCGTCATGCTTCTTTTCCATCCCCTCAGTTAGCTACATAGCGTTCTTGGATGAACCGGTCTGCTCGCATATTAGCATAGTCAGTTCAAACGATCTCCTGTAAGCCTCCTTCACCCCGATGGGGCAATTTAAGCCGCACATATATTGCGTGCCCGACCAAATCACCAACCCCAGTATCGTCAACCGGAGGGTTGACGTAACCATCACTTCTCCGAACTCAACCATTATCGACTTCTTCGCGCCAAAAGAGTTATCACCTGGATTGCGGACGCCCACTTTTGATGGAGCAAAATGGCAAGATGACTTTCATGCGCGCAAAAGACAATCCTAACTCATCGGAGTCTAGCTCCCCGGAGCACGACCATGCCAACAACGCGGGGAAAGAAGACGTGGCCGGCCATCGCTGCGACTTCCCTGGCTGCCATAAGTCCTTTTCAAGGCGAGAACATCTGTCGCGTCATCAACTCAATCACTATCCAAAGAAGGTGTATCGGTGTGAGTGGGATGGTTGCTCCAAGACGTTTGTCAGGAACGATCTGTTACAAAGGCATCTCAAAAGACATAAGGACAAGGAGCAGAAACGTTCTTCCAAGCGACATCAGATCGGAAAAACTTTGGATAGACACAATTCAGTTGGTGATGATGTTGGGACTGGGCAGAGTGATTCGGAAGATGATAGGCCCATGACAGTGGTTCCAAAGACTGAGAGTTTCCAGGTTGACGAACTGCCGCCCGAGGGTTCCAGCTCAAAGAGTCTAATCTCATGGCTGTTCAATGATTCAGAGCGAGATAGTGGAACAGATTCGAAGTCTTCGACGGCAGATGCGGGTCTTGGAAGTCTTTCCTATCCCACAAATGGGGATCTCTTCTTGACTGGACCATTTGATATCAGCCCGAATGCAATGATGGGGCTTTTACAGAATGTCAATACTTCGACGACGAACTCTCCGGCACCAGATTTGTTTCCTGACCATGACAGATCAATAATCTCGCGTTTAACTGAGTCCAAAGTCGCAGAATTGGGCCAGACAATAACGGATATCCAAAAGAACTCCAACTTCACCCTCAAAAGGCTAGAGAGGATGCTAGACATGTACTGGAACTTCTTCCACCCCAGGTTTCCGATTCTACACAAGCCCACGTTTGTGGCAGCTGACTCTCCGCCGGTTTTGCTGCTTGCAATGGCGATGATGGGCTCAAAGTTGGCTGGATGCGTCTCAGAACAGGTCAATGATATCGATCAGCAGATTGACAAACCCAGCGAGTTTGCTCTTGCCATTGCAAAGCCATTGAGGTGGCTCATTTTTTCATCCCCACACTTCCATCCACCGGCCAAAATATGGATTATCCAGAGCCTTTTGATTCTGGAATTCTACGAGAAAAACTGTTCCATACGCGAGATGCACGAAAGGGCCCATCTTCATCACGGCACAACCGTGCAGCTTTTGCGAAGAAGCCCTTCTCTTGGTGGAAACCCTTTCAAGCTGGACGAGATGGAAAGCTCCGAAAATATATATAACAAGTGGATCGAAGCAGAATCCATGAAACGATCAACGCTTATGTGCTTCTATATGGACGCTATTGATGCGATTTCTTTCGGTCACCAAATTTTGATTTATGCTCACCAGATCCAGATGACGATGCCGTGTGATGACTCGCTGTGGGAGAATGCACTGACTGCAAACCCAGTCAAGCCTGTAAACGGCAACGTACACTTTCTGGTTGCGCTCAAAAACCTCTTGAACGGTATCCCCGTAAAGACCAATTCGTTTGGCAAGAAAGTGCTCGTTAGTGGAATTTGCTCCATAATGTACCAGATGCAACAGCGTGAATTGCAGGCTTCTTTTGGATTGGATGGAAAAGGCTCATCATCCGGAAACTGGAGACAGATGCTGATTGCAGCGTTTGCCGTTTGGAGAAATGATGTTGGTGGCTCTTGTTGCAGTTCACGGACAGCCATTGAGAACACCTCTTCAGCGCAAACCAGTCTTCTCGCTGAAAACCAGAACGATATCCGGTCGCCTCAGTTCTCGGAGAGTGACACGCGCTGCAAATGTATTGCGTATCACATGGCACATATTTTTATGAGCATTTCCCACTACGATTTCATGATTTTCGCTGGTGCTCCGTGGCGGATGAACGTGAAGCCAACTTTAGCAGACCGCCAGGCAATCTCCAAACGTGTATACGATTGGTCCAAGAGCGAGCATGGAAAAATATGTGCCCTGCAGTCGTATCTATTACTTTGGGAGATGTTTTTGAGTCCACAAGATGGAAAATATGAGTTTAATTACGAATATGACGCAAGTACTGATATCTTCTTCAGGTCGAATGTGGTTGGACTGTGCGTGATCGTTCTATGGTGCTACAATTTCTGTAATTACGGCCCAGAATCGTACTTTTTGTCCATCGAAGGCGAAGCTGAAGACGGCGTGGCCAAAGCGGAACAACGTGAAGATGGGTACCATTATCTGCGCAGAATCCGCACTGAGATGACCGGATTGGCTGGAGGAATCTGTTTGCACACTTGGTACAGCAACATGAGCGGAAACGTGTTTTACAACGCGCTGAAACGACATGCGTCGATCTTGCTGGATGTGAAGAATAAGGAGTATATTGTGGGACTATGCCAGATGGTGAGCAAAATGTTATGGGATGCGGACTATTCTGTGGCCAGAGAGCATGCGCGGTTGCTCCAGCATTGTGCTGAGCGCAGCATGGGCTCACATCGCATAGTCAAAGAGGACATGTATATGTAAAAACAAGATTACGAAAGAGCGACAAATCATCGTATACGAGCGGAGGCTATGTATTTTTGGGGTTGAAATTGCGCGCTGCGCCCAATACACTAGTTGAATATTCGTCTTCAACGCTATTTTCAACATGCATACCCAATTAGGAAAGATCTCTTTTGGGTTATGGACGTTGACTCGTCCCGAGGGTACCCTTACATGGCCGAGACGGAAATCTAAGAGATATCGCGAAGTGGAAGGCCATGTGATAGCAAGAATACAAATATAGGTAATAATCCGGACGACTGCAGACGGCTGTTCGTGGAAATTGAGACCGATCCACCTCCCCTGATTGCAAACCCAGGTCCCTGGTTAAAAAATTGTCCTCTGCACGATGTTTACCCCTGTCCCAAATCTAATCTACAGAGTTCGATATAACAGCTACATCTAGAGAACAAAAAACTTTAGTTTCTCACATTTCCTTCACATATTGTGGAAATTTTGCATAATCCAACTAAATCTACTCCCTCATAAGCCTGAAATCTGACTTCTACCGCCCTCACCGCTGTGGCACCTATGGTCACCATACGTGCACAGACCAATTGGTGATTTGCGGAGAAACGCAAGTGCGCTGTTGTAGGTGCATTGTCATGGGGTATGACCGTTCATGTTGTGCTCGTTCTGCTTCTTTCGAAATCTTCACAACCAAATCACTCGCATATCCTCTTGGTCGTATTAGCCTATTCTACATGCCGGAAGGTTCTAGCGCGCAAGATTCTCATCTGCTGGGCCCTGAGGAGGTGCAGGCGGATGAGGACCATTCCTTTATTAGCAACGCCAACACAGCAACCACTTCCGATCGCATAGAAGACCAGTTGAACACGGTGATCAATCCGCATCGCTCCACGTTCTATATCATTGTGCTGACGATTGTTGTCGGCAGTTTACAGTTGGCTTGGTCGACAGAGTTCTCAGAGGGAACACCTTTCTTGCTATCTCTTGGTATCTCAAAGCAGGTTCTGGCACTGATTTGGATTGCAGGTCCAATCTCGGGAACTGTTGGTCAGCCTATTGTTGGAATTTTCAGTGACAAGTGCAATGCAGCAATTGGAAGACGAAAACCGTTTATTCTGGGTGGATGTGCTGCCACGGCGTTCTCGCTGTGGTACCTGTCGCACTCCACTTCGATAGTAGGTTTTTTCGTGCGCGGAGCAGATCAGGATAGGATCAACCGAATTGCAGTGCCATTTGCAGCCTTTGGTGTGTACATGCTGGACTTTTCGATAAGTGTAATCCAGGCCTCCAGTAGAGCTTTCATCGTTGATTGTGTGCCCACGGACCAGCAGCAGATTGCCAATGCCTGGGCAGCAAGGTCTATAGGATTGTTCAACATTGTGGGGTTCTGGCTGGGAACAGTGGATCTCACGCGCCATCTGAGTTTCTTTGGGGACACTCAGTTCAAGGTGCTTGCGACTGTAGCGGCGATTTTCCTGACTGTTTTGACATGTGCGGCGTGTTGGTATGTTAAGGAACGGAATCCGCAGACGGATATCGCAATCCGCGCGGAAAGAAGGAAACACCACAGGAAACTGATCGCTATGGGCATAGACGACGACAATCTAAATGTTTTCACGGCGATTGTGTCACTCTTCAAACAAACGGTCCATTCGATCAGAAAACTACCGCCCCAGATTAAGATCGTTTGCTATGCCGAGTTTTTTGCTTGGATTGGCTATTTCCCTATGTTGTTCTACACGACTACGTATGTGGGTGAGCTGTATCTCTATGAAAACGGTTACTCCAATCCTTCGAGCTTGCCTCCAGAGCAGAGACAACCTCTTCTGGACGAGGCTACCAGACGCGGCACCTTAGCCCTGCTGTTGCACGCAATAACCACGCTGGCTGTGGACCTTGTGCTTCCTCTGTTGGTATCGCCCCATTCAAGTGCTGTTCAGACCCATTCTTGTGATTCAGCTTGGTATAGATTCAAGACATTTGTCCAAAGCGTCTCCGTGATCAAGACTTGGGTTGTGAGCCACGCTGTGTTCATTCTGTGCACACTTTCCACATTCTGGATTTGGAATTCGAGGAATGCCATCATCATGTTCGGTTTCTTGGGGATTCCATGGGGTGTTGCGCTGTGGGCGCCTTTCGTGTTAATTAGTGAGGAAGTAAGTCGCATCAAGGACATCAAGGCTCGTGCTGCAGTCGTTGCAAATCAGTACCATCACCATTCGCGTTCCCGCCAGTTTGACGATGATGATGCTACGTTCAACCCTCACGTTTCGCCTCAGTTGGATAGTGACTTTGACTACTCATCTCTTGATCCTTCGGTCTTATCCGGAATCAATGGTGTTATGGGAAAGTACTCAGCTGTGGTCCATCCGAAGGTAGTGGCCAAATATGACCACATGGAACACGAATCTGGAATCATCCTTGCCATTCATAATGTTTACGTTGCTGCACCACAGATCATCAGCTCGCTGGCGAGTAGTCTGCTCTTCCGCCTGCTTGCCTTGAAGAAAGGAGAAGAGGGTTTCGACGATAGTCTGGGATGGGTGTTTAGATTTGGTGGATTAGCTGCAATTGGTGCTCTTGTGCTGAGCATGAGGGTGAAAACCAATGAGCAGCTAATGGAGGAGGACTGGGAGGAATCGCAAGCTTGAAGGATGAGGTCTTTGGTGAAAATATGAGGGTACTATCACTGGTGTTCCGGCTGATTGTCAAGCCCAGAAAAAACCCTCTTTTTTGCCCTCTTTTTACGGAGTCGCATCGGATGTGACTGCTGCAGTTAAAAGTGGATAGGCATGGGTTTTCCGGGTTTCGCTTGGTTCAATCCGGTATTTAAAGGCCATATCCGCAGCCTTCGAACGCTGTATAGGTAGAAAAAGGACATTTGTGTTTGCTCGCCTGTAGGTTCCCTTTTTGAATATGGTTTCTACACTACCCGTACGGCCCCCGCGCCAAGTTGCTTAACGGCAATCCCAAGCGACCTAACCTTGTTCTTTTAAATCGCACGTTTTGCTGGTCTTTTCTCTTGTCATTTCTTCTCCTTGCTTCGAGTTGTCTTTTGATTTTCCTCTTCGTTTTGCATGACCCAGTTCCGAGTGTCCAGTACCGTGCCCAAGCTACTGCTAGGTTCTAGAGCGATTTCCGCCTTATGGGCTCATCGCATTGCCGCATCGTCACCCCACGCCAATTACAAAAGGACGGTTGCCCAGCTTTCAGCACCTTTGGTGCCTCCTGGACTGAAAAATGAGCCAATAAAGAGTTTCGGCAAGGAGTCCACTGTTGACTGGGATCTTTTACGAGAGTCAATTATCAAATTGACCGACAATGGCCCTCTGGAAATCCCTGTGATTGTTGGAGATAGCGAAATTTATGCTGCCAGTTCGAACAGACTTGTCTACAACCAGCATAATCCTGGAAACCACGCCCAAATTTTGGCCAATGTAACTCAGGCAAATGCTGAGGATGTAAGGGTAGCTGTTGAAGCTAGTTCTGCTGCTAAAGAAGCTTGGTTAAACACTCCATTTGTGGACCGTGCGGCGGTATTTTTGAAGGCTGCCGATCTGATCTCTACAAAGTACAGATACACGATGTTGGCTGCCACAATGCTTGGACAGGGGAAGAATGTTTACCAGGCTGAGATTGACTGTATTGCCGAGCTTGTGGACTTTTTCAGGTTCAACGTGAAGTATGCCCAAGAGCTCTACTCGCAACAGCCTATTGAGTCTACTCCCGGTGTTTGGAACAGAGCTGAATACAGACCTTTGGAAGGATTTGTATATGCTGTTACTCCATTCAACTTTACAGCTATTGCTGCGAATCTGGTGGGTGCACCAGCTCTGATGGGAAACACGGTGGTTTGGAAACCGTCTTCCTATGCCACGCTTTCAAACTACATTCTTTTTCGCATTCTTCAAGAGGCCGGATTGCCTTCCGGGGTGATCAATTTTGTACCTGGAGAGCCTAACATGGTGACTGATGAATTAATTAATGATCCCAGGTTTGCCTCGTTGCACTACACAGGTTCGACTGCAGTCTTCCTGAATCTGTACGCAAAAATCACTGCCAATCTAACCAGTGGGAAATACAGAGATTTCCCAAGGATTATCGGCGAGACCGGTGGAAAGAATTTTCATGTTGTTCACGAGTCAGCTGCTGTTGAAAATGCAGCCCTTAACACTCTGAGAGGTGCTTTTGAGTACCAGGGTCAAAAATGTTCTGCAACTTCCAGAGTCTACGTCTCGGAGTCTGTGTGGCCAAAATTTTCCCAGATCTTGCTGGAAAACGTATCAAAATTGATTCCCACAAACACCTCTGCTGTCAAAGGTCTTCAATCCTTTATTGGCCCGGTCATTCATGAAAATTCATTCGATAAGCTTGCTGACGTGATTGATCAAGCCCAAACTGACCCAGAGCTGGAGATACTATATGGCGGACAGTACGACAAGAAGCAAGGCTATTTTGTCCAGCCCACAGTAGTGAGAACTTCAAATTTGGAACATGATTTTCTGAAACGTGAGTTCTTTGGGCCCGTTTTGACTGTTCATGTGTTCAAAGACGCAGAGTACGAGTCCATCCTAGAATCGATCGACTCCAACACGAATTATGCATTGACAGGCTCAATTTTTGCGAACTCCAGAACAGCCATCCGGTTAGCTGAGGAAAAACTGAGATATTCCGCAGGAAACTTTTACATCAACGACAAATCCACGGGTGCTGTTGTCGGCCAGCAATGGTTTGGCGGTGCGAGAATGAGCGGCACTAACGACAAGGCTGGTGGGTCTAACATACTGACGCGTTTCACGTCGATCAGAAACGTTAAGGAGAACTTTTATGAATTGGCCGATTATAAGTATCCGTCCAACTTCTAAGAGCGAACAACGCAAGAATTATATTAAATATTTCACTATTATTATCCAAGAAGACGTTCATCTCATTGTAGTGTGTGGTACACAAAACGCGGGGCAAAGCTGATTATCTAAGCAAGCAGGGCTCTAAATTGGCCAGGTGGAATGACAAGCCAGAAGCGTTTGAGAAAGCAAACAACGCCACACCACGCGCGAATATACACATTCACAAAATCACATTCACGATGTCCTCCGGAACAGAATCACCAGAACTGACTCTCGACAAATTGGCAGAGCAGGTCACCAATCTCGCAGGCCTGGTCTCCAGACAGGGCAAAGTGCTTAGCAAGACAGGCGAGCAGGTGCTCGAGATGCAAATAAAGGGCACCAAAGCTGAGGTCGATGCAATTGAGGTGCCCACATTGCGTGGAGAACGCTCGAAGCAGGTCCAGCCTACTGTTGATACAACTGATTTTGTTACAAATGAAGATATAGTTCAACTGGTTGGAGAGTTGCAAGGCCAACTTGATATCTTGGAACAGAGAACCATCAGACGTACCGTGAACTCCGGTCTTGTGGCTCAGGATGCCATTGTTGCTCCACAGTTGAATATGGATGGCTTGGAGCCAAGTCCTGGAACATTCCCCAAGACCTTGGGTGGATTCAACGCTCTCACCGATGCGGATCTCGTCGATCTCTGCACGTTCTACGATCTGTTGCCTCCTAACGAAGAGCAAGAACAGAGAATGAACGAGTTTATGAGCGGTGAGGCAGAAACACCAAATTTGGAAGATCTGCGAATTGGTGCGAAGCCAGAAGATTATGATCAGAAGGAATTGGACTCGTTGTTTGACGAGTTGGCGAGGTATATTGGTGTGAGAAGCAGAAGGACTGAGGGCGCTTGGTAAAATACAAGAGCCTGAAACTGGGTTTAGCAATACGCCGGTGGATACCTTATTGATGTTGCATGGTTTAGCGAAGATACAGAAATTGGTTGGGCTGCCCGGATGTTGTTGTTGCCTACTTGAAAATTGATCATATTGCAACCCTAGGTGTTAGTGATCTGCTATCGATCACAATTATAGCTGTGGCCATGCAGAGTCAAATGAGCGTTCAGTTAAAGATCTAAACTAGTAAACAGTCCGGAAAGGCATTTGTCACTTCGCGATGAAAGTTCACTTGCATCATTTCATTAACGGCATTCTTATATATTTTTCATCATGTTTCCTTTTGCTCTCTTTTCAACCTTACTCAAACAACTCCCTATACGCAGAAGGTATAAACTTGTGTATATCAGAGGTCTGTAAAGCCCGTCCGTGCTCCTTAAATGCCAGATTTGCAGACCTTCTGTTGGTGATGGAGCCTCCAAAGCACGCCGTCATCAAAATATCTTGCTCCGTCAAAAAAGGCTCATTTTTTGATTCCGGATACAGTCTGTTTTTATAAGCACCAAAACCCCACGCGACAAACCCGGAAATCAGGCCCGTCAGCGAGTCTCCTTGGCCGCCTACTCGTTTGTTGGAACCCTCTTCGTCCACCGATATCGACAGATCACCTGAGACTATCTTGTCAATTGCACCTTTCTGGAATACCACAACATCTCCAAGTGATTTTGATACTTTTATGGCTGCTTTGGGATCTTCCGGATCGATTTCAAGTGCTTTGCAGATTCGTGCGAACTCCACCACGTTAGGAGTGATAATTGCTCGACCATAGCCTTTGAGTATGTCAGGGTCCTCTGAGAGCAAAAATAACGAGTCAGCATCCATTATCACCGGAATTTCTCGTTCTCTGAGTTCACGGACGATCAAACGAAGCGTTTCCAGCATGGCTGGGTCTCTTCCCAAACCGGGTCCCACCACTACAACGTGTATTCTTTGCAGCAAAGCCCTCACTTTGGGCAGAACATGAATATCAATAAATTTCGCTCTTTCAGCCCCTTCTGGTAATTTGGAACTATCCTTCAAGTAAGGGTGAACCATAAGGTCTGGCGAATAAGACTTGATGATTGGTGCGGCGCTTTCTTCGCAGATCACGTGTGTCAAGTCAACGCCTAGTAGGGCCGCCGCATGGGCCGAGAAGAACGGGGCACCGGTATAGCTATGGCTCTGTTAGAAAGGGAATATTGGGACAAAACACAACAAAATTCCGGCACTTACTCTTCACACCCGCCGATTACCGCAATTCTGCCCGCTGTAGCTGGTTAGTACGAATGCCATGGTGTGACGGGTTGTAGCAGGGGATGAAAAACTCACCTTGACCCTTGTGGAAAGACGGAAGAAGCGGAGGGATAATGTGCTTGGTCAAAGAGACCAGTTGATCTTTCAAAACAGGACCTTTGAACATTTAATAGGCAATTGGTGACATACAGCACGGTGAAGAACCGCAACAAGATGGAGGTTAGCTGAGGCTAGCTGGGGCTCCTGCGAATCGAGATTAGTTTTACGTGTGTGGCTCAAGTCTTGCGTGCTCCGCCCAATCCGAACGATTGCGTAATCAGTCTGCCCCGGCCAATTGGATCTTATGTGAGCTTGCTTCCAATAACTGACTAATTGACCCCGTCTGCTACAAATCATTCGCCCCCTAGGTCTTTCATTATAGACATGCTCTCATCAATTAGCATCAAAAAACTGACTACCCGCTTCATTGTACCTGCAATTGGCTTATCGGCATCTATCGGCTATTACCACACGCTTAACAACATGGCTCCGATTTCAAACGATTCGCCAGTCACTTTCGTCGGAGGTGACGACTGGATTGACCTTAAAGTCAAGAAAATCGTCGATGTGACCCACGACACCTACAAGGTGTTCTTCGAGCTTCCTTCTCCAGAGCACGTGTCCGGATTGGTGACTGCCTCTGCATTGTTGGCTAAGTATGTCACTCCTAAGGGCTCCAATGTGATCAGACCTTACACTCCTATCTCCGAGATTGGGGAAAAGGGCGAACTTGAGTTTGTGATCAAGAGATATGAGGGCGGAAAAATGTCCAACCACATCAAGGAATTGAAGCCCGAAGATACCCTTTCCTTCAAGGGTCCTATCGTCAAGTGGAAATGGCAACCAAACCAGTTCAAGGAGATTATTCTCCTTGGTGGTGGTACCGGAATCACTCCATTGTACCAATTGGTTCGTGAGATTGCTCAGAACCCTGAGGACAACACCAAGGTGAAGCTTTTCTACGGAAACAAGACTCCTAAGGATGTACTTCTCCACGACGAGCTCTCCAGCTTGGCCTCCAAGTACCCAAAGCAGGTGTCTATTGTCCAATTTGTTGATACACCAGATGAAACCTGGAAGGAGAGCGTTGGTTACATCAGTGCTGATTTCTTGAAGGCTAATTTGCCTCAACCCTCTGAGGACGTTCACATTTTTGTGTGTGGTCCTCCAGGTCTGTACAACGCTCTTTCTGGTCCAAAGGTATCTCCAACCGACCAGGGTGAGTTGACCGGAGCCTTGAAGGAATTGGGCTTCAACAAGAACCAGGTGTTCAAGTTCTAACTGGAATAGACTCAATGCGTGAAATACGCTAGCTAAAATGGCTGTTATGGTCCGATAAATCATGGTTTTGATACATTTTTGACCGTAGAATTTGAAACACCGCTACAGAAGAACATTGAAAAAAAAACCCCCCGTATTAATCTAATTTCCCTTCTCTATTCATTTTTTGTCTCCTGCATTAACCTTTATCTTTGCCTCTCGATTCTCCTTCTTGAACACATCCGCCTTTTTAAATCCAAGCTTGTTTGAATCCGGTTTGGCTATCTTGAAAGCCCCGAAGTCTGGCTTGATCCTCATGCCACACTTCATGATCGTCCTTGGAGGATCCGAAACTTTAGATATAGACAGCTTGATTGGCTCGTGATTCGCATCCCTGAGCCTTTTATTAACAGACTTTTCCTCTTCTTCCTCCACATGATTTCTCTTTGCCCTGTTGATCTGCTCTTGTAACCTGGCAAGGCTCGATTCCTCATCCGTCTTCACCGATTGTTTCTGTTTCCCCAATTCTTTTCTTCGTATGGCCTCAGACGACTTGTCTATGTACGCTATAGTGAACTTTTCTCCACTTAGCTCTTCCTCTTCTTCTTCGTCTTCTTCCTCATTCTCGTCCAAATCAGTCTCTTCCTTTCCATGTTCTATCACGGTACAGATGCCCGAATCGCCCAAATGCTTCACAAACTGGCTCAGCGCCTTCCACTTCGTGGAATTCATATGTATGTGTTCTTTGTTCCCAATATATTCTTGGTAAAACCTGTTCGCACCTATCTCCTTCTCGCCGTGAGACATCTTGAGCAGTCTCACAAAATCATTCTGGAATTGCTTGGAATAATCTTCGATCATGTTTCTCCGTTTCATTGGATCCTGAGCAAGCTCCTTGACCTTTCGCAGGTGCGACGGCGACTCAATATGACATTTGAAGCCGTTGTCGTCTCTGCACTGCTTCTCGCAGATTTGGCAGTAGAATTTCAGCTTTGAAAGGCCCTTTGCCTTCATTTTATTGGCCACATATTTAGCCGTTCCGAACTCAGCCTTTCCCATTTGGATGTTTTGTGGCTGGAAATATTTTGAAAATTGTGGAGTTTTCTGGAAAACTGAACCAAAGATGAGGTTCAGACAGTAGATAGAGAAAAAAGAACAGATAATATCTGATATCAAAATGGTTATGTTGCCCCGTGCTTCCTAATCCGAGGTCCAAAATGGAGTATTAGTTACGCTAAAGCCTGAGCCCTCTAAGCCTCTCTATACGCAACGTGCAAATTAGCATTTTTTTGGCTTTCCCATTGAGCATGATGTTTCGGTTCCAGCGACCAGCTTCGCGATTGTTTAGTTCTCATGCAGGCTTGTTTGCCAAATACAAGACGTTTGGAAGTAACTCCTACAGCAGGAACGGAGTGCAGTTTAAATGGACTCCCCAGGTTCGCAGAAACGTATATATTGGGTCTGCAGCGTTGATATTGTTCATAGGGATGAACCTGGATGAAGCTCCGGTTTCTGGCCGACTAAGGGTGCTTTGGGTGCCCAAATGGCTCGAGCGCAGGGTTGGAGATTACGGATATAGATCTGTGCTATCTGAGTTCAGAGGGTCTATTTTGCCGCCATCAGACCCCAGATCGGTCCAGGTGACAAGAGTAATGTCGCGCATTATTGAGGCTGCTAAGAAAGAACAAAGTAAACACGAAGGACTCGGGTCCAAAGGCCATTCTGTGCCTCTTCATGATGGGGCCACTGTGGGCCATCACGAGGATGACGGAGTGGATTGGAAAATACACGTGGTGAACGACCCTAGCCAGCCTCCGAACGCGTTTGTTTTGCCCAACGGGAAGGTTTTTGTCTTCAGCTCGATTCTGCCGATTTGCCAGAACGAAGATGGACTGGCCACCGTTTTGTCGCATGAGTTCTCTCACCAATTGGCTCGCCACACCTCAGAAAACCTGTCCAAATCGCCTCTTTATACTGTCGCGGGTATTTTGCTATACTCGATAACGCAATCTGCTGCCTTGAACAACCTCATGGTGAGCACCCTGCTGCAGATGCCAGCCTCCAGGAAGATGGAAACTGAGGCAGACTACATCGGGCTGATGCTCATGTCCGAGGCGTGCTTCGATCCAAACGAGGCTCCGAAATTATGGCAAAGGATGACCAAGTGGGAGGAGTTGCAGATTGCCAAAAGCGGTAGAGGAAGAGCCCCCGAGTTCATGAATACTCATCCTGATAGCAAGAGAAGAATACAGAACATGCTGCAATGGCTTCCAGAGGCCGAAAGGAGGCGGGAGAATGCCGGTTGCTCGGGTTTCTCACTTTTCAAGCCGTTTTAGTCACGTCTTTCATGCCTGCGCACACATGTATATAGTCGAAACAATAGAAATCATCTGTGCTTGATCAGGGCTGACTGGGTACATCCAGGCATCTCCAAGCCTCCAGCAGCCACCAATATCTAGTTTATTCCGCAATTATTCGTGTAGTTAAACCTTCTGATAATGCATTATTGGAAGTACTGTTCTGTTCAGGGGTAGTGTACCTGCTGATTATGCACTGCCTTCTTCACTCCAGGGTGAACGGCTGTAAGCATGCCTAAAGCGCACGGGATTACACACCATAACACCGGTACCTCTGCGCTTTTCTCCCTCAAATATTTGCTATGTGTATGAGAAGACCCACACATATATATTACGACATGTCCTCGAACAAGCAGTTAGAAAAAAACACATCATCCGAAATGTCGCAACCACTATACAGTCTAGTGGACTTCAAGCAGATGGAATACGATGATGCCATTGACCCAGACAACATGGAGCAGTACGAGCCAAAGATATACAAGGTGGTACCATTGTACGGAATACCAGTCCAGCAGGATGAACCACCGGCTTATGTTGCGAATGCGGATGAAGAGCTCGAGCTCAGCGAGAAGCTCGAGGGGCTACCATTGCCGGTAACAGCCGCGAGAACACTAAATGAGGAGCAGAAACAGCAGAGAGTGCGAAATGCAAGACTGTATCGTCTGATTGTGGTGTTGTTATTTTATCTACTTTATTCAGGTGGGTGCGGCGATGGACAAGAGGAGACAGGGCTTCCTTGAGGGTTGAAAACCGGCCAGGGCGATTTAGCAAAGACTATGGCTTGAGTTTGACAGTTAAACGAAGCCTTGAATCTTCAGCTTTCCGTTTTCAGAGTTGGTGGGGTGGATAACTTTGTGCCCTGATTCACTTTCCACAATTCATTCTACATTTATAGGCTATATTTCATTTTCATATCCAGCTCATAGGATCAAGCTTTAATTTGAACTAAAACTAAAAGGCATAGTTGTGATGGGAGTGGCGAGTGGCGTTCATACCAATTGGAACTTGCTGTTGGAAACTAACTGCAGATCCAGCTAGCTTCTGACTAGAGTTTCTGACAAGTTTCCCGCTTGTAGCTAGAGCCTTTTACTAAAGCTTCGAACCAGATAGCCCAAGAGCCTTTGCATGATGTGCAGCATGGTCCTTCGTAAAAGAACTGATGAAGTAATACGAATGGTCATATCCCTCTACAAGGTTCAACTTGACCAGTCCATCGAACTTGGTGCCCTTGGAAGCAGCAACCAAATTCTCTGGAAGAAGTTGTTTGGCCTTGTAGAAGTTATCGGCGAGACCCGTGTGGATCAAGATCCCCTCCTTAGGAACTGGACCATTATACTTGGAGATTAACTCGGAGGGATCATATTTGGCCCATTTGGCCTTATCTGGACCCAGGTAGTTGCCAAAGTTCTTCTCTCCCCATGGACAATTGGAAGGGTTCGAGATAGGTGAAAACGCAGAAACCGACTTGAACTTTCCAGGATTTTGCAGGAACATCGAGAGTGCCCCGTAGCCGCCCATAGAGTGGCCGGTGATGGAAATATTGCCGAAATCAAGTCCTTCAAAGTCCGAGGCCAATGAGGGCAACAGTTCTTTAAGCACATAAGAGTACATTCTGTAGTTCTCCTTCCACTTTTCAGTCTCAGCATCAACGTAGAAGCCAGCACCAGTGCCAAAATCCCACGAATCGTCTTCTCCCTCTATTCCTGCACCTCTTGGTGAGGTGTCTGGGAAGACCACTGCAAAGCCGTACTCGTTGCTGTATGGCTGCCAAAAGGCCTTTTCGGAGGCATTGTTGGGTGTGCAAGTCAATCCAGACAGATACAGTAAAACCGGTAGTTTTTTGGCTTGCGACTGAAAAAATTGGGCAGGGAGATACACATTAACATCCATGTTGGTCTTGGTCTCCTTGGAGGCATGCGAGAGTTTGAGCAGCTTTCCACCAAAGGTGGTGATCTCTGCTTCGGTCTTGAAAATCTTGGACATATTGGGGATTAGAGCAATTGAAACAATTCAAGAGGAAAACTGGTTAAAAAAAGCAGGAAAGAAGCAAACTAAAAGGGTCTATATGCCCATAGGCTACTTGCCCACCTCCGTTCCTGATTCAAGCGGGATATCAATGCCCAATCGGGTTTGGGAATCTGCATCGGCATCAAAACTGTGTGATAACCATTTTATCACGTGACTAATTTAAGAACGGTCGTGTTATTTCGAATTAGGGTGTTTGTCCCTCTGTCGACCACGGACAAGGGGAGGGGGGTCACGAAAGAACTGCTGTATTCCCTCGAAATACTTCAAAAACGGTCTCTTTGCGCGCTGTTTTTTTGCGGCATATTGTGGTCTAGGTTGAATTATTTGTTTTGAGTTGCCTTGGTGGAAGCTGGAAACCCCTTTGACTGAAACGGCTACAATCTCAAATTAGTGTGGCGGTGTTGTGATTCTAACATCACGGAAAGTACGCGATCTAAACCCATATCTTTGGAAGCAAGCCGCTAAAATGTCGGATTCCCACAGAGTGACATCTATTGCGGTGCCGGAGTTTGTGACGGTGATCATTGCCAAAGTTGTTTCAGAGTTCCACTCGTCGATTACTCTAATACAGAGACTTCCAGGAGGGAGTCTCATTATCAGGTACATCAGATCGTCTTATAAAAATGATCCAATTAGATCGTTGTTTGAGCTGGCGCTTGCTCTTTTGGCATTGTACTACTTTTTCAGTTCCAGATACTCTCAGTCGGAACAGGAGATGATCAAGCTGTCCAACAGAGACGTGGACGAGCTTGTGGACGACTGGATCCCCGAGCCTTTGGTTCCTCCAATTGGTGATAATGAAAGGTGGCAGGTTGACTCGATCCCTGTCACCAAGGGTGGAATTTCGGGCAGGATCACTCTGCTGACGCCGCAAGGCACCGAGCTCAAGAACGTGATGAACCTGAGCTCCAGAGACTATCTGTCTATGAGTACCAACAAACTGGTTGCAGAGAATTGCAAAGCCGTGATCAACAACTCCGGAGTTGGAGCATGTGGTCCACCCAACTTCTACGGAACCCAAGATGTTCACGTGAGATTTCAAGAGGACATTGCTGGATTCCTCGGGGCAGAGGAAGGAATCATTTATGGACAGGATTTTGCGACGCATTCCTCGGTTCTACCTGCATTTTTGAAAAGAGGAGACATCGCTGTTGTAGACGGCGGTGTCAGTGTTGCACTGCAGAAGGCTGTGTTGATTTCGCGTTGCTCTATTGAATGGTACAACCACAACGACATGGACCATCTGGAACAGGTGCTAGACAGCTTGAAGGAAGAGTTGTCTGAGGGACCAATTACGAGGCGGTTCATAGTCACTGAAGGTTTGTTCGATAACTTTGGTGACTCGCCAGATCTGGCTAAAATCGTGGAATTGAAGAACAAGTACAAGTTCAGACTCTGCCTTGACGAGACCAACTCCATCGGTGTTCTTGGACCAAACGGAAGAGGTCTTCCCGAGCAATATGGAATCCCAAGATCCATGATTGACGTCACTATTGGTTCCATGGCGCTTGCGTTGGGTTCCTCGGGTGGATTCTGCGTTGGTTGTACTGCCATGATCCAGCACCAGGTTCTGAGTTCGAACGCGTATGTTTTCTCTGCCGCGTTGCCGCCTTATTGCGCCAAAGCCGCTTCAACAGTGCTCAAGTTGCTGGAGCAAGACCCCAAGCCGCTCACTAAACTTCAGTCCAATTGTCAATACGTTCACGATCTCTTCTCTAAAACTAGAGAACTTTCTAAGTTCGTGACGGTGGTTTCCAAGCCTTATTCCCCAGCCTTGCATCTCAGAATTAGCCCAGCCATCCGTGAAGCCCTGGAATTACCCGAAAGTTATGGAGGTCCCGGCTCGAAGATCGCCAAAGCCGTCAAGCAGGGCAAGGAAGAGGATTATTTCGACGAATTGTACAACAGAGAGTCTTATCTTTTGCAGAAGATAATAGATTCTGTTCTAGAGCATGGCATCCTGATCTCGAGATCAAAGCGGATTTTGCACCACGAGATTCTGCCCATAGTTCCCGAGCTGATTGTGTCCATCACAAACGAGTTCTCCAAAGACGAGCTCAAAAAGGCTTTTGCGGTGATCAATAAGGCCATTATTGGCCATCTCAAGGACCTGAACCTTGATGAATTCGACAGCTTGATTTAATAAAAATCCCTTCAAGTCTGTCTGACCAAGTTTATGATCATATCCATCATTTTTGAACATATCTAGTTGAATATACGTTACATATACCAATCCAACTGATCTCACCGTACGCTCGTGGGCTACATCGCGTCCTAAAACGGCACTAGAGTGGCTAGGGTGGTGTTTCTCTTCCTCTCTGCTGTTGGCAAGGCTGAACCATCAAAGTAAATACCGCTCCTGGTTGTTAGAACGCAGTCAGTTCAGCATAGGACAAAAGAAGTAGTGTATTCACGAAACTCTCTAGTTTTGTCGTGCGGCTCACGATATCGATGACGTCTCATCTCTATGCGGGCTTCTTATCAACAGTGGCACTTCACAAACAATTAGTTGGCCATCTTTTCTAGCCATCAACGAATCATTCTGTCACAGTGTTTGAACTTTTAGATTTGAAGCCTCATGGAGGGTTGCAGTTTTTTCCTTCGTGTAAAGTGTTCATGGTTACACAGTCTTGTGGGAGGTTGGAAGGAGCGCGGTTTGAAGAGTCTGGGGAGAGTAGGCACCAAGCAGTGAAAGCGCCTGGGAAACATGAAGACCATGTTGCACCTTTAGTTAATGATCCATTGATATCCTTTTCTTCCAATGATGTCCTCAAAGGGATTTCCTTTGATACGCTGACTGAGCTGGAGAAATGGGCTACAGAGACCCCCACACCATTGCAGAAAGTGGTGGAAGCCTTCAACACCACGCGATTTTCCGTGGATTTGTTCAGCAGAGGATCACACAGCTCAGATGATAAGGTGAAATTACTTGTTTGTCATGACTTTAAGGGAGGATACCAAACAAATGAGGATCTGAGTCCTCAGGGCTATTTTCCCCACCTCCAGAATGGAAATCGCTATTTCTTGCAATTCCCTGAACTATGCGACTTGTTCGTCTACTTCTCGCATCATTGCATAACCATCCCTCCGCTATGTTGGGTGGATATGTGCCATCGATTTGCGATACCGTGTTACGGAACTGTAGCGTTTGAGGGGAAAGAAAAAAAGGGCTTTGGCCGGCTTGACCGCCTAATGGCCCGTGACAATCATGGTGAATTCGTATTTGTCAAGGCATTGGTCAAGCTGGTGAGAATGTTCAAACTTGATGGACTATTGCTGAACTTTGAGGCGAAGTTCTCTGATCCCAAGTTAGCGAAAGACTTGGTTCCGTGGCTTGCTAAGCTTCGAGGAGACATGAGATCATGTAATGGTGCCAAGGTGATCTGGTATGATGCTTACGTGGGGTCAAAAAATCAGGTCCAATACGTTAATGGTGTTAATCACCTAAACTATGAGTATTTCGACCTAACTGATGGATTCCTGACCAACTACTGGTGGTCTGAAAACGAACTGGAGGCCAATTTGTCGAATGTCGGGAAGCTGGGGCTGAGCAAAACATTCGTAGGGTACGATGTTTGGGGACGAGGATTAATCCCTGGTCTTGGTAGAAAAGGCGGGTTTAATACTGGCAAAGACATAGCCATCATTAAGGATAGTTCTGTGGGACTGTTTGCTCCTGCGTGGACGTATGAGTTTCTGGGATATGAGAACTTCAAAGAGAATGATGCGGCTTTCTGGAAAGGCATTTCAGAGACTGTCAAACCAGACAACGTTTCAGTGAGAGTCATAGGAGATGGAGGCTTCATCTTCCACACTAATTTCAACCAGGGTACTGGCTCAAGCTTCTATGTTCTTGGAGAAAGGGTGTTTGATGACTTTTGGGCTAACGGAGGGCTTCAAAATCAAATACCAGAGACGATCCTAGAGGACCAGACCAACTCTGCCCTCAAAGTTGAGCTAGACGGGACAGATTCCTTTACTGGAGGTAATTGCTTGAAGGTGAGTCATGATGTGTTCGGAAAAGACATCTTTTCTTCCAGATCGTTTCCCACAAAACTACTCAATTGGCGAACAGATATGCCCAAGACTTTGTTCTCATTGAATCAAAACTGTCATTCGTCTAATGTGAAGGTTTGCTGCACATTCCAACCTTGTCAACCCGCGTCAAAATCCTCCTTTCAGTTGCAACTGTGCTACCAAATTCTGAGGAGGCATAAAGTGTACAGTTCTGGAAAGCTGATCTTCCCTCTTCATGGCATCTCTGGCGAATGGGTGACCGTTGAAAAACATTTCATTTCACCTCGACGGTCTGAGAAGGAAACACTCAAACTAACAGTTCTGGAGATAAGTCATGTGGATTCAGATATATCCCCTCTTCCTTATGTCGAAGATACATCCAATGACAAAGACGAGTGGGTGGTGATACCTACAGCTCATCCAAGGAAAGTTGAGGAAGATATGGAGCTCAGTATTTCAGATGACGGTTTTGTCAATGGTTCCAATTTTGCCTTGGAAGAGATTAAAATTGGAGAAATCTCAGTTGTGGCCACTCTCGATAATCAGGCAGCATTACGCTGTTCAAAAGTGGCTGGTCTGAAACATCTGAAATTAAAGGATAGTGTTATTCTGTCTTGGACGCATGAGTCCGGTTTCAAAGACGACCATTGCGATTTTTGGTGTGTTTATGTGAATGATATCTTCCAAGGAGCAACGACTGTTTCGCAATTTGCAGTTGATGCTGGTGAATGGAATCAAAGAAACATAGTGGGTTCAGGATCAGAAGCCGCAAAGCTGAAAGTAAGAATTGACACTCTGTCTTTAACTGGCGAACTACAAATCGGAGCCAACTACTATTTCAATTGCAATGGCTAAAACTCCAAGGTAACCGAATTTAAAAAAAACAAACTATGAATGTCCAACTGAAAAAAGCAGCCATAACCTTGATAACACATCCCATAGCTTCTGCATTAATTATCCTGTGATAGCAACCTTGATCGTATCATTTCAATCATGTTCAGGTTGTGTAAAGTAGCGTGAATTACAACCTTGTTGTTCAACAGAACCGCTAAGTTCATGGTCTTGGGGAATTTCAGATTGTCCGCATCGAAATCAGTCTTGAGAAGACAGGCGTCTCTATCAAAGTTGGCCACGGTATTATTTAAATGGTGAGAGCCGAGTTCGTAGTTGCCGAAATCCAGAGTTTCGGGTCCATCTTCGAAAGGAATCAGCATGACTTGGTTGGTTGCTGGAAAGCTGCTGCCATCCACAATTTTCGGATAGTTTTCAATCGAAATGGGGGTCACACCAAAAGAGGAAATGGTTGTCTCGGTAGTGTTTGCCATTCTCCTTGACTCTGAGATTATCTCGTCCAATCTAGAGAGATCGTGGTCTTGAAATACCTTTTGGAAATCCATGGGGGTGAATGGCTCGCGAACCAAGAAGATTCGGTCTAAAAGGTGCCGTCTCTTTTTCAAAAAACTGGCCACTCTTGAGGCGTAGATAGCACTATCTTTCAGTCTTGAATCTGCGACCTCTGCCACTCGACTTCCCAATACCGACATGCTTCTGATCCTATCAGGAGAGTCTTCTAAACCCATGAATTCGGAGCAGAAAAGGAAGGAAACTCCTGGTAAAACGGCTCTCTGGGCCTCCACGATCGCCATTATGAAAGCGTATATCACAAACTCCACATCCGAAATATCTGCATCAAAGCCCACATTGAATATCGACGGTGGGAGAGAGCTGATTGTGCTTTCCAAAAGAGCAAACAACTTGGAGGGAAGTACCTGCACCAAACCTGACTGATTGCCGTTGGCAACAATTCTAGTCCGCTCCAAAATGGACTGCATATCTTCAAGACAGCGGGTTTCGGATAGAGACATTTGCGACCCGAATTCCAGTCTGAACTGCTCCAGTTTGAAGGAAATCTCTCCGAGGAAATCGCTGGGATACACTGGAAAGTACATTTTCTTGAAGTTCTGGATCATTACCTCAGCAACCACCAGAAAAGGGTTCACTGAAAGTGCTTCTTCCTTGACGATGTCTTCTGCCAAAAATGCCGTCATCCCATTGATGAATTTGTTGTACTGCTTCAAGTTGTCCGAATAGTACAGTGAGTTATACATCAAATGGAAAGTCGATGCCACAAGCATGAAAATCTGCAAATCCTTGAGCTGGGCGAATTTGGAGACATAGTCTGCCGTAGCCCGATAAACACGAGACATGCAATTCGCTATCACATCATCCACGTACGGCTTTGGAAAGGACAGAAGCGAGCAATAAGGCTGCAAATAAGGCTTTCGAGTCACTGATAGCGAGTAGTTGCCTGCAAACGCAATACAGCAATTGTAGTTCATAGTGGATCCTATGCTCAGCAGCACCACCAACTGGAAGAAGTTTGCATGTGGATTCGTGAACGAATCCATGACTCCCTCCTCAAACAACTCGGAGGACGTCATGGACTTCATGTAGAAGAAATGGGTGGATATTATGGTTTGCGCAATCTCGTGTTCAACTTGTTTGCATTCGATGGAGATGTTCTCAACCTTGGAGTACTCGCTGAGTCCTCTTGGCTGTTTCGAGGGAGGAGTATCTGGCGATGTCAAGTCGGAACTTGGCGGTGATCTGGCGGAAAAGGGGTTGCTGCTAGTTGGTGTTATATCTGAAGACTGTCTGGCTTTCTTCTCCTTGTAATGCTTGAATTGCTCCATCTCCTCTGAGGTCATGTCCAAGTATGGGCAACAGGACTTTTTGGCGACACAGTTAGCACAACTCGGAAGACCCTCATCGCATTTGATCTTCCTCTTTTTGCAGAGACTGCACCCGAAGTGCGAGTTACTGTGCTTTCTGCGAGTGCGCTTCTTCGGTAGTTCCATGGTAGTTTTGTTCACTCCCGTGATATGGACTCCTTGAATTTGAATGCAAAGGATACCCGGCCTTTTGGACCAGGTGAGAACTATGGGAAGGCTGATGCTTCTTCCAAGATTAGTTAAGCCCTAGAACGTTTGGTACCGTATATAATGTTAATAATAAGGGTGGCCTAAAAGTTAGGAAGGGCACATGTGGACCGAGTCATTCTGGATTGCCCAGCACACTACACTTTTAGTAACCCCGAAATGCTGGACTCTCTGGTTTGCTCACTAAGAGGAGACTTTCCACTTAGATATTGCAAAAATAACAATCTTGATACCAGAGGCTCTTCAACAATTCCCATTTGCTTGTCCTGGTAAGATATACGCAATTTTCCATCTGCCAGAGTTTCGAGGAACAAGTTGGTGCCTTTTGGAGCAGAGCCCTTTTTGGAGTTAAAGATGGCCCTCAGCTGATCTAATCCCTCGGCCACAGCATTTGCATTAGACGCTTCCTTAGCCATTGGATGTGCCATAGCAGACTTTACCAAACCATCTCTCAAATGGTTGAAATCAGTGTTTCTCACTGGCGTAATTTTGGCAGTAAACCTCACACCCGAAGTCAGCAACTTGTCTATCAGAATTGTAGATAAATTGGGATTTTTTAGAGATTCCTCTAAATTTGGAGAATTCACGCTTTTCAGGTAGGCTGGGGTCCAGATTTGTTTGATCTTAGATATATCCTGCTGGTTAATATAAATCCCCAAGGCATAAACCTTGAACTTGAGAAAAGTTACGGATCTCGATCCGTAGCCCAGAAGCTCGTATTTGGAGGCCAAGTCCAGAGATGTTGGAAAAGGTGGAACCGAAGAGTCAACAGTGATGCTAGATTCTTGGAAGATGGATGAATCGGCAGCGTAGGTGGTGGAGAAATAGAGCGGGATGGCCGCAGAAAGTACTAATGGCTTCACCCACCATCCTCTGACCGGTGAAAACCTCGGGATTACAAATCTGCGAGCGAACATATGGGAAGCGTGTTGGTCGTTGCTATCACCGACTGTATGGCTAGCACCTTCTCCATACGTATCGGCAGATAAAATGTGAGCTCTCAAATCTGCCATCGGCCGGTGCACGCAAATCAGACCAGACACCATCTCTTTGGGCAAAAGTTGCAAACCCCGGTGTCACGTGTCACGTGCCATTATCTCACATTTTACAACTGCACCGCCACATCCTTGACATCCGATGGGCCAATTGCACAGGCTGCCACGGTAAGCATCAGCCATCTTTCAAATCCCATCTACAACTCACCAGCCATGCCGGGAAAAGAGTCGCTTGCAGAGAAGTACTCCACCTTGGGCTGAAAATTTTATTCAACAGGAACTCTAGCGAACTGATTTCCCAGCAAAGTTCAGGGAATCTGATCATGACGGCATCTCAGTCAGAAGCAGGTATGTCTAGTTGGTTTTTTGAAAGGTTTCTGATTTCTTGCGGTCACTAACTCTCGTCTATAGTGGCTAACGCCATATCTGCCTTTGCATCGAAGATCTATATTTCACAGCCGGCCAAATCAGTTAACTCCAAGATTTCTGCATTTCTGGAGCCTACGGCAACTTTTCAAGACTCTAATGATCCTCTTCTGGTGATTTCAGACTTGATCTCCGAGTCCGATGTCACGGCCATCTCCTTATCTCCCCAGGCCCTGATTCAGGGTCTGCCATATCTATCATCTCTCAAGGAAAGGCCGGTGGTGATTCACGTCGAGCTCCAGGATGGAAACTTCTCCATCGTTTCTGCATTGAAAGACTCTGGCTTGCCAATTGTTTTGTCTTATACCGCTCAGGACTCCCAAGATGTTGCTATTGCAGCCTATGCCTTGGCCAAATCGGGCAAAGCCATCCTTCACTTCTACAGTCCCTCAGATGACAAGACCAAGCTGATAGCTGCTTCGAGAATCTCAAGCATTGGTGCTGTCGATACCTTGGAAGAGGCTTTCAAGGTTGTCAAGGCTTTGACATGGACGTCTTACTCCAAGTTCGAGTACTCTGGTCCTTCCAAAGCTGAAACTGCATTCGTTGTTCTCGGCGGAGCGGGAGCTTACCTCGCAAAGCCTGCAAATGCTCAAGGTGCTGGTATTATCAAGGTGAGAAGCTACCAACCCTTTGACACAGACTCTTTGATTTCTGTTTTGCCAAAGAACGTCAAGAAACTCTTGGTGTTGGAGCAGTCACATGAATTGTCCTCCAACTTCCAGAGCTTCATGTTGGATTTTTTCCGTGACTTCAACAAGCTGATTGATTTTGGTATCGAGATAATAGTGTCATCTAAGCTGCTGAAAGTATCGCACGAAAATTCCAAATCTATTGTGGAAACTTTGTTGACCAACGCCAACCTTGCTAAGCCAGTTCAAAACCTGACCTTGGGTGCGAACTTTGAATCCGATTTTGAGGAACTAAAAACTCTTCAGCAGGCTAAGCAGAGTGCTGTCAAATTGGAGGATGCCTACATGAAGATCCTGAACCAAGTGTATGGTTCGAATCTGAACATTTTGAACTCCGAAGATTCGGAAGGTAGTGATGCCTCTACCACTCCAGAATTTGGTTATGGTAAGTTCCTTTACGCACAAGACAAGAGAAGCCAGCTGGAAGAACTTGTGCACAATGCTATTTCCTCCACTTCATTTGGTGTTGATTCTGTCGAGCTCGTGGAGTTGTTGACCAAATGGTTAGTCTCTTCAAAGAGCGGCTCAGCAACGCAAGCCGACAGTATCATCGAGCTATTGAAAAAAGATGGCTCGGAGACTGCTGCCAAGCTTCTGGAACTTCAGGAGTATTTCGACGTGAAATCCTCCTGGATTGTGGGGTCTGACTCCTGGTCATACGATCTGGGATCATCCGGAGTTCACAACGTTTTGGCCTCCGGCAAGAACGTCAACATGCTCATCATTGACAGCACTCCATTTTCTGACGTTAAAGCCAATAAGGCTGCTAGCAGAAAGAAGGATGTTGGTTTGTATGCCATGAATTTCGGTGGCTGTTATGTGGCCTCCGTTGCTGTCTACTCTTCGTACACGCAGGTCTTGCAGGCATTCATAGAGGCTGGTAAGTACGACGGTCCATCCATTGTTTTGGCTTATTTGCCATACAAGTCTGAAGCAGATGACTCTCTGGAGGTTTTGAAGGAGACCAAGGTTGCTGTGGACTCCGGTTACTGGCCATTGTACAGATATCAGCCAACCACATCGGACTTCGCGCTCGACTCGACTGTTATCAGACGTGAGTTGGAACAGTTTTTGGAACGCGAGAACAAGCTGACGATGCTCTCTGCCAAGAACCCTGAATTTTCCAGAAATTTGAAGTTCTCGCACGCAGATGATGTGAAGTCCAAGCAACAGAACGTTGCCCGGGATGCCTACTCCAAGTTATTGGAAAGCTTGACTGGAGCTCCATTGACCATTGCATTCGCCTCTGATGGAGGTAATGCTGAATCTTTGGCCAAGAAGCTGGGTAGAAGAGGTGCTTCAAGAGGTCTGAAGACCACTGTGTTGCCTATGGACGATCTTACGTTGGAAGACTTTGCTGTCGAAGAGAACGTTGTTTTCATTACCTCTACATCTGGCCAAGGTGAGTTCCCACAGAACGGAAAAGCTTTCTGGGACGCATTGAAGTCGGCCGCAGACTTAGATCTGACCACCGTGAAAGTGTCTACTTTCGGTCTCGGTGACTCTTTGTACTGGCCAAGAAAGGAAGACAAGCACTATTACAATAAGCCTGCAAAGGACCTCTCTGCCAGACTCAGCTTTCTGCAAGCCCAAGAGCTTGCACCACTGGGTTTGGGAGACGACCAAGATGCAGATGGATATTCCACTGGTTACGATGCTTGGGAAGCTTTGATTTGGGAAGCTCTCGGTGTCTCTGGACAAGGAAATGGTGATGAACCACCTCCAATCACGAACGAGGACATGAAGATTGCATCTAATTTTTTGAGGGGAACTATTGTACAGGGATTACAGGACCAATCTACCGGTGCTATCAGTGCTTCTGATCAGCAGATGACCAAGTTCCACGGTATTTATATGCAAGACGATCGTGACATTAGAGATGAACGCAAGGCTTCAGGCTTGGAGCCAGCATATGCTTTCATGGCCAGAGTCAGATTGCCTGGTGGTGCGGCCACTCCTAAACAGTGGCTCAAGATTGACGAGCTGGCTGATGTGCGCGGTAATGGAACTTTGAAAATTACCACTCGTGCCACTTTCCAGCTCCATGGTCTTGTAAAGCACAACCTGAAAGCTGCAATTAGAGGTATGAACTCCGTGCTGATGGATACTCTGGGTGCATGTGGTGACGTTAACCGTAACGTCATGGTCAGTGCCCTTCCAGGTAATGCAAAGGTTCATGCTCAAATCGCAAAGAGTTCATATGTTATCAGTGAACATTTGTTGCCCCAGACTACGGCATATCATGAGATTTGGTTGGAGGGTGCTGATGAAAACGATTCGTCCCCCAAGGACTCTCGCGTCTGGGAAAATAGACCAGATGGCCCCAAAAAGACCAAAACTCTGGTGTCTGGTAACGCCCTGGTTGATTATGAGCCTTTCTACGGACCAACTTACCTCCCACGTAAGTTCAAGGTGGTGATCACGGTTCCTCCCTATAACGACGTTGACGTTTACGCGCACGATGTGGGCTTGGTTGCTATCGTTGACGAGAATGATATTGTTACCGGCTACAATGTTCTAGCAGGAGGTGGTATGGGAACCACTCACAACAACAAGAAGACTTATCCACGTACAGGTTCCATGTTGGGTTATGCACCAATTGATCAGGTTCACATTGTGTGTGAAAAGATCATGCTTGTTCAACGTGACAACGGAGACCGTAAGAACAGAAAGCATGCTAGACTCAAGTACACCATTGACGATATGGGTCAAGATGTTTTCAAGTCTAAGGTAGAAGAGCTGTGGGGTCAGAAGTTTGCAGAGGCCAAGCCTTTTGAGATCAAGTCCAACATTGATTACTTTGGATGGGTCAAGGATGAGTTGAACTTCAACCATTTCACATGTTTCATTGAAAACGGTCGTGTTGAGGATACCGCAGACCTTCCTCAAAAGACAGGTTTGCGTGAACTAGCCAAATACATGGATGTCAACGGCGGTGAGTTCAGACTGACTGGTAACCAACACTTGGTGATCTCTAATATCACCGATGAGGACATCACAGCTGTCAAGGAGATTCTGTATAAGTACAAGTTGGATAACACCAACTTCTCGGCCTTGAGACTTTCTTCTGGAGCTTGTGTTGCGTTTCCAACATGTGGTTTGGCTATGGCTGAATCTGAAAGATACCTGCCTGTCCTCATCTCTAAGATTGAGAATGCTCTTGAAGAGTACGGTCTAAGACACGACTCCGTTGTCATGAGAATGACCGGTTGTCCAAATGGTTGTGCGAGACCATGGCTTGCTGAAGTCGCCCTTGTTGGTAAGGCATACGGAGCTTACAACTTACTGCTCGGTGGTGGTTACCACGGTCAAAGGTTGAACAAGCTGTTTAGGTCTTCCATCAAAGAAGACGAGATCCTCGCTATTCTGAAACCCCTTTTCAAGAGATGGTCTTTGGAAAGACACGAGGGAGAACACTTTGGTGACTTCTTGATCAGAGCTGGCGTTATCAACCCAACCACAGAAGGAAAGTATTTCCATGATGATGTTCCGGTGGAAGCTTGAGCCTGTCCGTGTATACAAAAAAAAATGCTGTTATGTCGTACCCTTATATGTGTAATCATTGCCTATAATCAGGTTTGTATTTAACAGCTTTCGTAAAGGTCGCATTAATCATCAGGGGAGTCTGTCTTGTTTTGCTGTTTGAATAACTCGAAGTCTTGAAAGAATGTCTTTCCTTCGATGCCTTTCGCACGCTCAAGCTCCAAAACATCTCTCAGTTTCTCATCCCATAACCTGCGAGGAATTCCTAGGAGCCTCTTGTTCAGCTCATCCTCTAGCTCTTGCGCTTTTTTGTCTTTAGAAGCCTCAAGGGACTTTATCCTAGTATTCGCTATTGGATGTTAGATTGGTAACATACGGGTTTCGTAAAGACACATCAGTGGGACGTACCCTTGGACAGAAATTCTTCAATGAACCTCCTTTTGGCATCTTCGTCATTTTCGCTCATATTCCTGCCACAACCAATGCGCAGTTGCTAGGATCATCGCGTGAAGAACAACATTAGAAGAGGTCAGATTCAGATTCAAGATGAGCTGGGGATCTCTAGACATGCCTGACATCGCTCATAACCAAAACAAACGCATCTCCTTGATAACGTTGCCAAATTAACCGACCAACTGGATCACTAAAAGTAATTATATCGGGGTAAATGATGCGTTATTGTAGCAGAAAGTGAGGTTACTGTGTACTTGTCAATTCTAATTCTTGAAACGAAAAGCAGGAGCAGCATAAAATGCTATTTCCAAAAAAGCAAGATTGAATATGAAAATACGGTCGAAGACAGCCTGGATTGAAAATTCACAAGGAACAACAACAACAAACCTTATAGCTACACAAAGAGAGACCGCCAACACAAAACTTGAATCTAAAGGTACAAAAACCTATCGTGATAAATTTAATGCCGTAACCAAGAGAATAGAAAGAGTAGCAGCGCGCGCCCGCCCACATAAAAAAAACTATTTCAAAAGAAGATAACACCCAAAAATATTAGGCTCAGAGCATACTAGTTCTTGCTCGATGCAATTTCAATAAAAAATGAAAGCGCCCCTCATTTAAAAAACGGCGATATTCCATGAAATGCCCGATTGATATGTGCAATAAAGAATTTTTGATCCCCATAAAGGACATCTCGTCTGAATATACAATTTGAAATGCGAAGAATTTTGGGACAATAGTAAGGGCGACCTCTGTCCACAATATGAATATAGGAATTCAATCCCACAGTTTTTACCACTGGCAAAATACTGCTTCACCTTCGATAAACTTGCACTCAAGACAACGACCCGATGTACAAAAGCACGAAGAGCGAGCAATCAGCTCAATTTTGGAAACAAATTAGAAGACGCGCCCTTACAATGAAACGCAACTAAAGGGCAAGATTAATCCGAATATCGCGCCAAATATTAATGGACGGATAAAGGATTTGCTAGATAGACCTAAGTTTTTCTATCAGTTCCCAAACAAGTTATCAAGTTAAAACTCCCTAGAGCAGTTGCTGTTGAGATTACAGAAAACAATTGATATATAGCTAGAAACGGATCATCCTCTCTACTACATAAGGGATAACTGCAAAATATGAGAGATCTCAATGATCGATTTGGATGGATCTAGACTTTCAGGCATACCATTGCACAAGTAGCGGAAATTTGCATTCTCGTTGATTTTAACTATGAATCTTAAACTTCCATTTTACCTCAATTGAAAACAATGACTCATGTTTGAAGTAACCATTCTTGGATGATGAACATAATGAATACTAAAAAACTTAACCTCACACAAGTGCTTAGAGTGAATATCGATTCATCGCTGCTGGCTCAGTCCTTGCCAACATTCGTGAAAGGCTCGTCCAAGCAGTTAAGCATCTAGTTTGACTTTCCTCGCGCTTAGCAGCATGCTTTTGATCAAACAAGTTTCAACAACTGGAGTATTTTCCAATATCGCATTTGACTCTAGGCTTATTTATTCAACTTAGGCGTTATAAGAATGAGCCAAGCAGAGCTGTATCCTAGTGAGAGAGGTTGTCAGCTTACCATCAACAACCTCCAAAAATATGTTATGAAAGGTACAGCCTGGGATTCTCGTGTTTACACACTCCAGACGACGTAAATAACACTCATTCAATGTGACAGGATCATCTCATACTGGATGACCAGGATTGAAATACAAATAGTACCTCCAGTTCAACTGAAACCGAAAAAAGCTTCAGATTAAAAAAGGAATAATTCTATTTGTCATTGACATTGACATTAACACACTTCAAGACTGATGAATATCATTGGCATAAGCCACAAAATTGAATATGGCTTTCTCTAGGTCCTGTCAGATCAATATACCACGATCTAAGCCATCGCTACATCCAGCGGCTGGATTAACTGCCCAAGTTAACTAAAACAGCCAGTTCCACACCATAGACCAGCAGTAAACCAAAGAAAATTAGTCTCAATCACAGCCTATATTGATGAAAACAAATTCTAAATCATTGTATCAATTATCACTTTGATGGACACCAGCTACACACACCACCAGTTAATCATATCCTTCAAAGAGAAACAATGAACATACTGTACTCATCAACAGTAGCTACAGAAACAATCAAATCTTGTGCCTGACCACATAGCCCGAACTTAGTTGCAAGTTTTAGATCAATGCATTACTTTGATGCAAACAGTGAAGAGAGATCTAAAATCTTCTGTTGCCTTATCCTAATGATATAATTTTGAGGTTTCATTAGTCATGACACTAGCATTTATCCAAAAAGAACTAGCTAGATATGTTGAGAGTGTTCACAGTTTTCAAAGTCTATGAGCGGTTTATTCTGCCGAGAGAAGAGCAGAGCATTGGACATTCTAAGTGAATGGTGATCCGTAAGTTGAGTCTCTACATGATCGATGGATATATTTAAAGATGGTTCAAAGTCTGTAAAGACCCTCCAACTCGAAGATTTTGTGTATCTAGATTAAGACGCCTTGTTCATATTATACTCAGTAAAAGTGACACAACGTACTGCCATGGTGTTGTTAATTAATTTCAACAAGGTATCATAGAATCAAGAGGGGGATATTGATTTCATAGAATTGGTTTGATGTTCCCTACTATCTTGTCGTAGTTTGCTTGCGTGCTATCCTACTGAAGATATATTCTCATGCAACAATTTGCAAAGGGAATTATCAACCCTCGCTGAATGGTCTATGAGATTTGGAGTTTCCTCGCTAAATTTAGGCGGGACGTGTTCAACTTCTACCAAGAAAATGGGGCAGGTGTAGCTTTCGGATTTTGAGGACGTTGATAAGTGTTCGGGTAGTTAAAGTATTTAGAGCGTTATTTAGCGTTAAGCGACTTCGCTTGCTCAAAGACGAACAGAACACTTAACATAGAAAAGGAAACCTGTTCTGTTAGCTATGTTTCTGTGTGATCCAAATGGTATGAAAAGACGGTTCAAAGTCTCTAATGATCCTAAGATTTATAGCAATTTTAGTATTTTCATTATTGATAGATTTTGTCTAAGTTACAATGAGTGACAATGATACACCATACTACGATGGTGTTGTTGATCAATCTCAACAATAACTCGAGTTTGTTTTTTTGATTACTGAGAAGGCAGCTTAATTGTAAAATGCCGGGTGTGATGTATTCACTTCTTCATGCTAAAGCAGGGATATATGCTCATTTTGTCTAGCCATGAAAGATCAGAACGGCTACACTGTTGTTTATTAATTTCAACGCAACACACACATCATCATGATGAACCCAGAAGTGTGTTCGATGAGGCATTGTTTCTCCTGGTGCCTCATATATATATATATATATACATATATAATTTTTGCTATACTGATCACTGTGTTCCTTAGTGAATGAAGTGGTTACTGGTAATTAAACCACAGTGTAATTGTGTTATCGGTGATTTTCATGATTCAGTGGTGTCTTTCTTCATTCAAGCGCTGGCAATGTTTGAGATTTTGACTGGTTGGACTTCTAAATAGTATAGGCGCAGATAACGATAGACCAGATTGTTGCGACTGTGCTGATAAATTGAATCTGGCGCACAGCTGTCTGACTTATCATGATGCAACTAAATCAGTATTGAAGTTTCGCATGTTCTTCTCCCACCATGTTTCTGATATCTTAACATTGGATTTGTTTATCGGAAATGGCTATTGAGCTGGTGTCCGGCCTTCTTCATTTTTTTCTTACGTTTACTCAGCTTACAATTTGCTAACAGTGTCAATGCAAGTGTTCGAAATTGGCCCAGTTTGTGCTAGTGTGAAATTTGGGAACATACGAGGTTTGTGAATTTTGTTGTATGATACATTGACATTTTTGATGATGTTGGGCTTTGGAATAAGGTGGGAGTTTTGACACTCATAATAGCTGTCTATGTGTCTATGCCAGAAGTTTTATGAGGTACTGTGCTGGTAATCGTCTTTCGATACAGATTTTTCAAGAAAGCGCTTAGAATTATTTAGTTTTTAAGGTTTTGTGTGGGGATATTTCGAGGATCTATCTAGCCTTTCAGATGAAGATGACTGTTTTTCGGTTGTAGTTTTTAAAGCCTGAGGATATCTGAATTCATGTTTGCTATTCCTGGTTGCCTGGCAATTTCTCCGTGAGTGCCCCCTTTTTTTTCCCTTCAGCAGTTTTGATTTTTGTGACAGCTGTGTTCGATGATCTCATGAGAGCCAACCCAGGTCATATTTCAACCGTCACAAACATCCTTCGTTTGCTCGCAGTCTTTAGTTGAAATCTAATGTCAGTATTTAGTTGTATTGTCGTAGCCTGGAGGTTTCAAATTTTGTGGCCCTTAGGGGGTTTAATTCCTAATGAGCTGACTGATTGCGTGCACAACATTGTACTGGTCGTGCTAGTCAATTTCAACATTTTCGTAGGGACTGTATTCGTAATACAGTTCTGGGAACTCAGTTTGGTGCTTCAAAAGGTAATTGCTAAAATTCGGTTTCATAATTTTATAAAACCTATGATCGATTTCGTTTCCTGATATAAGCTGTTTTGGTAAAGCTCCTTCACCATCAAAGCGTTGTAATGCACAATCAGCAACTTTCTTGATTTACGTTTTTGGCCTTAATGGATCTTCAGAAGTTTATTGTCTTGGATATAAAACTAGAGAGAAGCTCAGCGGGATCTTCTTTCCCCGCTGATTCTTTCAAGAATGTGCACTTGGCTGTGTCTAGTAGGTACGGACAGTGGGAATTTCGTTCAGCCATTCATGCACGTCATTAATTAGATGAGGAGGTATTTGGCTACCTTAAGAGAGTCATAGTTACCCCCGCTGTTCACCAGTACTTATCCTGACGTTCTTAATATCTCTAGGGCTGAAACTCAGTTTCTTTCCATGCGTGTGTCTGCAGGGCCACCTTTACTTAACTTAAATAATTATGTTCCATCGTTCACTTCCCTTTGATACCTCAATTGATCCCGTCGGTCTATTCATTTTCTTGATGATCTTTTTGTCGTTCAGATTATCCCTGTCTTTTGTTGATTGGAGCCAAAGATCTTTCATGCGATATCAGCTTGATCTTTTGGGGAGCCCTTAATTTGGCCTAATATCTATAAACTTTAAAGTCCCATATTAATAAGTCCAAATAGCTTTGTTGGCTGAGACTCCCGATAACGAATTCAGTGACCCGATTAAGAAATTACATGCGCATATAAAGTGCAAGTGAAGGCTGCTGCTAGTTTGAGAATTGTAAAAACTGTCCTTAAGTTTGTCGAATTATAACTCAGAAAATAAAAGCAGATTTGGCGATATCTCAAAATATTTCTTTCAAAGGAATGATATTTTTGGATAGAATGTATACGCGAGATCTGAGGGTGTGTAATTAGGGATACCTTGTTTTTCAGCTTTATCTCTAAATTCATGAAAAATTAAGAAGTCAGACCGAGCTTGAAAAGTTGCGATCCTTGCTGTCTTGGAAATTTCACCATCAGCAATCATAGAATTGAGAATAACGAAAACAGCATTATTATCAACATCTTCTACAATTATGAGGATCAATTGATAAAATAGCCGGCATAATCTATATATGCGCGGCTCATGGTAATTATCCCCAGAGTATCTAACCATCTCATCTCATCTCATCTGCCTGCACTTTTACTTCCTCCCTCTGCCGAAGATGGACTTGGCGTCGCGTTTCTTCTCAGGGTTCGATGGCCCCTTCTTCAAAAAAAAAACGGCGGACTCTCACTGGCTGCTGGACATGTCGACTCAGAAAGGTGAAATGTGATAGTGGAAGACCCTTCTGTAAAAGATGTGAGAAGGCTCGCGTCCAATGCCAAGGGTATGATATCAAACTGAACTGGCTCGTTCCCTTAAGCATAGCTCTCGATGGAAGTTTTCAGCAGCTGGATGGATTCACGAGCAATGCCAATGACATTGAAATTTTGAAAAGAGGGAAGATAGATTTCGTGAAGTTTCCTCCCTCAATGACATACAGGAGCATAGAGATTGATTCCATAATGGAGTCATTATCTGAGGAGCAGATGATACATGCTCACTCAAAATTGAAACGTATAGGGCCGTTTGCTGTTTTCAGACTGGTTGAGACAGGGAGGAATATCTCGGACCGTGGGCACCTGGTAACTCACTCTGGTACCCCTACGCCCATTAACTACGATCAGGTGCAAATTAACTCACTATCAAATGTTACCTCGGTGAAAGAAGACAGTGTTTGGATTGATCCCAGCTTGCTGACAGCTGCTCAATTAACATATAGAGCGTTGACAGGAATTTCGGTACCGTCAGAAGTGAGCCTTCACCGCCTGAAGCAAGTGCTATTCTCGAGATACTATGATAAGGAAGAAACACGCAGCATCCGGTACTTTTCAAAACTCAAGCAGAAGGAGAGATCTACTGGTGTCAAGAAATGTTTGATTGAACTGTTGATAGATAGCGACATACCCACGCCGCAGATCCTCGATGGAGATAGTACGGAGCTGTTCCACAAGGTAATCAGCTGCAAGAGCATACAAAGTCTTGTTTTGTATTTCACTCAAAATGCGAGGCAACTTTTGCTTGTATGTTTCGAGAACGGATTTATCCAGAAAAGTTTAATCCCCATAGTATTGAAATTTTTGGGAGAAGCATTGATTGACTTCAATGACCAAACCATCGATGACCAAACACACAACCATCCAAAGTCCTTAAGAATGTGTTGCGTGATGCAATGTGTTGCCATGGCTGCCGCCTTCAAATCATACTCCAGTTCCGAAGACCTTTCTGCGACTGAAACAGAGAAGTACCTCGGTATATGTTTCCGGGCAAGATCAGCCGCACTACTCTTGATTTCATCTTTTTTCGTCAGTCCCATAAACAGTTCTATGGAGGGGAACACAAATGGGGCTATGGACAAAAACCTCATAGAGATGTTTCTTCATAAGGACCTTGTGAAAGAGCTCACGACTTCTTTGTTGCTTCAGTATTTTTTGGATAGCCATCTTGATGCAATAGTTAACTATGGTTCAATTTTCAAAGCACTGGAGCAAATAACAGCTAGTTTGAGCTCTCATCCTCTGAGTACTGAAAATGACTGGACATCAAAGTATCAAAAGGATAAGAGCTTGCAAAACATCTTGAGATGGGCAACTTACGTTTGGGAAATCCATCGTTCCACAAGTACCATAGACCTTCAGAACTACAGCGTGGATGGCGATGATTATGCTGACATATTAGATCATAACTACAACCTGGTTGAGTTCTCTGCATTTTATGATAAGGAGACACCCCCAGAAAACACCAAAATTCATATCAAGCCAATCAGCAGTGCCGAGGTCAGTGAAGACGATGACTTTTCCAGTAATGGGGAGACCCCTCCAAAGAGATTTGCGATTCAGTTCAATTACGATGAGTCAAGCGACAGCGAAGGTGAGGAAACAGAAGATCTAAGCGACAGCGCAGATGTGAGGAATCATTCGGGTAAAAATTTCGGCGTAATAATGGATAAAGATCACGCCAGTGAGTTTCCTTCTCTGGGTGCTGGACTCAGCCAATCTGATATCTCCAGCATTGAGTTATTATGTGGCGTACCAAGATCCTTACTAATTTTGCTGAACAAATGCAGTACACTTGCCAATCATCGCAACTTCTTCATGAGAAAGAACTTGCACCCGCGCAATTTCCCCAAAATCTGTTGCGACATTGAGGAAGAGCTCAAAAATTGGAGACTAGATTGGGATCTTCTCATAGCTGACGGCGAGATGAAGGAGGACATGACTGAAAACACCATTCGCTACAAGAGTCGTCTTCACGAAGTCATGTTCCACAGTGCTATGTGCTTTCACGACTCTTTGGTTGTTTATTTCTACCGACTACTGAAGGACATCTCACCGGCCCTGCTTCGAAGTCGAGTTGAGAGTTGTATCGATCACTTGGAGAAACTTACAAGCTTAAGTGAAGACACTGATCATAATATGCAATTGAACCCTTCTCGTCATTTTTGGCCCTTTTTCATATGTGGTTGTGACGCGATAGGACCGTCGGTGCAGCAAAGATACCTGGCGTTGTTTGAGAGATGGAGATCTACAAAATGGATAGGGAAGCAGATAATGCTGGAAGTCTGGAGATCTAGAAGCGAAAGTGATGAAGAAAAGTCTTGGATTGATGTTATAAAAGACTGGAAATTCACTACCTACCATTGATAACGCTGTCTTGGATTAGCGCGTTATGACAGAAAACTTACTGATTATACGTAACTCAAAAATGTGAACTAAAAACCTAAGTCATGAACTTATATGCACTAAACTATAAAAAGAACAAAGATAAACGGAAAGATGAACTCTAGAATGCCACTTACTCCAAATGCTCGTAAGATGGGATATCCAGATGGAAAAATGGTGTGTCAGTCGCTGTCAAAGCGTAGTAAGAATCCTGATCTACAGAAGAAAGCGAGCTTCTTGGATCAACAGTCAGAATCTCTTCTTCATCTACCACCTTGGACTTGGAGGTCTCCAAGTTGCCAGAAGAATATGCCTTTCCAATATCGAAATAAAGCGTCTCTGGAGCAGCAGTAGTCTCGTCACGGAACTTTCCAAAACCGACTGCAAGCAAGGATCTTCTAATCCAGGGGTTGAGAATTCCGCTAAAGTGGAATTCGACTTCGTTTCCAACATATCTGTGAATCGTATTGCGCAAATCCACCAGAGACTGAATCGAAGTAGCATCTGTGGCAATCACAGATGCAAAGTCAAAATGAACAATCCTTAGTAATGGGCGAGGATCACGGTTTTCCTCAACGTATGCGTCATCATCATCAATATCACTTCCTCTCTTTGGGATCCAGTGTGAAAGCGTAAACAGGTCCTTCACCTTGGCCCAAGACCAGTCAAGCTCACCAGGATCGTTCCAAGGCCTGTCACCCTTGGTCTTGTAAACACGTGAATGACCAGGACGGGTTACTCTCTTGACTTCGTCCAAGACTGTATCAAATTGTTTCGAACAATTGGTGTAAATGAAAGACTCAGATGGACGGAATACAATCACTCCTGGTGGTGGTGGCAGCACGTTCAACTTCGGATTCACTCTTTGCACATGAATATCACTCGAGCTGTATGGAGACTTTTTGTGAGAAAGAGGAACCCACCTGGTGCTGAACTCAACGTTCTCTGGTAAAGGAGCAAAACTTCTTCTTTCAGTGTCATCTCCCTTGCCCTTTTTGCCCTCAATGGATTCAACATCAATGACGCTGACCTGGTCAACGGAGTCATCGGAATCATCGGACCCAACAATGACGGGATTAGTGATGTGAGCAACCTTGACACGGCCCAAGAAGACACCGTTTGGAGTACAAAGTCTCCAAAGCAGAATAGCAGCAGAAGCACAGATGGCAAAGTAAATACCGTCCTCAATGGAAGCAAAAACAGTGATGATCACAGCAATCAAGAAAATACCAGCGTCAAAAGGGGCAATTTTCCAGAAAGAAAATGTGGTCTGGTAGTCCGTGATCAAGTCACTGACGGCATGAATAATGACAGAAGACAGCACAGCCTTTGGTATGTAGTAGAAAGCCTTGGTTAAACAGTACAATGCAAGCAACACACAAACACCGGTTGAGATACCAGCAAGAGGAGTTCTGACACCACACTTAGACTTCAAAGCAGACCTAGAGAACGAACCAGTTGCTGGGTATGCATTGAAAAAGGTACCAATCAAGTTGGTGAAACCGATGGCAATCAGCTCCTGGTCTGGAACAATTTTATAGTCGTTCACACGGCCAAAAGACTTGGAGATAGAGATGTGTTCGAGCAATAGCACAATTGTGGAGACAGGAATCTCGGAAGCCATCTCCTTGACTATTCCAGGAGGAACTTTCATAACACCCACATGCTTCAAACCAGATGGCACGGTACCGATGATAGAGAATGGGTTGGTCTTCCAGTCAGGGTGAACTTTTCTGTAATGATAAATGGCACCCCACGAGATCAGTGTAGAGAAAACGAGCACAACTGCATTTCTCAAAACCAAAGTGTAGAAGAAAAACTTCTTGCGCTGAGGGTAACGTCTTGCACCAAAGTCACAACCCCATCTCCAGAAATAAAGGATGAAAAGACAAATCAGACCAAAAGCAGCATCAACCTTGGTGTGTGGCAAATTCTTCAGCGTGTCGATCACGACCCGGTAACTGGCATTTCTGGTGTTGACCAGTTTGTTGTAGCCCATCAAACCAGGAACCTGACCCACGATAATGCTGAAAGCCGAGCCGGTCATGAAACCCATAACAGCCGGAATGGAAATGAACTCCAGGATGAAACCCAATCTCAAAAGACCCAGACCAAAGGCAATACTACCACAGATCAATGACAAAACCGTTGCGATGACTGGAGCAGGGTATTCAGGGTTCTTGTCTTGGACTCTGGCAATAATTTTGCCTACTTGCATGGACATGACGGCAACCGGGCCGATGGAAACATCTTTGGAAGTAGCGAAAAAACAGTAAATGAAAACACCAATAAAACTGGAATAAAGACCATATTCTGGGTCTAAACCAGCAACTTGGGCATATGACATGGACTGGGGAACCAAGACGGTTCCAACCGTTATACCGGCAACCAGATCTCCATATAGCCACACACGGTTGTAGTGCAAGATCCAGTTCGTAATTGGGAATAGCGACCAGAGATAATCTTTAGTTTTTTGGAGTGGATTCTCGACGAGTGAGGTACCGTAATCTCTGGCGTCAGCGACATCCTCGTGGTATCTCTGGAGAGCCACAGAAGAGTGGTCCTCATCGTGGAAAGTTATTTCGTTCTCCCTAGTAGACGTCGCCATAGTGGGGCTTGAAATTTAGCAAAAGGCACCAATAAAAGCTGAGAGACGTCTTTGTAAAACTCCGCTCCTTATAAACCACGGATCGGAGAGAGAACAATGATTAGTTTTATACCAGAGAAAAGATGCATACATGTCAAGGCAATTTTTCAGCAAGAGCGCTAATGCTTCCACCGGACCTCAATGCAAATTGTCACATTGTGGTTAACAAAAGCGTCTTGGTAAAAGATAATTCTGCAATATCACGTGAGCTTTCACAATCCAATTTGTTTTGACACATTTTCGGGCTGTGCGCGCGCCACGAAACGGAGTTTGACTTAGTTCTCGTCTGCCATTTTACGCTCTGTGGGGGTTTGAGTTTGACGGCTGTTTTTTGGAAATCCTTCGATTTGGGCTGCTTATTCGCCATTCGTACAGATACAAAACCCTTAGATTGAATTTTTCGTCTCTACAGCCGTCCATTTTCTGCAAGGGAATGGACCCATGCGGAGAAATTTTTGAAGGGTGTAGATCTTTCGTATTACATACGTCTTTTTTATTGTCTATATTGCTCGGCTGAAATGATGGAAGCCTCATGGTTAAATGACGATTTCGCGTTCAAGAACTCTCAAACTTAAGTTTGAAGGTTACATCCCCTGTATTTCCCGGATAGATGGGCACTTGCGTAAATCTCCCTGCTGTCTGGTCGGCAGACCAAATTAACTTTCCTCCGTAAGTAATCAGGCTTCTTTCTTTGTCGTACCCAAACTGCATTGGACCAATCCTGGGGTTGCACTCTAGATCCCCTGTGGCTCCAATGCCGCACCAACCCTTGCTCGTCTTCAGGTTGTAGCCACCAAACGGGGCTTTGATCAGCTTATACCTGGCGCATGTGCCCGAAGTATACCAGCGGCCATTGCCGATAAGACACCCGGGTAATTCAGTCAACTTAATATAACCGTCAATCCCACTGCCTCCAGTTGGCTTTGGCTGCGATGGCGGTCCACCAGTAGGGGATGGCTTGAACGACTTAGGCAAGAACCGAATACCTTCGGGAGGGCATTTAGAGTTGGCCAAAGCAGGAATAGGAACGTACTCTCCATTAGTGATACTCCCTTTCAAATGGTGGAAATACCATACTTCCTGCAATGCATGGTATCTGTTGCAGGAGACAAAGACCGGCTGGCCGAATCTGGCGCTCAAAGTGTCCTCAATCTGCTGTTTGGAGTAGGTCTGCTCTTCAGATGGAACAATGCCGTTGTCGCTGAGCCATTTGAAAGTGGGAAGTTGCTCGTAGAGATCGACTGAAGCCCTGTAGAAATCGACTACGTTCTGGTTGACGCTGTAGTTGGACTGGTCATAACAACTAGGTGACAATGTGGTCATACACGTACCATGTTTATTGAACTCATGGACCCACAACGAATCATCATCGCCATTAAAATTTTTCCAAATCCGGTTCATTTTCTCCAAAAGGTCGTATTCTCCAAACGCCTCCAAAATCTTCTTTCCACTCTGAATTGTCTCTGAATTGTGACAGAACTGCTCGTATGATCCATCACAGTTATCTGGCCAGAGCCCGTGCAACGTGAACATGTCATCGGGACCGACTGGAGGCAAGTAGTCCCAGAACTGCGTCTGCAATAAAATTCCACCAGGATATTCGAAACAGCACAGATTAGACACTTCAGTCTTATTGAAGCACGACAATGGAGGATTCAGTGGGCACTGCTCTGGAGCCGAAAGAGGCAGCATCAACCCCTCCCCGACCGTCGGCGTTCTCCAGAAGGGAAACTCGAAACCAAGGCATGGTCGCAATGATGAGATTACCAAAAAAAGGCTTATGAAACAAAGTTTCATACTTTCCGTTGTACAGATGGAATTTCAACTTCCACTGGAGTAAGACACGTTAATGTGTTGGGGTTATCTCGAGGATGCCCTAATGCTTATCTACACTTTGACTTTGACACAGTCACGTGTTTGGCGGTGCACGATATCGACTAGCTGGGATGGGAACAGGAAGCCCCGCCCGCTTTTTGTGGGCCGGCCCGCCTGATCTTCTGAGACTGGCGGGCATTGGTCTCAACATTTCCAGATGCCCGCCATGTTTTAGTAGAAACACTACCTGTTTTATGGGTTGGTGCACTACATTTGGTGGTTAAATTGTTACTACTAGGGATTTTAGTAGGGCGGGCATTGGCGGGCAGGGTCAAATCAGGCCCATTAAAAATGGTTTGTGGTATAATCAACTGGTTTGGATTCCAAGCAGATAAATCTAGTTTCTTTTTTCGTGTTCATCAACAAGGCTGGCCTGTCTCTGGAACTTTTTTAATCTTACACCTCATACTAGGTAACTAAAGTCTTCTTTATATAGAAACGCTCTATTGAAAAGTATATATGGCGTTTACTCTTTCTTACCAACAATCTTCTTGTCTTCTGGGCGGGAAGCAAAAAGATTGCTTGCTGGCTCGTGTCTCTCCTTTCTTGGACCGCTGAACCAGCTCTGGAAATCCAAAATGGATTTCAAACTCCAGACCTTGACTCTCATAAAGTAGTAACTCAGCAACATGGCAGCGAAGTTGAAAAGAATGTAGATCCAGGCAATACCAAAGTTTCTCCACCTGTAACTCCACTTGACGTTGTACATAGCCACAACCTCAGCTTGATTAGTGTATGGACAGTACTCACAGGCACGGGTAGCGTCACTGTTGTTAAGGTATCCTCCTGATTGCTCGACGTACTGGTTGAGATATTCACCGCAGGTCTTTCCTTCTGGAGGATCCATAATTGAGAGCTCACTTGGCTCACAAATCAGCTTTCTATTATCAACCATTGGTCCCACAAATGCCTGCACAAAGTAAGTGAATGGGGAAGCAACGTACATGAACACCCAGAATCTTGGAGACAAGTCCTTGAGTTGCAGAATACCGCAGAACAGCAAGAGACCAGCGAAAAGATTGGAGTTGATCATGGAAGCAGAAGGAACATTTGGAGAGAAGTAAAGCACCCACAGACCGTAGGAACAGAAGTAGATTGGGAAGACAATGACAAGCATGAAGAAGAAGTAACCGGCATGGTGTGGAGTTGCAGAGAAGTGTGGTGGGAAGAAGAAACCAATGAACACCATGAACATACAAGCCATTGACCAAATGATCTCCAAGAAAGTATGAGCCAAAAGCAAACAACTCCAGTGGAAGGTGTTGGACAAAGCTTCTCTGACTTCGAAAATTTCACGAGTATCATAGGCAAAGACGTGCAACTGGTTAATCATAGCCAAAGAAATCAACAGAAGCATGAAAGTGGACGAGAAACTCTCTTGGGCACCTGCAACGGAATGATCAACACCAACATACGAAAGACCGACGAACAAAGCACACATGATGGACTCGAGGAACTTGGCTCTGATGTAGATAGGAGAACGCCAAAATTGAAGGTTGGTACGGGAAATCACACATCTGAATTGGGTCAAGTAAGGAGCGGCATACTTGGATTGCAAAGTATCGGCATTCTCAGGGATAGGTCTAAGAGGCAATTCACGATGAAGCTTATCAATCTCTTCGTTGACCACCTGGAATTCTGGAGAGTTAATCCAGAGTTCATGCCAATCAGCATCAACACTAGCAGTGGCACCAGCACCAATACAGTTCAAAATGTATTCAGCTGGGTTCTCAGAGTCACCACACTTGACACCGGATTGTCTTTCAAAGTACTGCAAAAGATCACGCGAGTGTGGACCAATATCACCAAAGTAGACAGTCTTACCACCCTTCTTCAAAAGCAAAAGTCTGTCAAAAACTTCGAACAAAGTAGCTGAAGGCTGGTGAATAGTACACAAGATTGCCTGACCAGAATCAGCCAAGGCTCTCAAAAACTGCACAATAGACCAAGCAGATTGGGAGTCCAAACCAGAGGTGGGCTCATCCAAGAACAACAGAAGAGATGGCTTAGCAACCAACTCGACACCGATAGAAAGCTTCTTTCTCTGTTCCACGTTGAGACCTCTTCCGATCTTACCAACAATGGCTTCAGCGTAGTTTTGCATACCCAAAAGATTGATAATCTTCTCGACATACTCGTACTTCTCGGATTGTGGAACGTGAGCAGGTTGTCTCAACTCAGCAGCAAATCTCAAGGACTCTCTAACAGAGTACTCAGCCAAATGCAAATCTTGCTGTTGAACGTAACCAGTTCTTCTCTTGAAAGACAAATCGACAGGATGACCATTGACCAACATATCACCGGTGATCACACCGAAGTTGATTCTTTGAGCCAGAACGTTAAGAAGAGTAGTTTTACCAGCACCAGACTCACCCATCAAGGCGGTCATGGTTCCTGGCTTAACGAAACCTTGGATGTTATCCAAAAGTTGTCTGGTAGCACCGTCGTATGGAATGATATAATCGAGGTTCTTCCAGGAGAACACATCTGCCTCGGCAATCACCTTTTGAAGATCAACACCTGGTCCGTTCAAGACTTCCATCATTTCCTCACGAGATGCCACCTTACCGTCAACAGCCTCGCTTCCAAGTTCAGGAAGATGGCCACGCTTATACAAAAGCATGTCTCCACCACCCTCAACGTTCTTGATGAATTCAGATAGGAAAACATTCAAACCAATGAATGCTGCAGTCCAAGCAATGTTGATACCAAAGTTTCTCCAGGTATGAGAGTATCTGAAATTGTAGTGGGCAGTAATGAAAGCATCTCCCGAAACCCAGTCTTGACCAGCAACAGCACCAGTGAACTGACAGATTTGGTTGGCAAGAGAAACGTCCTCGTAACCAACACCATTAGGAATAAGAGCATCACAAGGCATTTTTCTTCCGTGAAATTCCGTGGCAATCAAACTTTCATATCCATATCTCATAGGGTTCAGCCAATTAATCCATTTGATCCAGTGGTGCATGCTTGGAAGTGGAATGATGAAACCAGAGTAGACACACAACATAAGAACCCAAAGACCAGCAAAGGCATGAGCAGTACCACCATCTCTTGTCACAGTAGCAACTAGCTTGAAGATAAACGACATACATTGCTGGACCAAGAACAGGAATATAAAGAACATGAAAAATGCTCCAGCCTCATGCTTCAAATGTGGCATCCAGTATGTAGTCAAGGCCAAAATGACAATCGCAACGAACTTAGTTGGAATCTCAGTGATGATCTCTTGCAAAGCTTCACCAGACAAGTGGTACATGGAATAACTCTTTTGCTTAACGAGAATGTTTCTGTGAGCAAAAGAGTGAGAAATTTCTGCCAAGGAAGTGACAGCAGCAAACACCAGACAATAGAACAAAATACCACCACGAGAGTACGCACCCGAGGTACCAGTGGGGATCTTGTAGAACATAGAACCAATGATCAAACCTTTGATCAAGAACGAAGACAAGTAGATAGTGGTATAAGTCATGTCTCCGGTAGTTCTGTTGAAACCTCTCTGAATCAAATAGTAAACTTGGGCAAAGTAGTTGACCACGAACTGAGATTGCTGTCTCTGCAGAGTTTGCTTTCTCTGGTGGTTGGCCATTTCAAGTCTTTGTCTAGTTTCCTCAGCAGGGTGCTCCTGAACATACTTAGCATGCATTGCAAGAGCTTCCTGGTATTCAGGAGAGTTGAGCCAGTAGGTTTCAAATTCTTCGGAAGATTCTGGGATTTTTCCCTCATAACCTGGCTTTGGCGATCTACCGTTTGGATCAGTAACAGACGTCAAGAATTCAGGAGTAGTCATACGTGGTGGTTTCTCCCAGCCCATCTTCTCAAAGTACTGTCTTGCCTTGTTGGCAGGACCGAAGTATACCTGTCTACCCAGGTAGATGACAGTGACCTTGTCGAACAGCTCATAAATGTTCTCACCAGCCTGGTAAATGGCAACAAGGGCAGAACTGTTCAACATATTGGTAGCAGTTCTCAAACATTGAGCAAATTCCAAAGCAGTGGAAGCATCCAAACCTCTGGTGGCATTGTCGAAACTGTACAATGACGCTCCCATGGCCAAAGCTTCCACCAGGGACACTCTCTTTCTCTCACCTCCAGAAACACCACGAACGAAGTCGTTTCCAACTTTGGTGTTGTAGGTGTGTCTGATACCAAAGACGGTACACCAAAGATCTCTCATATTGTCAACATACTCGGATCTGCTCAAGTTGTCAATTCTCTTTGCTGGAGTCTTGGTCTTCAATGCAAAATCAATAGTTTGCTTGACAGTGATCTTTGGGAAGTGAAAGTCAAGCTCTGGGTTATAAATGACATAGCCCTTGAAATGCTTCATCATCTCCTCTTGTAGAATACCGTCGTAATTGATTTCACCCTCAACGGCAACAAGTTGCTCGGTCTCACCTGCACAACATTTCAAAAGAGTAGAACAACCGGCACCTGGTCTTCCAATAGCAAGACACATTTCACCGGACTCTACGACACCAATGAAGTTTCTGATAATCTCTCTGTGAGGGGTGGCGTCTTTCTTGAACAATTTCTTGGGTGCGCTGAACCAGCCTCTGACCATTTCCTCCACGGATGGACCATAGGCAGCGGAAGCATCAACACCAATTGCAGTGAGGTCTTTGAATGCCACACCGGCTGAGGTGGACTCAATTCCCTGTTCCAATGACTTTTCTCTAAGATACTTCAAGAGAAGTCTCAAATCAAAGTCATTGAGATCGACCTCAAAATGGTCAAGATCGGCCTTGGTCTTTCTGGAAAGAACTCTAGCCAAGGATTCCACTCTTTGCACACCATCTGGAGAGTTCAATATGTGAGAAATTTGAGTGGTAAGACGTTCGGTTGGATTTTGTTCTTCGACATCGAAGTCCTCATCCGGATTGTATGCTTTGATGTTTGGATCAGCAGACGCAGAGCTCGAGACGCTCTCTGTAGTCGACATGATTAAACGCGATACTTTTCGAAAGTGAAAACATTCAGGGAATATACCCTTGCAGGTGGAAATCGCCTGTTTTTAATACTACGAATCATCGGCAGAAACGGCTCAGCAGTATGTGCCAGACCTTAAAGAATATGACGCATGTGTGTGAGTTCTCATGGAGAATGGTAAATAATGTCGGCAGAGGACTACACTGGGCCGATGGTCGCGTTATCGCTAACGCTTTGGACCGCCAGCTTCATATCGGTGAGTCGGCGCAAGTATGGCCTGCCGAAGAGATAACTAAAGAGAAGCGGTAGTACAAGTAGTATTATCGTTTAAATTTGGTGGCTTCGTCATAATTACGTGCAATTAACCTCAATTGATTCAATTGATTCAATTGATTCAAAACCATCGATATCCCTTCGTTTAACTGCGTTTCAATCATTTAGAGCTTACGAGATTCCGTTATGGCCTAGCCTATCAGATTTGGGTAGTTCGTCACCAAAGGCGATGAGTATAAGCAAGTTGAAGCTTCCGTCGGCTCGTGGATCAAAACATTTGCCGACTCTCACAAACAGACACGGCAGTGTAGTACACACCTCGGAGTTTGGGCCTCTTCGCGTGAGACATTTCACCAAAATTTACCCCAATATAATTATAATGACGACGTATACTAGGCTGAGGTGTCTAGCCGTATTATCCGACTCCGTTTTCCGTCTGCAGAATAGGTCCGATCGATCCTGACCCGAGTGCGACCTTTTGCCATTAAAGGATTTATGATTCAAAATTCGCTCTCACGCGTGCGTCGGGATAACGGAGGCGTTCCCGTGCGGTCCGCGCGAGCTGCGCCCTGCTGAGGCATTAAATCTTTTAGAGCATCGGCAGAGACGTCCTCCCTGGACCGATCATGATAAAGTCCTGTCGGTACACTACCAATCATGGCAAATGCGTTGGCCCGAAGTTCTCATTTAGATCTTCGAGCACTACAAAGCCAGTAAACTATCGCCGACAAAGTGGTACATGGCGACGATAATCATACAACATGGCTTAAATGGATGTGGAGGATTGAAGCCATTTCAGAAGTCAGGCAGAGCAAGTTCTGTTTGCTCCACCATGAGATAATTCTCTGATGACAAATGCATTTTTGATTGTGGACATTGCAAGCTACTTGCAGAAAGTTTATTTCTTTATCTCTGTACTTCCAGCCGTATTACATTTATTAGTGTACTGGGTTGCAAAGAAAGTGCGACTTTACTTTCTTTCCCGGTGTCTTTCGCCAAACTATCCCATGCATGATAAACTACAACAATTTATTTGTTCATCGCACTACTACCATGCACTGCCCGAAACGGCAGGTATGAGAAGATGGGGTAACCGCTTATCTTATCGCAAACCTAGCTGTTGCGTTGCCCCGAAAATAAGCATTTCAGTTTCCAGTTTATGTTTTTTATAGTCAAGAAATGCCCGTTGATTCTATTTCATTTGCTGCAAACCAGGGAATGTTTTTTTCGGTTTATATGAGGCCTGAAGGTGCACAATATCTGGGATGTTGCACAAGTGTCCTGATTTTAGTGTTGTAGTCTTGGCTAGCTCGTACTGCGACAACTTCGATACAATATCTCAAAGAAATTACTTATCATGGATGCGAAATCTCAGAAAATATGGTTTGTAACTTGAATCACTACTTACATTGCTCTAACCATAAGAAAATGCGGATTGAACACCTGAACGTGGCCTCAAAAGCCCATGCACCGGAGTGAAGCAAGACTTCAAGCCATAGTGTTAACATCCAAGCCAACTACTTCAAAATAATCACCAAATGTTATCGTTTCGTCACGCATACATGGGGCTTTCATTTTGCATCCTTTTTGAAAAGAAAAAGTCGTTGAATATCGTACTTTCTTGAAAATCTCAAAAAACACAAAAAAGTACCCAAGTTAGTCAAGGGGTTGATTCACCAACAAAGTTTTGGTCTTTTTGAATACAGGTTGATAATCATTCCCAGCAATAAAATATGATAATCAAAG